AAAACTAAGTTATGTTCATCTTGGTAATGCTCAATAATCGGAATCAAATCTTTTGAGACTATATTCCACGCACAGACCTGCTTGAAAACTTCCCTGCTCTGAGGATCGTCCCGTCTCAAAAATCTCAGCAAATCCTTCAGATTGTCTGCCATTACAACAACGAAAAAATGAAATTTGAAGAGCTGAAACTCATCGAGCACGAATCAGATATCGGCAAAATCATTTGGCGAGGAAATTTTAGATTGATTTACCGAGACAGTAGTCACTTTTGGAGTACCCAATTCTTCTTCTATCGTCGTCTTCCTCGGGAACACCGAGATCGCTGCAGATGACTGATAAACCCTCCAAATCCATCTTCTTTTTGGTAGAGATTCTCTCCTCCATATCCATTTTCCTCCGCAGATTTGTGGTTTCCACTCAAACGAAATAGAAGTCAAACGCTCAACGAAACTAATCAGAGATTATAGCGAACGATAAACTTCGGATCAAAACATAAACATCGAAGAGACGATAGCCATCATCTCCAGTATTATTAATCTCAGTGATTAGGGCTCTTGTGGCGCGTATAGTTCCAGAAATTTTCCCGCCATTTCCTTATTCTAAAAGGTCAAAACAGAAACAACGATATTTGGCCCATAGGTTAAAACGGACCATAACTTAATGGGCTTATAAATGGGCCCACAAAAATCGAATTTATACGCCGTTTTTTTTATAGATTGTGTGCCCTTTAATTTTCCCAACTTACTTTATATGATTTGTCACTCTCTTTCGATACGAACTAAGCAAATTCTTCATTTCTTCGTCTTCGTAAATTCCGCCGAGAAATCAAATCTTCACTTCTCTCTCTCGTTCGGCTGCAACTACCTCTCGAGTTCGTTGATCCTTCTCGGCGGAAACGGAAATGGCTCAGGTGGTTGCTACTAGGTCGATTCAAGGCTCGATGTTATGTCCCAACGGCGGATCTGTGTCTACGAGATCCGAGAAGTTTTTGAAGCCGGCGAGTTTTGCAGTGAAGGTTCTAGGAAACGAAGCGAAGAGAAGCGGAAGAGTCGCTGTGAGAAGCAGAAGAGTGGTTGATACTACTGTGAGATCCGCTCGTGTCGAGACTGAAGTGATTCCAGTGTCTCCCGAGGATGTTCCAAACGTATGTGAGCTTATGTTTTATTCAGAAATGACTTGTTAAATGTAGCTCCATTTCGTTCTCTCTGTTTTCGGATTCAAGTTTTTTTTTAATTCTGAAATGAATTGTTGAATGTGAGCTTAAGATTTTTTTTGGATTCAAGTTAGTTTGTAGATGGGAAAGCATTTCAATTTGATTTTTTTCAGAAACTATCCATTTCGATTTGATGAGTTATATAGCTTTTACAATCTGTAAAATTGATGGTTTTGTCTTTTTTATCAGTCAGATTACTTATGTGCATTGATATATTTTGTGCTGATTACAATTTCTGGGATGAATTCTCTTAGTAAATGTATGGTAGAGACTGAGGTTATAGAGTGGCTAGTTTTTCTCCTTTGGCTGTGTTTTATATTATGCTCCATGCTTATACTGTGACTTCTGAACTAAAAATTTGTTTCCCTTCAATGTGTATTTAGAGAGAGGAGCAACTGGAGCGGTTGTTGGAAATGCAGCAGTTTAGTGACACATCCGTAGGGATGTGGTCGAAACCGACAGTAAGGAGGAAGACAAAGATTGTTTGCACCGTTGGTCCTTCTACCAACACAAGAGAAATGATATGGAAACTGGCTGAAGCTGGGATGAATGTTGCTCGGATGAACATGTCTCATGGGGATCATGCTTCACATAAGAAGGTTATTGATTTGGTCAAAGAATACAATGCACAATCTAAAGACAACACTATTGCTATCATGCTTGACACCAAGGTTTGTTTTTTGTTTCCCACTTATTCAAAGTTGATTTTTTTTTTCCTGCCATCTATCCATGTACTTGACAGCTTAGTTTCATTGCTTGTAGGGTCCAGAAGTTAGGAGTGGAGATTTACCCCAACCAATTATGCTAAACCCTGGTCAAGAGTTTACTTTTACAATTGAGAGAGGAGTCAGCACACCGAGTTGTGTCAGTGTTAACTATGATGATTTTGTCAATGACGTGGAAGCGGGTGACATGCTCCTTGTTGATGGTAAGTAAATCTTAGTACTTGTAGTAAACGGGTTTACATCTCTTTACGAGGTATCTCATTCTGAAATGTACTTTGTTTCAGTCTGTTTTAATTCTTCTCCATTGTATTCAGAATCAATATGGACAAATGGCTCTATTCATATGTTTCAGGTGGTATGATGTCGTTTATGGTGAAGTCTAAGACTAAAGACTCTGTCAAATGTGAAGTTGTTGATGGTGGAGAACTTAAGTCTAGGAGACACTTGAATGTCCGAGGAAAAAGTGCAACATTACCTTCAATCACTGGTTCGACTTTCTCTTCAGCCTGTTTTTTCACTTTTTCTAGTTGTTTTGGGGAACGTCGAATATTAATTAAATCTTTACACTCGTACTTTTTGATCCTTATTTGCAGAGAAAGATTGGGAGGATATTAAGTTTGGAGTTGAGAACAAAGTTGACTTCTATGCAGTTTCTTTTGTCAAAGATGCACAAGTTGTACATGAATTAAAGAAGTACCTTAAAAGTAAATACATGAAACCTATCTTTTCCTGAGTGAATGCTTTGCCTATGATTCTTCGTTTTTGTTCAGATCATGATATTGTTGTTACACATATTTGGCAGGTTGTGATGCTGATATACACGTCATAGTAAAAATTGAAAGTGCAGACTCCATTCCTAACTTGCATTCCATTATCACAGCATCAGACGGGGTAATCGTTTCCATCAACCTTCTAGTTTAATCTTCCCTTTCGTGTCGTTTACAGTCGGTTATCTCCTTTAATAACAAGAATAGAGTGGAGAGTGTTTTATGAACCAATTATGTAGAGGATTGTGGCGACAATAAGTTCGGTGTTACCGCAATATAAATTTGTGACAGAATGGATCCTGTGCATGTCATTGCTTAGTGAGATTTGTGTACTTTCTCAGGCAATGGTTGCAAGAGGTGATCTTGGTGCAGAGCTTCCTATTGAAGAAGTCCCTATTCTTCAGGTTAGTGCTTGCTTCTCATTTAAGATAAACTTAAGAACGAGTTTGCAATTCCCACAGCTTCAGAACATGTGAAATTTTCCTGCCGTCAAAACTCAGATTTTATTTTGATATTCAGGAGGAGATCATTAACCTATGCCGTAGCATGGGAAAGGCTGTTATTGTTGCGACTAATATGCTTGAGAGTATGATAGTTCATCCAACTCCAACCCGAGCAGAGGTTTCTGACATCGCTATAGCTGTTCGAGAAGGTGCTGATGCAGTTATGCTTTCAGGAGAAACTGCTCACGGAAAGTAAGTGACGGATTCTATTCATACAATCTACTGATTTTGCTTACAATGGTATAGAATTGAAAAGCACTGAAGGTTTATGTGCACGAAACTGAACTTTACTTGTTGTCAGGTTCCCATTGAAAGCTGCCGGAGTCATGCACACTGTTGCATTGCGAACAGAGGCAACCATCACTACTAGTGGTGAAATGCCACCTAACCTTGGTCAAGCCTTCAAGGTAAGCCGTGCCTGATTTTCTTCTTTTTTAATAACTCTGCACCATTGAGTATATATGTAGTATTAGTCTTAACTTTGCAATCGAATCGATACTAACAAGAACAATGTTTTTTGTCTATACAGAACCATATGAGTGAGATGTTTGCATACCATGCAACCATGATGTCAAACACACTTGGAACTTCAACTGTTGTCTTCACCAGAACTGGTTTCATGGCCATACTACTAAGTCACTATCGCCCTTCCGGCACAATCTATGCCTTCACAAATGAGTGAGTATGCCATGTTTATTGTTTCAGAACAAATGACCGTGACAAACTGTTCTGTGTTCGAGAACTTACACTAGAGGTTTTGCTCTGCAGGAAAAGAATACAGCAAAGATTAGCCTTGTATCAAGGTGTATGCCCCATATATATGGAGTTCTCAGATGATGCAGAAGACACTTTCGCTAATGCTTTGGCTACCCTACTGGTAAATAAAGAATCTTCTAAAACGAAACTCAGTGTTAATAACAAGATTTAGTCTTCTATTTTCTATTTTTTTTTTTTTAAGTTGGTAACTTTTTGAATGAACAGAAACAAGGAATGGTGAAGAAAGGAGAAGAAATAGCTATTGTACAGAGCGGGTCACAACCAATCTGGAGATCTCAATCGACTCATAACATCCAAGTCCGTAAGGTGTAAAAGTCTCTTAAGGCGTCTCAATATCTCACCTGGTCAGTGTGTTTTTTAATTTATCTGTAAAACCGGTTTCCGGTTAGTTTTCCTTGCACGTTGCATGTGTACTCTAAGACTTGCTGTTTACTGTATCTTTATTCAGTTTGCTATTACTACGATTTTGTGTTTTTAGCAGACGTTATTGTTAGCTCATTAGTTGTTTGTTAAACAGATGTTAATTTAGATGAGTAATAAATGTGTTAGAATCAATCCTCTAATACACGGGTATGCTGTTGCAACTAAGTAATTGTGTAAGGATCAAGAATCGATACATGATGACCAAATTCTCAGAATAGAGTCTGAAACTCGGCGACATGACAGAGCACACGGTTATTGGTAAAGAGATACAATGGAGAATCCTGGATATGTATACTTATCTAGTTTTGACCAAAATCCTAGAAATCTGGTCTTGGCTATTGAAATCAATTAATCGGAATAATTGAGATTTTTATCTGAAAATGACATTTTTAAAAAGAAATAGGGAAACACAAATTGTTCAAATTTTTTGCTAACTACACTTGGTATTGACAAGATTTTGTAATATCAAATAGACATACAAACAATGAGATTCTAACAAATACGACTCTGCTCATTCCCATTTCCACTTCTTAGTGATCAGTACAATTTCCCATTTCCACTTTAATTTAAGCTTCATTTATTGTAAGCGGGACTTCAATGTACTTAATTCCAGTTTCAAGTGTTTAAAATATACAAAGGAGAAACTGTTTACCTAGGAATCATCCTGAAACAAAGCTTTTGGTACTGAACTACGAGGTGTCCCACATAATTCGTGTCCATCATTGTTACCAGTTCGTGTTCGTTTGTTATCTGTTGTCACTGGTGTTTCACATACACTGTCATATTCCACTGATCTTTGTTCTTTCTTCCTTTTGGTCACTCTCTTCTGCTGATCCGCTTTGTCTTTAGAGTTCTTCGCTTGTTTCGGTGCCCAAACTCTACAAAGATCAGGCATCCAGCTCGTGAAACTCGAGAATCTTCTAGCTCTTTCTCTCCTTTCTTGTGCTTCAACCTCTTTCTTACCTTCTCTGCACTCCTTGGTGTCTTTCTGCAAAAAGGTCTTCTTACTCGTACCGGGAACGTCTTTACTTCTTTGACTACGTTGATGACTCTTGAGATTGCTATGGATGTTTTCTCTCCCTGATTGACTACTGTCTTCATTGTTCATGAAACTGTCTTCAAGATCCTCGTCACTGAACATAAGCAGATCCATCTCTGTATAAATTAAACTGACAGCTTCTGGAAGAATATGATGATACCTGAGAATGGCAAGCCAAGGCATTAGCATGTATACACATATAACCCCAAACTACAACAATTTTTTTCTTCTGAGAATGGGATTTATTTATACCTGGCTTTTATAGTTTTGTCCACATACTTATCAAGGCTCCAGTCACTAAAGAATCCACCGTCTAACTTGCACTGAATGGCCTCCAGTAGCATACAGATCTGTTTTGCAAACTTCTGAGTCACAGACTCCTCACTTCCCGAACCTATCTCTGATCTTAGAATCTCCATTCGGAAAAGAATCTGCAGCTCGTATCTTATAGCTAATTAAAGAAAACAGAACAATAATGCAAGAAAGCACACAAAAAGTTTGGGTAGTTTAATCAAACAGAAAAAAAAAAGGATACTCTCTTATGATGCTACTGGGTGCAGCTTCATCAGACGTCTGCTCACTTGCCGTGGATGAAGAATGTTTCTTTTTAAACTTAGCAACTAAATCTTTCGGTTCTTTCAATAACATCTTGGATAGCTCATCAGTGACCAACAAGAGGGTTCCACTCTCACAGCTATAATCCTTCTCAAGTCTTTGAGAGGAATGAAGGACACATGACTTGACAAGCCGCTCGGCCAGAGCTGCCAAGTCTATTTCCTCAGACTCAATCCCTTGCTTGATTTTACTAGGAAGACTAGCAAAGAAATTTTCTGATGACTCTGACGCATAAACAGATGTATCATTCTCCTGCCTAACGGATATACGATTTCCACTCAAAGCAATCTCATCCTCAGATACAGGTAAAGAGATAGTCTTTTCTGTCTCTTCAGATGAGTTAAGCTTTTTCTCAATTGGTTCTGCTTCCACATGCTCATGTGCATTGCAATTCTTAGCCACGGATAAGCTGCAACCCCTCCGTTTCTTAATCTGTTTCATCCAACATTTCAGAAACTTAAATTTCTTCGACTTGCTAAACTTGGAAAAATATACATCCTCTAGATCTATTTGACCATAACCTTTCACCGATCTGCAGAACTCCTCCCAGCTAATATCATGAAGTGAGTTCAGAATCTTTTTGCTTGGCTTTCTTTTAGATTCGCAACAACTGACTTTCTTACTGCTATCTTCATGATCCACAGTTTGAGGAGAGACTTCATTGTCAAAAACACAGATTAAAGCCGAGGACAGAGTAAATGGCTTGAGGATTCCTGTCCGTGAACTACCATTACTATTCGTTAGAGATACCGAAGCTGAGTAACCTTCCCTGTAGAGATAACTTAACAAGACCTGCCAAATAGGTGATGACTTTTTCGCTACTTTCTCACCCGACTCCTTCTCTAGTATCTGAAGGACCCGATCAGCCCAAAACCCACTCTCCTGCTCCTGCTCTTGCTCAGATTCATGGTAGACTTCATGAACAACAAAACTACCGCAAGTATACCTATCGAGTTCGATAAGATCATCACACATCCTCAAGGCTTTAATACTGAGTTTGGTGACACCATCGCAGAATTGCTCAACTAGAGAGTCTGAATGGGGCTCCTCAGGTGTACTACCCAAGCTGATGAACTCACTACACCTCTTCCCACTAGATATTTCAGAAGAAGAAAACTCTAGCTCACCGCACTTGCATTCCATAGGTTTACCATTAATATCTGCAATCTCGAGACTGGCCTGAACTGTGAAGTGTTGGCTAGTAGATAGCTTTGAGCGAATACCAATTGTTGGATATATTAATCCAAAGGGAACGATTAAAGAACCAAAAACAATTGAATCCGTAGAACAATGTCCCCAACCCAATTCTCTAATTCCACTATCGAAAAACCCAGACTTTAATCCCAATTCGCTTCTTTCACCAAAGCTATCTCCAGATTTCACATCAATCCAGCTTAAGAGAATATCTCTATCATCAAATAAGTCATTCACACAGTCAAAAATCTCCCCTAACTTTGACTTGAACAGATCCAAGTCGCTCAAACACTCATCGCCACTCTTAACATCCAAAAACTCAGAAACCCAATTCAAATCCGTAGAAATTGGGGAAAACATCACGACCAAATTCGACCTAACGATCTCTAACCCACGATCCGTAAATCCAGGAATCATACCTATCTCAGGATCTCGAACCACAGGCTCCCAAGCGTAATCGTAAACGATCTGTCGCAAAGACGCCGCGACGTTGATACCACGAGGCGTTGCCGCCGTGGAAGTAAATCGAAGCTCGCATCGTTTGACCGCGTCGATGGCGCGTCTGAGAGAGACGAGTGTAGGGCTAGGGAGGTCAAATGAAAGTTTAGAAGATGAAATTGAGAGTTCAGAGAGCTTCGAGGAAGACAAGAGAGAAGAAAGAGAAGAGAGGAAGAACTTGAAAGAGAAAAGAGAAGCGGAGAGAGGAGGAAACGAGAGAAACTTCTCGGCGGCGGAGAGTACGACGGCTAGGTATTGCTCCGTATTGGGTGTGACCAGAAGCGGATTGAGATCTATGAGGAGCACGATACGCTGCGTTTTGGCGTATAGCGAATCTCCAGCCATTGAAATGAAACAGAGATTCGATTTTAGGATTTGGATTGAAGAAGAGAGGAGGGAGCAATGAGTTTTATCGGTTTTGGCGGGAAAAAAACTATTGCGGGAGAGTTATTGGGCCCATTTACAGTTGAGTTGAAAATAGAAGGCCCAAAAAGTAAATCGAATCTGGTGACGTGGCAATATTTAGACACATCACTGGGTAATGTGTTTTTGTCTGAGGAGCTAAAAATTGAAGATAGACGAGAACTTCCTCTAGTTCGAAATTTCAGATTTTTCCTCGATCGATTATTCTCTCTGCCAGAATTTTCCGGGAAAATTACAATTTTCTCGGAGACTTTTTGATCATGAACTGTGTCTCTACATTCAAGTTTACTCCATCCATCGTTCTAATTCCCTGTGCACAATCATCAAATCCTGCGAAATTTCTTCACATTTCGAGCTCAAAACCCTCGTTTTCTCCCAGATGGCGTAATTACGCTTCTTCTTCTTCTTCCCCAATTCGAAGGAAAACCCTAACCCTAGTTTCTTCGAAATCATCGGAAGCGGAGGAGGTGTCGGATACGGAGGAGGACGAGTGGCTGGAGAAGCTACCGGAGAAGAACAAGCCACTGTATTCGCATAGCTTGCCTTGTATCGAGGCGTGGCTGAGGAAATTAGGGTTTTACCAAAGTAAAGACGATAGAGCTGTTTGGTTGATTCAGAAACCTGATTGGCACGCCCAATTATCTCTCGATGTCACAGATCTCTGCATCAGGTATAAAACTGATTTCATCTTTGTAGTCTCTCTCACTAAACTCCTTAAGTTCGATTCTTGTAATAAGTTCTGAGATACTGGCTTTAACTTCCTCATCAAGTGATTCTTGGTTTGTTAAAGTGTGTGGCTTTGGTGGAGTTTTGATTCTGGTAATGTTTTGAAGATGAATGTGTTTAGCCTGGATAAGTTAAAGTATTTATATTTAGTCTTAGCTCGTTGTGGGAAGATTATGTGTATTATATATACTAGGAAGATTATGATGTTGATGCGTTTTAGGAAACATTGCTGTTTCCTGATCATTTTCTTTTGGAGTTTCTGTATGTAATCCGCCTAGTGGGACTAAACGAGATTGTGCATTTTTAACACAGGTACTTGAAAAGCGGACCGGGAAGTCTAGAGAGAGACATGGAAAGAAGGTTTAGCTATGCATTGAGCAGAGAAGATACCGAGAATGCCATACTTGGAGGACCTTGAATAACCAAGAGTTTGTTGAACATCTTTGTTGATAACACACTGTACTTATGCTATTCCGTTTTCCATTTTATGATGCGTCTGCTTCTTTGATCCAAAACAAAAACCAAAAAAAGAAAGCAAAAATTTAGTTTAAGGTTCTTTAGCAGGTACCAGTAAAATTCTCGAAGTCTTGAAATGTGAATGTAAAAATTTATATGCTCATAAAGATTTAGCTATGAATCATGACAGAATATTCTCAACCAATCTAGTATATTTGTACAGTTTTAAAGTCAGAACGAGAGCATGTTCTTGAAATGCTCTGTTTAGGTTAAAGCATTTTGATTTCTGTTTCAGAATCAGAAGCTTTCTCTTCAGAACTGTTTCTAGTTAAACACAGGAGCTAACTTGCTCTCAAGGGAAGAAATTGTCAATACACGTCAAACAAAGTTTCTGAAAAACAAAAAAGAAAACTTCGAATTTACATTATAGCTTTGATAAGTGTTCAAAGGGGAATTGGATGAAGGAACAAAGAGACAAGCAGGTCTTTGAGCTTTTGATCGGGCTGGCTAAATCCATCACCGTCCTTGTAAAACAAATCGATCACTCGCGCAATGTTGACAAGCCGCAATAGAACTGTCTAGGCACAGCTTTGCACATCACGAACTCCTCCATCATTATCTTGTAATTCTCTCTTACCATCTTACTCAACTCTTCAACCGCTGCTTCTTTGGAAACACAATGTTGTTTCATGTAACAGTTTACACCATTCGCCACCTCTCCTCTGCTCACCTCTTGCTGTTCAATCATATAAACAGACAAGTTTGCTTAATGTTTGAGATGTTTCATTAGATATCCAAGATTCAGAAAAATCAGATACACACACACCTCGTAGGTGCCAATGTCATTTCTCAGACGCCAAACTGTATTCAAAGCTTGGAAGATTTTGGGTTTTGAGTAGAACCACTCGTTCAATCTCTTTTGATCACATTCCTCCATGGCTATAAACCCGTAGGCTGCCAAGTCCTCCATTGCAGCCGCAGGGACTCCATTCTCCATGTAATCCTCAAAGCTTGGCACGTGACCTGCGCGTGCCCATCTTGCTATCACTAGATACAGTTTCATCAGACTCTTAGTCTGCAAAGGATCATCACCACTCAGATTATTGCAAGTAATTGGTTTCTAAAACATTGAGTGAGTGCCTACCTCATCTATAGTTTGTTGCAATCTACCAAACTTTCCTCGAGCTCTCATTTCTCGATCAATATCTTCCACAGTTTCAATCACATTTTGGTAGACGATTTTCATAGAGCTTGGTAGTTCTTCCACAGCACCAAGATCCGACCTGAGACATTTGATTGGATAAACACATTAATCATCACCAAAGATGCATGAGAGATCTTGGTATGTATGCTTGTAGATAAGATTACCTTTGGAAAGCATCATGAAGACTTATAACTTCGGGAAGAGTTGCATATGCATCACATGTATCATCCACAGCAGTCATGACCATTGTAAGTTTAGTCGCAATGACTCTTTCTAGTGAATACCTCGGCTCGAAAAACATCCCCATCAACCCAAGATAGGTCTCGACAGTTCGGTCCCTTATGTTATAAGGTAGCTTAGCCGCTATACCTAGCTCCTTCCACCATCTGGAACCAAAAGTTTAAGTTAAGATGACAAGAACATGAGAATCTTAAACATAAACACACCAAGAATGTTTTGTTACTTGGTGATAATCTTCAGCTCTTTGATGTAATGCATCTGACAAAGATTGAAGTTGAGCTTTGCAAACTTGAGGAGCGTCTTGTCATGGCCTGGTTCTTGGCCGTAGAAAGAGATGTACTCGCGTGCCACTAGTATCTCTATGTTATGGTACCGAGCGCTGTACAAAGCGTTTTGTACATGCTTAAAGAGATTGGAGCTTGTTTCTTGCTTGTTCAAAGACCCCAAGTGAAGCCGTGTAAAGCTAAGTGCTTCGTCCATTATATCTTCCGATGGTGTCCCGAGATGTGCAGCTTCATAAAGCTGTAGCATTCCTCTAACATCTTTTGCTTCACTTTCCTTAAAGTCCTCATCTTCTCCTTTGAATCTATCGAACACATCTATACCAAACCGATATAGTCAAACATATAACATGCAAGGAGACTAATATGTGTTATATGTGTTTTAACGCACGACAACTTGTGTCCGTGTAGTCTGAAAACTTCAAACATGATTGCGACTGTTTCAAGATCATATTCTTTCGAAATCAAGCCGTGTAGATTTTGGAAATCTTGGTGTAGAATCTCTTCTATTTCGCTCTCTAAATAATGAGAGATACCTAGGCTGATAAGCAGATGGATAAGACGAATCCTCTCCTTGTCGCTGATGTGAAGAGACATGAGCATGTCTCTCACTTTAGGCTTCATCACAGATTCGATTTCATGCTCAACGGCCTCGAATTCCTAGAAAGATACAGTATGGTTAAAGAAATCATTGTTCTGCAACCAAGACTGATTCGGGTTAGGTGTGTACTTACGGATTCATCGACAGGAACATAGAGGAAGTGATCTCCCCAAAAAGATGGAGAAAAGGAAGTCAATGGACGAGTGCTCTCAAGATAACCACTACTCTCAGTTTCAGCCTTGACACAGAACGAGTCGTGTTTTGTGGGTTTCTTGGAGGAAAGAGTCTGGTTTTGAAGCAAACAGCAAGGAAAGAGAGATGTTGGCCTTAATACATAGAGGGAGCTTTCGAACGCCACCGAGAGATTTAGGACCAAAACACATTCTTGACGCTTCCATGTTTCACTAAAAAAGATAGACACAGAGAAACTCTCTGCTCTGTTTTGTGGTGAGATCTAAGATGTCTCTGTTTTTATTTCGCCTTCTCATCTCTCCTCTGTTGTAAATAAATACGGAGTCTAGTGGAGAAGATCAAAAATAATTAAGGAAGTAAGTTGAAAAAATCTTTGAATTAAAGTTTCTTCCACATGGACATCGGAAAATGTCAATTGTATATCATTTCTCAACTTGTATAACCTCTTGAATATTTATTTTTAAAGCTGATTAAGAATGACTCCATTGAATACAAGAGTTTTGAAATAAATTGTATAATTCACTTTAAATAATACGTTTATGAAAACATAGCGACAGCATGTTCTTGAAATACTGTGTTTTGGTTAAAGCAGTTTGTTTAATGATTCAGAATCAGAAGCCTTTTCTTCTAAACTGTTTCTAGTTAAACAAAGGAGTTAACTTGCAGTAGCTGACCTAGAAAATAAATTTACAGAGATATGATTTAACTATCTAAATGCATATGAACATAATACTTTTTTTGAATATATTTTGCTTATGTTTTACTTGTATTATGCTTATGTTTTGCTTATTTTATGCTTTTGGACTTATGAAAAAAAATATTTTAACATAATACATATTACATAAATATAACATAATACATATTACATAAATATTAGAGTTTCGCATATGGTTTTGAATTTTTAAAATTAAGTTAACTACATTTAGTTGATGGTATTAAATAAATGTATATATTGCCAAAAATGTAGTACTCCTATAAGAAAAAAATCATTTAATATGAAGTTATTAACATTTTTTTTTTCGTTTTGCAACTTCCAAGAACCATCGCAGGAGTATGGAAAGCTGATGTACTGCATCGAGTCTGCCGGGTGGATCTAGACATGGTGATTATTAACGTCACGAAGTGCTTCCGGAGGAGAACAAAATGAAGAAAGATTAATTAATGGCTTAAGGAGTTTAAAGAACATAGAAGTTAGAAAGAAGACTATAGTTGAAATAGAGTGGAATCAGCTTAAAAATGAGTATTGTTTACAATTTTATAACTAAATTCTAATGTGTGCATCCAAATGATGATATATTTTTTGTTTATCAAAATTTTGTAATATAATTTGTGTTTTTGTATTTAAATATAATTTATTTTTATATATAATTTTTTAATAAATAATAAAGATTTAATTTTATGTTTAGATATAGTTTGTTTTTGTAGATTTATTCTCTTTTAGTATTATATATGATAGTGATTATAAAAATATCACTAACAATAGTGTCCTCAGATGCGCAGCTTCATAATAGCATCCATGATCCGTCTAACATCTTTTGCTACACTTTCCTTAAACTTCTCATCTCCTCCTTTTAATCTAATCGAACACATCTATACAAAACTGATATAGTCAAATCCTCAAAATCACCACTACTCTCGGTCTCAGTTTTAACACAGAACGAGTCGTGTTTTGTGGGTTTCTTGAAGGAAAGAGTCTGGTTTTGAAGCAAACGGCGAGGAAAGAGAGAGATGTTTCCTTAAGACAGAGAGGGACCTTTCGAACGTTACCGAGAGTTTTAGGACCAAAACACATTCTTGGTCCTACTGCTTCCATGTTTCACTAAAAAAGATAGACATGGAGAAACTCTCTGCTCTGTTTTGTGGTAAGATGTCTCTGTTATATTTCGCTTTACCATCACTACTCTGTTTTAAATAAATCCGGATACTAGTGGAGAGGATCAAAAGTATATTAAGTTAAGTAAGTCGAATCTTTGAATGAAAATTTCTTCGACATGGTGAAATGTGTATCAGAACATGTCAACTCTATCATTTTTCAACTTGTAACCTCTTGAGTTTTATATTTTTAAAGACGATTTGGAATAATTCCATTGAAGAAAAGACTTTTTATAATAATTTGCAGAATTTACTTTAAACAATACGTTTATTAATCATGACATATCATTTCCACAAATAGAGGTTTTTGTATAATTAAATTCATTGTTTTTCGCATGTTAGATTTATTATTTTACAAAAAAGAAAAAGAATGTTTATGTACGAAGAGTAGGCCAATCTTTCAGATGTAAAATTTTGAAATAATGAGTAAATGGGAAGAAGAATCCAGTTTAATGAATACCTCGGACTTGAAAGTACAAGATTTCGTAATAGCGGCTAAATTCTTGATAGCCAAGTGAAACCATTCTATTATAAACTGATTTCTTAATGATACGTTAGAAAAAATTTACATTAGTCAACTCAACTTAATGTTCGAAAACCTAATTCATTAAACCTATACATGAGTTACATTTTGAAATAAAACTTAAAGTTGATATGTTTAACAAAAAAAACGTGTTTCCTGATCCTATAAATTCTCCTCCCATATCCAAAGCCAATATACGCATCTTCTAAACCAAAACAAACCAAAAAAATAAAAATAGAGGAAAAGGAAAATAAATTAACAAGAAAGATGGGGAGCAAAGAAGTTGTGTCAGTCTACTTGATTGTTTCCCTTTTTGCTGCCATTTTTGTCTCCCAAGGAGTAGCTCAAACGCAAACACCTCCGACACTTCCGGGACTTTTTCCACCTGGCTTAGTACCTGTTGATCTTGTCAAATGTTGGTCGTCCCTCTTCAACGTTGAAGGATGTGTGCTTGAAATCTCCAAATCAATTTTCTCTGGAAAATTTGAAAATGTTGAAGCAGCATGTTGCAAAGTGTTTTCGACCTTAGATGCAAACTGTTGGCCTCAAATGTTTCCGTTGAATCCTTTCTTCCCTCCTCTCCTCAAGGACAATTGTGCTCGCATCGTCCCAAAGTCCCCTTCACACAATTGAAAGCAAGAATGACTGTTGATTTTATCTAGTAGTTAATTAGCTTCAAAGTCTAATTTAAGTTTTAATGTTAATCTTGGTTGGCAAAATGTGATCTCATATCTTTGAAGAAAGTAAAAGTTTAGCAATATAACCATTCAATTTTTTTCCAAATTTATAAACTCTTATGAATGTGTCTTGGTCATATATAGTATATGTGTGTGAAGTATCACCAAAAAAAAATACTGAAAGTGGTTTTATTATCTATCTTAAGTCGGCTAACATCGTAATCTTATCTCAAAATTCATTCAATAATCAAACAAAACGTAGATGTTGTGTTTCTTGTTTTTTTTGTATACAAAAATAAATCTCTACAAGTTCTATTGATTCTTCTTAGTAGTGGGAGTGAAAGATTTAGAGCTCTGAATTTGATCATCTTTAGACGTCTTGATTATAAACAGAAGCGTTTCAACAAGCATCGCCAAAACTAGTCCAAGAATCCCACCAGCAGCACTCTGAAATCCAAAACACCCATGATTCAAAAATCCACTTAACCAAAACAGGTTTCCAGAATTCGACAAAATGAATGAGACACACAGACAAAACATACCAGAGCAGGGTTGCGGTTGAATAAAGCTCTGAAGGAAGCGTATCCAACCAAATATCCAGTGAACATGGTAAGACCAACGTGTAAACCTACAAGAATTGAGTTTTGCAAGAAAAATCAAAGTCTGATTCTTTCCAAGGAAAAGTCTATCAAGAACCGAGAGCGATAAATGCTTTTACCGAAACCGAGCTGGTCTTTGTAAGACGAGAAAGGCTCTTCGACTTGTTTCCTAGGTGTTATATCTTTAACAAGCTCAGCGTATTCCTTCCTCTCTGCTATTTCTCTCAGCTTTAGCAATCTCTGTTTCAGTTCTTCACTCTACCAAAGAGCAAAACCGGAATCAAACATAATAAACTCAGGCAAGACATGTGAGTTAAGGAAACACTTCAAACATTGAAACCCACAAGCATCCTCGATTATTCCCATTTACCAAACACAATTTGGCTATTCGGATTTTACAAGAATCCAAACAAAACACGATTGTGCTCATATTGACTAGATAAGTCCATGAATTCCTCTAAATTACCAAAAGATAATCTCTTCTATTACCGGATTCTATTCAATCCTGAGTACGATAAGATCGAAATGTAGAATTCGAGCTTCGCATACCTTTTCCCTGGGTTTGGGACTGGTGAAGACGAAACCGGAGCCGGAGAAAAGAGCCAACAAGTCCGGTCTGGTCGAGGGATCGGATCCGGTCCATATCGCACGGAGCAATTTGTAAGGAACGGTGTTCCTCGACCGCAGATCAGAAGCAATATCTCTGAGTTCCTCGGAGAGCCGAGGATCATCGCAGGCCAACGCCAGAAACGACCGCATCGGTTCGGTGGCGGAGAGAATCAGCCCAGATTCATTTCTCGGGTCGGGTTGATCCATCTTTGATCGGGTTCAATGGCGACCGCTATTTCTCTCTTTAAGCGAAGTTTCTCACGCGCTCGAGAAGATCTCGGTGTGAAATCACGCGCCAACAATAGCACGTGAGACGTGGGCTCCGTTTTTGGGCTTTAGATCCTGCTCGGATAGCTCGGGTCGGATAAGAGCAGGGTCGGGTCATTCGACTCACAAAGCACTACGTGGCGTTACCCTATCACGTGAATGGTTTAGGCTTTGGTAACTTTTGCAGAATTGCGAAATTACGTAAAAAATTTTGTGGAATAAATTAAGTGATTTATAAGTCGCTTTTCTGCGGATTGACTTTTGTATTTTTGTTAAGTAAAAGCGTAATCTGCGTTTTTGTGTGTATTTTTTCATTACACAGATTTTTGTTGATTGGCAAAAAATCGGCGGAATTGTGTTTAAAAACGTAATTTCGCTATTCCGCAGGTTACCAATCAGAGTTAGTTGGACCATTCTTCCACGTGTGAAAGCTCGGGGGGTATTTTTGTAAATATGAAATGTTACGATGGTGGTTTCACGAACTGAGTCAGTATACTATATTCTATATTCTGTATCTCTCTTTCTTTTTCTCGTTTCGTTTTCTCCAATAATGGATCTCCTTCTCCATTTCTGTTACTTTTCCTAGAAAATTCCGCAAACCCTAGAGAGAGAGAGAAAGAGAAATCCCATCGAAACAGATTGGGAACAGTTGATGGATTTCTAGAGAGAGAAAAAACCTCTGATCTCTCTAATTCGATCGAGATCGCAGCATTTTCCTTTGTTGCGATAAGAGATTCGAATGAAAAACTGGGTTCGCTGTGGCTAAATCTAAACAAATCCATTGAAGATGATTTCGAATCCACGTCTATTGTCCTACACTTGCATTGCGAAAGGAACCGTGGTTCTCGCCGATTTCGCTTCAAAGGAAGAACCAGGAATCGAAGAAGTAGCTTTGAGATGCATCGAGAACACGCCTCCTCACCATTCAATCTTCTCTCATACAGTTCACAAGAAGACGTACACGTTCGCGATCGACGATTCGTTTGTGTATTTCGCGATTCTCGACGAAAGTATGGAGAAACCGGAATCCTTCTGGGTCTTGAATCGGTTGCGATCAGCTATCGAGGATCTGATCAGAATCGGCGGATCCGACGCCGAGAAGTTGATTAATCCGGCTCCGCATTGTCTACAATCGAAGCTCGATCCAGTTTTCGCGGAGATCGTTGGCGTTGTCGATGTGGATTTGGAGTTGGACATGGATTTGGTTGGATCGCCAAGGAGCGTAGCGAGAGAGAGTCGAAACCCGAGCATCGATTCGACTAAAGGGAGAAGAGCTGCGTTGATGCCGCTTTTGGGGAAGGCGTTGAAGAAGAAGAAGAGGTTGCACACGGAAGCAGCAAAAGGGGGAGATTCTGGTGACGTTGATACGATCAAGGAGACGTCGGAGAAGAAGGTTGATTTATGTGGGAATGGGAACAGTGGAGTCTCACGCAAGGAACTGAGAAATGGTTTGTTAACGGATCATCATCACAGGCAAAAGGCGAAGCAGATTTGGAAGAAGCATGTTTGGGTTGTGTTGATGTTCGATTTCTGCATCTGTGCTGTTCTTTTCGGAATCTGGCTTTGGGTTTGTGAAGGGTTTCAATGCATCGATGGGTAAAGTAAATCATCTCTGTGTACATCTCCAAATTCATATTCTTTCGTCAACATTGATCATTGACATCTTCACATCAGACATAAATTAGTTCGTTTTTTTTCTTTTTCTGGGTTTCTTCCTATGTAAAATTCATCTGGGCATTCGTTTTCTGGATCGAATCTGATCCCTTTTTCCTCTGTTTTCTTGATAATCTTTCTTTTTTATCTTCTTAATTCTTTTGTAAAATCACAAAAAGTGTTGTTTCCAGGAGGAAACTAGGTTTAGGTTGAATCCTGGTTTACATGTCAGTGATGTTCATTGTACTTTGAAAGTTATTATCCACAAATCACCAGCAACATGTGTGTTGTGTTGTCTACTTGTATCTCTCTTTTTTACTATATTTTGATTCGTTTCTCTCGTTTTTCTTTTGCTGTCTATTCCATAAATTGTGCTGTGATGGAACGTGGGTTACACAATTATGGAGGACAGAGAAAGCTGGTTTTAGATCCAGTCACACATTAATATTTTACTAAATATAGTACATACCATCTATAGTCGGCGTATTTATAAATAATATTCCAAAAAGAAAATACGAGAATGAAAATAATTCCATTAGTTAATCTTATGATGTAACAGTCTATGTCTTACAGTAGAAAAATGATTAAATTACAGACAGTGAAAGATGAGAGTTTGGAAATAAAAACAAAGAGGGAGAGAGAGTGTTAACTATGTGTGTGTAAGTTTCAATCTCAGCCACAAGGTGTGAGTTTCTTGTTACCAGCACCACGAGGATTATCGTCTTTCCAATCATCGAAAGCCCTGGCTTTCATCACAGCTTCCTCGTCTTCGTCATCCTCTTCATCGTCCTCTTCTTTTCTTCTCAATGGTTTATCACTGTACCATGAGGTGCTTGCTTCTTCAATGGCTTTCTTCGTCTGCTCTTGCCAATCATTCATAATCGTCATCTCTGTTAACCCAGCATCCTCTATGCTCATTGTTGGCATTCTACAAACCCGAAGTTTAATCACCTTTTTTCAAATCTCAAAAGGGTATAAGATTTGTGATGAGCAATGATTTTGTGCTTACCTGTGACTTGGTTGGAAAACTTGAGCTATCATCCTCTCTCTCTCTGTAGAGAGAGCTCCACCCACGATGCTTGCTGGACCGAATATAAGAGGTTGGTGCTTGTGTTCGTGACCCTGTGATACTGAAGCTCTTCCTTCTAACACATCTTGTGCAAATGTGGCACAAGTGATTGGTTGTGCTGGTCTAGAGTACTGTACCCTTGCAGCTGCATCTCTGTGCCAGGTTTCGGCTTTCTTTGTGCGATCATCAAGCGCATCTCGAGAAAACCCATCCTCTCCATCCTGATAATGGGATTCATAACAGCAATTTCTTAGTTTGTATGCTTATCAAAGAGCCATTCGACGTTAAGAAAAAAGTAACACGGAGGTAAAGTTACCTTCAACTGTTTTTCCTTTATAGCAGAGAGCATTTCTTCTTCTCTCTTTAGCATTTCCATCAGATCAATAGCCTGCAACGGCGTTTAACCATCAGATAAAGCCACAACTTGTGACAGACCATACTTGTTCCAATATATGATATTTAGACAAACCTTACAAACGGCCAAGTTAATTGTGGACAGCCACGCCTGCAAAGAAAAACCACGCTTAGCAGGAAATTCATTTAGAAATATCACCGAGCTAAACAAAAATGAGACAAACCTCTCTCTCTTCTTCACTGTCATCATCTGGAATATCTTCTTCTCCCGATTCAACCGGAGTGGACAAGGCAGCTGCTTTAGTTGAACGTCCACGTCGCTCCTTCCTCTCTTTAATTTCAAGGAGCTTCGACTCTGCAGCTTTTTGACGTTTGAACCGAGCTATCTATCAAAGAAACATAACCATGAGGACACAACATGGATTTCAAAATCGGAAAACATAAATCTTCAATATCTAAACAAAAGAACGGGGCTGGATCTACCTTCAGAGCTCTTCGATCTGCAGGTGGAGCAGAACCTCCTCGTGAAGAAGCTTCCAACTCTTCTTCCGGAACAAGTTCCATTGCCTCACAGAATGAAAAGAACTCCTAGACACGATAAGACTATACATCAATCTCTAAAAATCATTTAAATCCTCATTTCCACTAGCACTGACATCAAAGGGATGCAACAACCAGCAAACACTCAGAAGAAAACTCACCTTCAACTTTGCATGCGAAGCCTTGACGATCGGAATCCGGTCGTCCTGTATGATTTTCTCCGTCAACTCCGCAAGATAGTAAGGCACCTATCATCACACGCCATTTTCAAGGGAATGTCAACTCAAAACACGCAATCTTATGATCTCCACGCAAAGTGACTTATAAGTCCAACTGAAGAGAACACAGTCCAAACTTCACACTCTACATTAAAATTTCACTAGCTAAAAATCAATAGAACTTGCCAAAGGTATAGAATTCAACCATTTTTGGGCTTATATTTATCTCTGAAAGATTCTAGATTCACGTTGTTCTCTCTACACTAACCTAATAACAAAACTAGCATAGAAACATACCACTAAAACAAAAACAAAAACAAAAACAAAAAATCAAATAGCAGAAAATCGATTGCAGAGAAACTTACCAAAAGATACTTGAGATTGTTCGTGCTGATATCTTCTTTAGTCTCGTTAGACGAGAACAAACCCAGCTTCCCGACCATGTCTTCGCACTTTTGTAAAATCTCACATCCTTTCTTCACAACATCCTAATCAAACCAAATAGAACAAAGCACACCCCCAGAAATGTCTAATCAGTAAAACTCGCGGATTCGGAATTAGCCATTTCAGATTAAAAAACCCTAATCGAAATCGTATACAAAAAAAAAGCTAGAAGCTTCAACCTGATCGGCACGAGACTCTGAAGCCGCGAGATGAATTTTCCTTGCTTGCTCGAACAACGCCGATAAAGGCATTTCCTCCATAGCTAGACCACCCATCAAAGACGAATTTACAATATCTCTAATTTCTCTCACTCAAAATGAATTCACGAAACGAGATTCGAGTTTCTTCGAGAAGTGGATCGGTGAAATCTGAGAATTTTGTTAGGGCTTTAATCGAAATATGACGAATTAACCGGGTCCAGAGGAAGATGTAACTGCGAAAAGCTTTATAAAACTATGGATGAGATCATGCCGCGTCATGTGAAAAAGACAGTCAGAAGTCATATCAGCCGTTAGATCTGTGGGAAAAAAACTCGAACGACGGAGTTGTAAAAAAAAAAAACACCAAGTCCAAAGATCAGGTGCGGGCGGGTGTAGCGTAAAACCGTACGTTATTGGTTTCTTCCCGCTCGCTAATCACGATTTAAAAAAAAAAATGGACGGCTATATAGGTAATCAAAATGGCATTCATTAGTCGGGGAAAAAAAAAAAAAACCCGCAAAATTTAATTTGTTCACAAATAAATAAATAAGGAGTATTGTGACGTTAAAAAAAAAAAGGAGTATTGTATTAATCCAAATATAACCTACACTTTTTAACAAAATTAAAAAAACATATACAAGCTGGGATAATTAGTTACAAATGAAAGAATCATCTCTCGCGCACTCACAACAGAGCACAGCCTGCAAACTCCAAAGCGGGCAAGGCTAGCGGGATGCTTCAAATTAATAAATTGACCTGAAATATAAGAATTGTAAGTATATAGAGAAGTTAATGGTCAAATTTAAAATATATACATTCATGTGTGATTTAATTAGGAGATTAGGGGAGTGAAAGGTTCTTACAGTAATTGGCGCCAATATGGATTAAGACAAAACTTAGTTACGGTAGTAATGAAAGACTTCGAAAGGGAAGCGAGTGGCAAATTGGCTGAAAAAGTTTAGATTGTATATATATGTAAGAAACACACACACACACAACAACAAAAAAAAACTCAAAACTTATTATAGAAAGTAGTCGAAGATCATTATGAGCAGAACCTGATAAACCCCTGGAGAATGGACGTACGCCATTTTATCAAGCCAAGCCTAACGGCAGGATTGAAAATGCCAAGCAACTCTATTGCAATTATCTGTGATATTAGAAGGAACAAACAAAATGTTGTCAAAAAAAAAAAAAAAGAAGGAACAAACAAAAAGTATATATGGTTTATAAGGGAAACATATATTAATATATATGTATATAAAGAAGATAAATGATGTGTTCACTTACCTGAACTATGATAGTTGACATCATTGTAATGAGAAACATGTTATCCCTAAGGATTTCTCTGAAGATTTGGTCTCCATTTCGGATTTCAAACTCATTAAATACCTGCATTTTTTTTTGAAGACAGAGATGATCAACTTATTCTCGGATGAACACACTAATAAAATGAGTGGGAAAAATCAAAACATTACCAAACAGAATACCAAGGAATTGAATTTAAATGTGTTCTTCACTTTTTCAGCATCACCGGTGTGACCATGCTTCAGCGTCAGTATACTATCGGAACCTAAGAACGCCAGAGTCTGCACAACGTAAATCACCTGGAGGAAGGGTCATTTCATGTCAGAGGCATTCTTTAGTCGTGTTCTTTTTCTTAATCTAAATACTTATGACCAAGTCTCTGGAAAGTATAGAGACATTTAATGTTCATAAATAACAACTCAAGGATTTTTGGCAACATACCTGTATCACCAACTTGGACCACATCGCCTTGGTTATAAGAGGGTCTCTGAAAAAAATAAAGATAAAAAGATATGCATGTCTATGATCAGTTTGTGTATATTCACACACCAAAACCAAGTGTTTCTTCCAGGATTTAGGCACCGATACAAGAGTGTCTTTTTCTAAAACAACTAAGTATTGACTTATTAATCAAGTCTCATATTCTTGATCCTATTCAGATTTTGTGTACCTTATACTAATTGGTGGCTTTTCCATTAGGTGGCGAGCTGTTGGTCTGTATGCCAACGCTAGTGCTCCAACAATGTCGATGATAAGATTAAGCAACAGAAGCTGCATCAGGGGAATCCAAAACTGGGTTTAGATAATAACTGGATTACAAGAAAATGAAGTAACAAAGGGATAACATTTTCGCACCTTCACGGCATGAAGTGGAAATGCATCATAAAATACAACCTCAACCACACAGATAGCCACGGTTGATACACTGACAGTGAGCCTGAATAGGACATATCTCTGGATATTGGTGTATAGTGATCTACACCATTGGATAACCTGCATCATTCAAATAAGCCAGGGCACAATCAAAATGACTTTTAACGAAATTTCACTGCCAAAAAGTCAAGTTTTGCTTATCATTATTGCATGCATTCTATAAGCCGAGCTCGTCATTTCAACCATGCATATGATACCAACCTTGAGAACTGTGACGAAATTATCATCCAATATAATGATATCGGAATTCTCTTTTGCTGCTGCTGTCCCCCCTATTCCCATTGCAAGGCTAACATCCGCCTGTGCAAGGAAAACAATAATTGATGGTATGTCTTTCAGTGTTTAGAATTCATTTTCTCTTTGAAATAACGTAATGAGTTTTAAACATTTAATATGATAATAATGACAGACCGCGCGTAAAGTCTTTGTATCATGTATTCCCATCCCAGTGGCTGCAACAACATACCCCTTTTCCTGCAGTGTTTTGACAAACAGAAGGCTGTCTGTGGGAGAGGCTTGAGCCAAAACCTTCACATATAGTAGTGTGTTAACTTCTGGTTCAGTCCAGTTCACGAACTGGTCGGCCCATATAGACATATAAAATATTATGTCGAAGCCAGAGAAAACCAAGCAATCTAACCAACCTAGTTAGTTTCCCATCAACATATATGTGAACAACAAGTTCACTCAGCTAGTTGCGACAGTGACAAGTGATACTGAATACAATTATCTTTTCACATGATATTACTAGTCGATGTATGAGACGTGCACAGATGGTTCTATATGTTAAAGCATAAATGTAGAAAAATGGATACATACTGAGATCTTTGGGGCGATCTGCTCTCTGTCATGATCAGAAAGATCACGAAATTGAGCTCCTGTCATTATATTAGTGTTAGATGAGTCTTCCAGTATCCCACAATCATTTGCTATTGCTTGTGCAGTCAAAATATCATCCTCCGTCACCATGCGGACCTGATAGTCAACATCTTCCACTTAGAAAATAGACCGATAAAAGGGGTTGATCCAAAGAAAGAAAATTGCTTAAACTTATTCTCTTCCTCATCATATATTTTAAAAAGAAGTCAACATATTATAAAGTACACAATTGGTAGGTTGGTGCTGCCATACAATTTATAGCAACTCAGAAAATATTACTACGCCAAACTTAGTTAGAGATGACAAATTTTCAGGACGAGAAGAAAATTTCACTCTACTAATATAAGTTCATAAAGCTTCAAATTTCATGTAAGAGAAAGAATGGTAAAACAGGCACCTTAACACCTCCAGAATTGCACATTTGGATCGCATTTCTTGTGCCTGGCCGGACGGAATCCTGCATGTTATTCAAGACATTGGATAAATATTGATAATAATAAGTCTTTATAGGCTTTGAATAAAGTGGGATCAGGTACCTTGTCCTTGATACAAACTTAAGTTTTAAAATGAGTGCTGGAAATGTTACCTTTATACCAATTATAGCCAACAAAACAAGGTCCTGAGGTAGTTTAGAACGTTCCTCCTCAGTGGTTGGAAGACTTCCCTGTTCATAGGATTGATACGCAAGTGCAGCACAACGCAGTCCTCCCATACACATGTCTCTAATTATTCCTTCAATCTCCTATAGAGAGAATGGACTTTTAAAAATCGAACAAGAAATTATAGTATAGTTGTGAATTTGTAATCTACGCTCATAAACAAAATACCCCTTTCTGTTCATCTATAGCTATGCGGTTGTTGGCCCCATCCATATACCATTTGCATGAATTAAGAATAACCTTTGCAGATCCTTTCCAATGTACGTGGGCTCGTGTACCAAGCTATAAATGAATAAGAAGAAAAATATATATATAAGAATCAAACATAGCACAAAAAAATGCATAATGGGGTTCTAACAAAGCTGGCCCAAAATATCCGTGTCAAGTGAAAACAGGTAGACATAAATATAGATCTATATATGACGCTCAGCAACAACATAGATAAGGTTATGTTTACCTGTAGTGCCACGCCTCCATATTTCTTGTTTGGATTGAATGGTATAGGATAAGGTAATGATGCTGACCTAGCCTCGTCAAATTTCATTCCCAACTACATAATAGGAGTAACTAACAGTCACTAGTTATAAACTTAATAGCTATAGCAAGTAGTAACGTAAGATTAGAAAGAAACTATACCTTATTCCCCCAGCTAAGAATGGCTTGTTCTGTTGACGATCCATAAAGCTTTGGTTCAGTGACTCCCTATAATTAATTATGAACTTGTTATGAATAATTCATATTCAAATAATCCTACTAACTGAACACCGTGAACCAAGACACAATTACCGTCTCAAAAACAACACTGCCATTTGTGTTATGGGCAATGCCTTCTACGATTAGTTCTTTAAGAATCGAGGGCAACTGTGAAACGTTATCCATATCATATGAATCATCATTCCTATCTTGCATTCTTATTCCTCCAGCCCAGACATCAACCACCGACATCTGCTTAGCATAAAAAATGAATGCTTAAATGGGTACTCAGGAAGAAAAATATGAAGCAGGAACGAGCTGATTGCATATAAAAGAAAACACTTGCCTGATTAGAAGTTAAAATTCCAGTTTTATGACACAATACATGTGTAACAGATCCCATTCTTTCACATGCAGAGTGTCTTTGAACCTGAAAGACATTAACGGAAGTTTAGCACATGTTGATGCTCTGACGACATTGAAGAATTTGGAATATGAATGTAGAGTACCATAGCGTTGTCTGCCATCATTTTTCTCGTTGTATTTGCAAGGCTGATGAGAAACAAGAAGAAGTAACTATGACAAAACTAGAAGTATGCATACTTAAGGTTATGGCACTCTTTGAATAGCAATGGAGTGTGGAACCATAATGCTTTGCCACACTGACCAAAGACCTAGGTATTCACCAGGCTTCTTCTGATATGTATTTAATTTAAGCAAATGTTTAAAAGGAAAGGAGACTTACTTCAAGAGAACAGCTATAGAAAGTCCAACAGGCACTGCCACTATTATTGTCGCGATCTGCAAAATTAATGTTTTTTAGGCGACGAGGTTACAAAGAATTACCATTGCTGTAGCCACGAAGGTAAAGTTCAGCATTCCCATACCCCAAAACTCAGGGATGTGATCACAAATTCTGTTGCTTCATCGATAGTGGTATTTCCGAGAATAAACATTGGAGTTCCATCTGATTTTTTGGTCTGGCCATAAAAGTATCTGGGAGTAAAAAGGGTTGTTATTGTCAGTATGGAGCAATAGATCTTAGATTTGAATGCAGAACATAAGCGCGATGGATACATCGTGAAAAAAGACAAGACTTACCGGCACAACTGAACAATACAGGCAACTGAAGCGAACGAAACGACTAACCAGCTAGCAGAAGTAGCAAGCCATTTTACGTACACCTAGTAAAACAAATCACAGGTGATAAATGCGCAAACTATCAAAGGCGGCAAGGAATTAGTAATCAATAAAACATACCTGAAAGGGCTTTTCTTCATCAGTCTCATGTTGGTTCTCCATCTTCAACCCCCATTCAGTGTTTATTCCAACACTTGTAACCTTCAACACACGGAGAAAGAATAAAGTGAGTTAGGAGATCAAGAACCATGTACAGAGAAAGCAATGACGGACGCCAATCTTCTCTCTGATAAAGAAAATCAATGATTATAATTTTACAGAGATAGAACAGTGTTCAGAACAACAGAACTATTGGCCGCACAAGTGTCAAATTTATAGTAAACTCGCAGAAACCATAGAAATTGGAAATGGCAGAAATATGCTACAACGGGGAGCCAGATTATGCGGTAAAAGGAACCAATGCACCTCAATTTAACCAAGGGCGAAAGCTGGCACTAGAAAAAGAGAGATCATTGAGGCAAAGAAAGAGAAGCTGTTTGCAGAGACACGTAAAAGCTTCCAGTGCAGCATTCTTTTGTTGCTAAGAGTTTATTATGGTTATAGTCGCATCCATGTCAATGTGACTTATCACTATCAAGATAGGCCTCATCTTTACTAACACCAGCTATAATACCTATGAGGTGGATGTGTTAAGCATAAAAATAAAAATAAAAGACGTGCCTCGAGAGCTTACCAGCATTGTACCTATGCCCTCTAGCACTTTCGAACCAGATAATAGAAATGGATCGTTTATAAGATCTTTTTGAACCTGCTGATTGAAAAAAGGGATTAGAAATACAGGAGAAGTAATGATTTAGCTCATCAACAGGGGCACATCATACAGTTACGTGTGAGCCGGTTATTTCTTGCTCGTCAATCTTCAATGAGTTTGCAACACACAGGACACCATCTGCAGGTACCTGCAGCATCGATCATAATTTAGAAAACTGAAGCTCAAGAAAAAAAAAGCCAAACGATGATTACTATTAAAAGTGTGATGCTTACCTGACAACCGTTCTTGAGGGGTACAATATCGCCGACAACAATATCATAAGTAGAAACCGAGAGTCTTCTTCCACCTCTAATAACCTGCAACGAAAAAAACGTTCAGCAAAAACTATGGGCAACACCAAAGACAAATAACAGAGAAATCTGTGTACAAGAACACACATCTAGGGGTACGTTTCTCTTCTCCTCACTAAATTTTTTAAACTGACGAGACTGCTTGAACTCGGTGATAGCTGCAAGATGGGAGATAAACAAAATAAATCAACTGCTTGTACTCTGTCTGACAATTGAAGCATAAAAACAAGTTTTAAAGTTGGCTAAGCAACTAAGAGCATCAAAGATACCTTTAACAACGATGCCAAGGGCAGTGGCCAAAATGACGCAAGCTTCGACATACAATCCATCGTGGATAGCCTGTCATGAGAGTAAGATATAGGAGATAAATTCAGAGGGAAGATTTAGAAGAGCCCAAATCCAAAAGAATCCCCCAGACAAAAGAAAAGAGACATGATATATGGCTAAATAAAAGGATGAATCTACACCATAGCAACAGTGTTATTGGTTATGACAGTTATTTTGGGAAACAAGAAACCAATTAGACAGAAGTGCATAAGTACATGAATTGTTGCAGTCAAGGCGAGCAGACAATCTTTAATTACGAAGAGATTTAGATCATGTTGTAGAGAAAAAAAGCTCACCTTTCCTTTCATTCGCAGCAGATAATTCATTACAGCAGCAATGATGATAAACAGAGAAGGAGGAAACTGGCTAGCTTTCCAGAGAAAGCTCTGCAACAACAGTCAATGGACACAAAACAAACAAAGAAAGATCTTCAATTGAAAAGATTTACCGAAAAAAGGTTTTCAATTGAAAAGATTTACCAAAACATTCTTGTCTAATAAAATGTAGATTGAATACCCAGAAAGTGTTTCCCTTTTTGCAAGGGTAAGTGTTCGACCCAAATGCCTGCCTACGCTTGAGTATCTCATCGTCGCGCCGATCAATTCCCTTTTTCAGGTCACTCTTGAGCAGAGATGATAATCCTCCAACCTTTTTGCATCATCAAATTGTGAATCAGAGGACAAAACCCTAAGCTAAGAAACATAGAATTCATCGACAACGCAGGAAGAATCGATTGAAGAAGAATTACCCCATTATGTTGGTTTAAAGCTTCAAGGCGATGAACTCCTCCGACCACTTGGACGAGTTCGTCCAATCCAATCCCAAAGCCGCCAGTAACTGAGGTTGCTATTGAAAAGAATGAACAAACCCAGTTTTTAGCTTAGAGGCGCGTAACAACAAAAACAAAAACAAAAAGTAAGCTTTAGGAACCAAAATAAAAAAATGTATAGCTAAATAAAATATTATACCTTTTGCTGATTCGGACTGATCATTTGTAAACTACATATCGCAAGAAAGTTAAAAACCCAGATTAGGAAACAAAAAAGTTGTGATTTTTGAATCAGACAGCATACTAAATTGAGAAATGTTATATTAAAAGCTTAATCATTTGCTTCTGTTACTCCTCGACACCAAAAACGAGTAAATCAGCTCTTTAATAAACAAGAACCACACGAGAGTTACAGGTATGTATATATGCATTCCTTTCCTACCGTGGGAGAAAGATCATCCCGGCGATCATGAGCTTCAGAGTTGCCGTCTTCAGGTGCAGGGACAGAGCCAGAAAGACCGGTCTCCAAATCCTGTGGAACTTCAACATCATCATGAGCTCTGGAAACATAGTAGCCGTCGAAACCAACCTCTGAATCTCCCGGCATGGCTTTGGATGGACAGATTGACAAATCAGTTGCTCTGATCGGCGATACCTTTAACCTCTGGTCGGCGATCTATTAACGACGGTCGTTAAATTTCGTGAAGGTGGTTATGGGACACCAATGTCGCGTCTTTTATAAAAGGGTAGAAGTAGTCTCGTATTCGTTTTGGGCTCTCCAAGATTTACAAACCATTGGGTTTATATATTGAGCATAAAAGGCAACTTCCCACGAAGGGAGTGTTATTCAATCTGTATGTTGAAATCAACTCTACTAGACTATAGTAGATTAGATTTTAAAATTTTTTTAATTCATTTAGAATCTAATGTATATAAATTGTTTAAAATTTTAAATTACTTAGCAGTGTATTTAGAAAATCACATGTTATCATTTAAAATCTAATAGAATAGAATTCTCAATAAATTTTGGATTTGAAAAAATTAAAGAAAAAAAAATCTAAAACCACAACGTAAGAAAAAAAAATCAAAGAAAAAAAGCAACACAATAAAAAAAGAAATTGCAACCTAAGAAAAAAAAAACCACATTCACTCCATATTGATTTGAATCCACCCTAACCTTTCTTCCACTGACATACTAACAAAAACATCTTATATTCCCAAATGGTAAATCTTGGTAAGTGCTTTGTAACGAATACGTTCTTCTAAATCCGAAATTTCTTTTATAGCATCCCAAACATTATTCTGATTTTTCTCCGCTTCTCTTTGTTGTCTTTCTTCTTTTTTCTATATTAAATTCAAGATTTGATTGCTAATCGTCATCACTGGATTTTCATCTTTTTTGGAAGTACCTCTCTCAGATCTAGCTCTTTTCTTTGGTTGAAACTTCTCTTTACGAAGATCTGAAGTTGTCTGGGAATCAAATGGTACAAAATGCTCTGGAGACTCATGGCGATGAGTTGTTCTTTCTAAGTCATATAAGTCATCAATACCATGCACATACTCTTCTTTATTTGTACGTGCATCTGTATTATCACTTAATCCAATTGCATTTTTCCCGGTAGCAACACCTTCTCCAAATATTATTTGAAACTCATCAAAAAATTCAAATGTTTCATAACGTAGGTTTTTTTAAATAATCTAATATATGATTGATATTAATCGATTTAAAATAATAGTAATGGATATTTAGTATTTTTATGATTTATGTTTATACAATATTTTAGTCTCAATTAATTAAAAATAAAAATATGATGATTATATTACAAGAATTTCTAAAATCAAATTATAATAAGATTTGTATGCTGATTGTGTCCGCGCGCCGCGGACAGATACCTAGTATTCTGATAAAACACTCTGTTTTCTACACAGAATTTGATATAAAAACAGAGTATGAAGTAAGAACAGAAACTGATTCTTTATTGAATCTGAAACTTGGTTTTTACATCACGGTTACAACATCTTAAGTAGTTACACAACAGACACGACACAACATACATGATTTAACAAAGAGTTGTGTCTTTTCTACTTGTGACTCTTAAAGAAATAACACATCCTAACTTAACAGACACGACTCTTAACTTTATATAACACAAACTCAATTATAATCAACATCGTCCAAGACCTTGAAGTATACAGGGAAAGAGCCTTTGGATCCTAGAATATCCATCTGCTGGTTTGATCAGTGAACGTCCATCAGAGTCATCACGAGCTTCTGCCACTAGCAAAATGACTAAAGATAATCAGAATCTGTCTCTGATGAAAAAAGTCATGCAAATGATAACACGTTGCAAACTGTGAAGCCTCTCAAGAACTCTAAAGATGCATCTGTTCTTCAAGCTAATGCTAAGGAGGGCACAAAAGTTTCAGCTATCAATGGTGGTTTGGTTCCTCCAACATCCATGAAACCATCAGGTCTCCGTAAGCCATCACCAAAAATCCGTTTCTTTGATGGAGTAAGTTCCCAAAGTTCATGACAAATGTAGAGAACAATTTTGCAATAGGTTGTTCCTTAAGATAGCCTCGGCAAGATCTATTTCTATCTGGAATCTTAGTACGTAATTGATCTCCCTCTCTCTCTCTGTTAAACAGGCAAGACATGGATCATCTTCATCTGCAAAATTGTTCTCTACATTTGTACAGCAAGTAATAAACAAGAAGTAAAAAATTCTAAAAAGAAATCATAAAGGGTTCAAGAAAGTATTTTTGAGTCAAGACACATTAAAAGAATAGCCACCAAAACAAAAATCCTAAAAACGTAAACCTTATAAAAAGCTAATGAATAAATTATCTTTGGCTACCAATAATAGTAGCATCTCTCCACATATCTGCAGCTATGGTCGCCCTCCATTGTCTTGCATATTCTCTTTCTTGATCTTGGGGCTCAACATTTCCTGTATCATCATTCTCTTCTGAATTATGATTTTCAGTTTCTTCATCATCATCTTCTTCGTCATCACTAGAAAACTCATCTGACCGACACCTTTTACGAAGAAAATTATGTAAACCCGCACACGCAAGAACAATCTCTGCTTGGGTCTTGAAAGAAAATGGTGGTGCAGATTTAAATATCAAGAACCGAGATTTAAATATACCAAAAATTCTCTCGATGACGTTTCTCAAAGACGCATGACGAAGGTTGAATAGTTCATTTTCATTTGCTGGATCACGTCCTTCACCCTGAAAATCTTGTAGATGATATCGTGTGCTTCGTAATGGAGCTAAGAAATTACGACGATTTGCAAATCCACAATCAGCTAAATAATATTTTCCTGAAACACCAAAAGACATAATAACTCATTTAAATTCAAAATATTACATCATTTATGATCATATTAGTTAGACCTGAATTAGAAATTACCTTCCGGAACTTGCAGTCGATTAGTTCTTCTTGTTAAGGCATCTTGTAAAACTTTTGAGTCGTGAGCCGAACCTTCCCATCCACTTAAAACATACATGAACTCGAGATCAAAGTTACAGGTAGCTAGTACGTTTTGCGAAAGGAATCTTTTTCGATTACGATAACTAGCTTTTTCATGACCTTTTACCATTGCATAAATGTGTGTGCCATCAATAGCTCCAATACAATCCTAAATTAGTTTAAAGTTATCAATATATAAATTTAGTAGAAATAATATTTAAACAGAAAAGAGAATTACCTTAAAGTAAGGATAAAATCTTGTGCTTTGGCTTATTTGTTCAGGTACTGTATGAGTAGGCTTGGCCATCAAACTTGGTGCGAGCGTGTTCAAAGCTCTGAGAACCTTATGAAAATTTGTACTTGCTGTAAACTTTGATCTCTTAAAAGTGTCAATCGTGTGACAATATTTTGAACTTTGGCCAACTGTCAACAAGAAAGTAGCAAGCATCTCTTCGACACACATATATCGTGTGTTTTCTAAACCTGTTTTTGTTCTGATAAGATAGTATAAATCTGCAAACACATCAGGATACATACGATACAATTGCCGAAAATGAATAGGATTCTCTTTCAAAGCTTTTTGTATATAATCATGCCCTTCTCTCGTGATTTGTCGCCGAATCGGACGTTCAATCTGATTCTCATACGTAGTTAAAGATCCCACAAGCATTAATAACATAAACATCTGAGTCATCTTCCTCATAAAGTGTTTGTTTCACCATTGAAAAACCTAAAATAACAATAAAATCAAAAGTTAAATCTAAAACTCACAGAAAGTAAAATCTGAACATATAAAAGCATGAAGAGTTTGCTAATGGATCAGAAAATCAGAGAAGACATAATAATAAATTAATTCACAAAAATTTAACAATAATCAAAGTAAAAAATCTCACTAGTCTCTATAAACATGGCGAAAAAATTAAATAATTAAAAACAAAAATCAGAACGATTGCTAAATCCAGAAAATATTACCTTTTCTTTGATGATTTATGGAGATAGAGAAGGAAGAGAGATATGTGTTAAGGAATAGAGAGAATAGTGTGAAATTGAGTTTTCATAATAATAAATTGTTTGATGAGATAAGGGAGAGAGAAATGGAGGAGGGAAAAAAAAACGTATGAAGAATGAAAAGACAAAATGGAGGGAAAAAAAAATTTAGAGGGATGAGAGAATGATGATCGACTAATACATGGAGGGAAGGAAAAAAAAAACAAGGTTAATAATTATTTGTGTTGAATTTTATAATTATCAAAATCTGAGGGTAAAAGGTTAGATTTTGATCGCTACATTTAACACATAAAAATAGGTTCAAATTCAGTTAAAATCTTTCACTTAAAATCAGTTGTAAGAATCTGTTAAACATGAATAACATAAGATTTTAATTGACTTATTCAACTCTTTAATTGAATAACAATGGATTTCAAACTTTATTAATGAAGAAATTGTAAATACATGAACCAATAACATTGGATTTCGAAAGAGAAATCAAAATCAATTATTGAATAACAATAGATTGTGGATGGATTTAAACTCTATTAAAAACCATGATTGAATAACACCCCCGAAGTGTATTTGGAAGCTCATTTTAATAAAAGGACAAAAAAAGGTACTACTTCTACCCTTTTATAAGCTCATTTTAATAAAAGGACAAAAAAAGGTACTACTTCTACCCTTTTATAAGCAAAAAAAGTCATAAATCTTGGTCCTTGACTTTCGTAAGATTATAAGCAAAATTAAATCTTGGCCCCTTTTACATTTAAATAGCCTGGAAGGAAAAAAAAAGTGTTTAGCCTCAAAGATATTGTTTACCAATGAACATAGTAAGTTTAGGTACAAAAATAAAAAAATTATAGCTAAATTAAATATTATACCTTTTGCTGATTCGGGCTGATCATGTGTAGACTATATAGCACACGAACATTGAAAACCCAGATTAGGAAATAAAAGTTGTGATTTTTGAATCAGGCAGCTTACTAAATTGAGAAATATTATATTATAAGCTTACTGCTTGATCATTTGCTCTGTTGCTCCTCGACACTAACAACGTACACTGTAAGAAGAGTTTATTAGCACTGAATTAAACACACGAGAGTAACAGATATGTATATATGCATTCCTACCGTGGAAGGAAGATCACTCCGGCGAACATGAGCTTCAAAGTCGCCGTCTTCAGGTGCAGGGGCAGAGCCATAAAGACCGGTCTCCAAATCCTGTGGAACTTCAACATCATCATGAGCTCTGGAAACAAAGTAGCCGTCGAAACCAAACTCTAAATCTTCCGGCATGTCTTTGGATGGACTCTCGGATAAACTGAACATTCACAAATCAGTTTTACGTTCTCTTTGGATGGACTCTCGGCATGTCTTTGGATGGACTCTGGGATTCCGATCGAATGGTCAAATATCTATATAATATATATATATATGTATATCGGTATATATTTTTTGGTCAAACATATATATATAACATATGCGTATATCTGTTAAAAACGGAAAAGCCACATGGAGTGGTGCATACGTATCAAGGCCTTGAGGGGACGTCCTATACACGGTTCACGTTTGCTCTTTGGTGTTGTTGAGGGAAGCTTCGCCAAACCGTATGGGAAAAAAAAATACATCTCCGTTGGAACGTTTTAATTATTATTATTATTATTATTATTGAATAAAATGTTAGATTATATTCCAAGAAAAACAACAAATGTTCTTTTTACAATGTGTTTTCAAACATTTTCCACAGTTAAGAGCTTAAAAACACCATCAGTGAGGAAATTTATTGGCTTCTCCTAGTGGCGAACCACAGGGACGTCTTAATTATGTGTATCGTTCTTGGAGACAAACCTTAAACTTTTAAGTTTTAATCTTTAAAAAATTGTGGCATTGTATGTGTAACGCTTCGCTTATTTTATATTGTGGTACTGATTTGGATTCTGTTTTTTTTTCCGCGATGCCTTTCAGTCAGTAAATTCGTACAATCTGATATTTTAAGATGAGAAAAATCTTTTTTTTTTTTAAAAAGACGCGTGATAAACTTTTGGGCCAATTACTAGGATAAAAAATTGTAAACCCAAAAATGCTCATTTTATTCCTCGAGCATTTCAAATTGGATGATCAAAAACCGACTCGTAATACAACGCCTTAAGGCAAATCTGATTTTTTATGATGATAAAACTATTGGAAGATCGCTGCGATCGACCATACCGATATTATAGAAATTATAAAGATCAAGAAAAATATAGAAGATTATGGAAGATCTTAGTTTAGAAAAATTTAACTTTTTCTTTAAATATATTATTTATATTTGTATGTATCTTAATTTAGGAATCTAGGTCTAATTCATTTCTATATAAGTCTATGCATATTGTAACATTATTTTCATGAGAGTCTAATATAATTCTTTTTAAACACTTTTGTGTTCTTACTCTCATCAATTTATCATGGTTTCAAAGCCTAGATCCAATTTTTATAGATTATGATTTTGTTTTTCTTTCCGTCTTTTGCGTTAAAAATATGAGAAAAAAAAAGTGAGATGTGATATTTTTGATGGATCATTTAAATGATTCGGTCATTTGATTGACCATATTGTTTTTGACTATATTTTGGGTTCTTTGTTTCGCCGCTACTGATTAAGAAGTCAAGTACATGCAAAGTTTCATGGAAGATTTTGTTGATCATTTCTTATATTTGATTGACCATATATCACATCTTAAATATATGTATTGTAGACATAAATAGTACACATGTTATCTTCATATTACCATTTTTGTTATAACTGTATCTTAGACAATAGACATGAATAGTACATGTAGAACAGTAGTAATCTGTGTCAGTTAATTTTCGAAACTTTTGTTACTATATTTGTTGTTTGGGACCTCAAGTATCTATTATGAAAACAACTGGTAGTGGTTGGAGTGTTAATCATCGTAATATTTGGTACATGCAACATTACATTCAATACATTTTTTTAATGTTTAACTGTGGACTTCTATTCACGTCTTTTTGCTTCTTTGATTTAAAGTTAATGTATTTATTTGATTTGCATTAAAAGATAGTGAATTATATGGATTACAATGAAAAAAAAAACAAGTTTATTGATTTTGACCCAAAAAATAAGTTTTTTGATAAAATATATCTTCCAGCTAGGGATTAAAAAATAAAGCAAATAGTTTTTTATGGGTGTGTGAACTGAAGTGGAGAACAAAAACCTCAAAATTTAAGCGTGTGAAAATTGGGTTGGAGAACAAAAAAGAAAATTGTATTTGTATTTGTATATATATATTTTTTTAAGAAAATTGTTTTTCAAACATTCCTTCGTGATCTTCTTGCCATATCCAACATTTCCTCGTGATTTTCTTGACATCAGCAATTCAGCATACTTCTTGACATCAGCAATTCAGCATACTTAGAAACGAGTATTGTTTAAGAAGCTTCGCCGAAGCTTCCCACCTAAAAGCAACTCCATCAGTGTAACTCAATACAAATCTCTTAGGAATTCTTTATTAATTTTTTTGAGGAGTTGATTTGGGGGAGTTTAACAAAACTAAAATTGAAAGATGATGGCAGAGGCGTAAATTAGGGGAGTTTGACAAAATTAAAATTGAAAGACCAATCACCTTCCTCCACATCGCCAAAGAGACTGTCTCCTGCGCCCTTTAGCTAAGAATCGGTCTGTCAAAATTTTTGGATTTTTCATTTAAATTTAATTGATTTTGCCTAGGAAACTGGACTGAAAAGTGGGTACGAGACCTTGATGGAGCTGGTCTAAAAGACTGCAATTAGCTTAAATAAAGCCACATGCAGACTTTGAATAATAATCTTTGGGCCGTATAAATTATATGCGTACAGTAAAAAAAGAGCCCAAATAAAGTACAGCCTAGAAGAAAGGATCTCAAACCTCCTGAGATATGAGAAACTCCGATCTTTTCTTCTTTCTGTAACCTTCGAATTGGTACTAGCTCGATAATGAAATTGATTTCTCTTGCCTCAAAAAATCAGTTAACGTTACCAAATAATGAAATGAGCGTACAAAAAATATATAGATAGATACAAGTGATCAAGCTACAGGAAACTTAACCACCTATACATCTAATATTCTTATCATTATCCCTCTTAATTCAATGATTCTAATGGCCACTCCCCTCATATTGATGACCTCTCTTTCAAAAACTCATAAAACTTTACCTTCCACAATCCTATTGAGAAAGCAAAACCCTTTTCAAAGAGCCTCTGAAATCAAATCATGGCATCAAAAGATCTACATGTATTTTTCTGTCTTTCTTTTTGAAAGATATTATCGATGATTACAAGGGACAACGAACCAGTTAAGCCTCGAGAATCCAAGTGCGGTTATATAGTGATATGTTTACAAAGTTTAATATGTTGAGTTAGCATGAAATTGTATTTTTCTTGCTTGCTTCATCATCAACAATTTAGGATGGTTTGTAGAAGCTTCGGAAACCAAATCAAATTACAGATATTTTTCTTGCTCGCTTCATCATCCGATAAGGTTTTGGAAGGGAACACTGCATGCTCTAATTTCCCTTGGTAAAACGTGCTTTAATTTGTTGTCTTTGGAGCCTAGAGCCAATGTTAATTCTTTAAAGATTAAACTAATAAATAAATGCATCATCTAACATCTATATGCTTTTATAAGAGCATTTCCAACACAGACCTTTATTTTAAGGATGACAAATCTCTAAAATGAATGTTTGAAGATGCATTGCTTCAATAGTAAAACCTCAAATCTATTTTAAAGAAAGTTTGTATTTTACATTATGGTCCTCAATGTTTATAATTATTAACTATAATGATACAACTTTTATATATAAATATAGAACACATAAAAAATTATATATAAAACAAATTACACAATAACAGAAAATTACATATAAAATAAGAAATAAAACACACACAAATCAAATTATAAAATTACATGAATAAATTTCTTGGTTTATTTTGTGTAATACTTATGTTTTTATGTAGCTTTAATTTTTGTGTTGAATTACTTTATGTGTTTTGATGTATTTTTATTATGTTTAATTATAAGAATGTTATGTAATATTTCTTTTTTATTGATAATTATAATTTTAAATTTTAAGTATTTATTTGATTTTTATTAATAATATTTAAATTTAAATGATATTTTTATATTTACAAGATATCTAATTATATGGACTAAAATGAAAAGAAGAATAAAATGTATTAAGATCTACAATTATAAGGACTAAAAAGTAAAGTAAAACAGTTTTTTAAAGATCTGAATAGTGGATCCTCAAATTTGAGGTTTTACTATTCAAAACCTCAAATTTTGAGGGTTTGAAGGTTGGGTTGGAGCACAAAAAACTTTAAATTTGAGGGTTTAAGAACTGGGTTGGAGATGCTCTAAATGGGTTAAAAAGAAGGGAGGACGTCGCTGAGAAGGGACAAAAGAGAAGTTCTAAATGACGATGAAAAGATAGAAAAGAAAATAAAGGAGGTAAGTTAGATATGGTGTAGGAGACTAGTGGAGAGGAGTCTGAAGGATACGGCTAAAGCACATCAGAGTTTGGATGGTGAAAAAAAAAACCAGTTGTAAGCTAGAAAGAGAAATGAAAATTAATAATGAGCATGGTTGATTGGCTTGATGCAACCAATATAAGTTGATGAGCACCATGGATAATGCGAGCAATATAAAGATTAATTGTTTGCATATAACATACATGATGTTTTGTTTTTTCTATAAATCACGTATTTTAAAGTTAGATCAAGTCTTCTTACCAAATATACAATACTTGAGCACTGATGTTAGCTTTCTCTAATATTGACTTAGTTAAGTGTTAATGTCTAACATAAGAGGGCTCCATATATCATCTACTACTCCAGCTTTCTTATGGAAAAAAAAAAACAATAATACAAAAACAAGGTTAAGGTTAAAATAAAATGATATTTTTGTTTAATAGAACAATGATTTTTTTTTTTTTTGGAACCTGGAACAATGATTTCTTGAGTATCCTATATATGTTGATAAGTTTTGTTTTTGTCTACCGATGTTGATAAGTTAAAACTGATTTTAAATTGAAATTATGAAGTTCTGTTGACTGAACCAAAAAAAAAACTATCGATAAACAGAACAGATTAACGGTGTTAAAAATTCTGTTGCATAGCACAGCTACATGAAATGAAATGACCTCGTCTATCTTCTTAAAACCCCATATCACGAAAATCCCCAAATTGTTTCTTCTAGCCCTAAATCACCAATTCGATTTCTGCTAAATCCCTACACCAAAACATATGGATCTCTTCTTAATCTTATTCTAGACAAATTCCAAACAATGATTTTTAGTACGAAAAAAATTAAATCTAAAAATATAATTTCGACATTTCATTTATAAATAAGTACTATTTAAAAAAGAGTGCTTATAAAAAATTACAACCTCATATAAAGGGATTTTTCCAATTTCTCTGTATGCATCCAGAAAATACATATATACATTTTTGGGCTATAAATTGGTTATTTCATATTCTGGGCTATAGAAATTGATTTTTTTTTGGCTATATATTAAAATGGCTACTTCAATTCAATACCATCAAAGTTCCCAACTTTACAAATTTCATCAAAAGGGAGAAAAAAAAGAGCTTGATTGGTTCTCGAATCAAGATCCAAAGAGAGAAAAGCTTTGTATTGCACTATTGCTTAGTTGACTTCTTCTTCCTCACAAATCCTTCCTCTCTGATTTCAACACTTTACTTTCACTCCTCACTCTGATTTACTTTTCTTCTCCTATATCATTTCCAATCCAAGCAATCACATTTTTCTCCTTCATATATACTGAAGCTTCTGAATTTCATTTCATTTTAAAGAAAAAAAATGCGTTTGGATTTAGATTGTGGATGTATGTATTTGGAAGTCTCTTTGTTTTTCACTATTTGATTCGTGGTTTTGTTTGTTGAGCAGTGAATGAAACAGTTCTCAAGTTGTTTGCAATAATGCTTCAATAAAGGCTTTTAAAGGTCTTTAAAAGTAAAAAGCCTAAAAGTCCAGAATTTCTTATTGAAATTACAAAAAGCTTTAATGGTGTTAATGTTGATAGTGAATGAAATGATTGAATTTACTTGGTCCATTTTAGATATCTCTAAAAACATTTGTGGTTTGAAATTCTTTTATTTCTAAATCATCAATCATTTCATAACAGCTTGATCAAGAGTATTTATGTCGCAGAAATAAAAGATAGAAACTCTTTTTCTAGCTCTGTACCCTTTTCAACTTTTAAGTTTAAAAAATATTTTCAACTTTTAAGTTCTCATTAAGTGGCAATCTGATTCTGACTTTTTTAGTGAAAAAAATGGATTTTACTATATTACCAACTTAAGTTATTGTTTGATGGCTTCTATTGACAATTGATGATAAAGAAGAAGGAATCTAGTTTGTTCTTGCTCCCAATAACAAGCAATTGTTAGAAAAATGTAACTGAAAGAAAAAGAAAAAAAAACAAATTATTGGAATGAAAAAAGTGAGAGCAAGTGGGGACAATTTAGGGGCCTTGTGTTAACAGAATACCAGGAGAAGCATACATTTCTTGCTTTATCTATCTGTAAGGATGATCTACATTACATGATTCTTTAACAGTGTTTTTACATGTGTATCAGATATTTTATTCACCAAACTTTATTCCTCTGCCATTACCATCTGGAAAGAAAGAAAAAAAAAATGCTTATGTAACTCCCACCCAACAATATAACATGCCATATCACATGAACTTGCAGACAGTTTTCTTGTGCTTCGGCTTGTATTTTTACTCCACCTTTGTTTAAATCTTGCGTAAGATCTCAGGAAACTTCTTTTCTGATTTCTTTAACTTTCTTGTGTTGTCATTTTGAGCCCTTTTAGTTCTTGCATTTGATTTTGTTCTCTGATTTTTTTTTTTTTTTTTTGCTTTGGATAATTGGATTTCTTTAAGAAGGAATTGCTCAGATAAGAGTTCTTTGGGTTTTTTTTTCCTGTCAGATGGATGATAATCGGCAAAATGCATCCTGAGATTCAAATTTAGTCATCTCTACAGAGATTGGTTTTGTTGTTGCTTTTTAAGAGCAACAACCATGTCCATGAGAGATGAGAAACAGATTGAGATGAGGAACAAAATGATGCTATTTGGTTTACTGTTTAAGAAAATCTTTGATGAGGAAAAGGGTAAGCTTCTTCAGAGGCTTGAGGACGCCAATAGTGAAATTACAGAGTTGAAGAAAGTGAGAAACGAAGATGCAAAAGCTAACGAGAAGGTAGTTCGCATTATCGCGTCTCAAAAACAGATTTGGCTAAAGGAAAGGTACAAATTTAGGCTGCAGATTGAAGCTCTGATGAGGGAACTAAGGAACATGGAGAAGAGGAAGAGAAAAAGCTTATCGGAGTTGCAAGAAAGATTAAAAGAAAAAGAAGGTTTAGTGCAATCTAAAGATAAGGCAATAGAAGAAGAGAAGCGTAAATGCGTAGAGTTAGAGGAAAAGCTGGTCAAAGCAGAAAAAGAAGTACAAGATTTAAGGGAAACACAAGAGAGAGATGTGCAAGAACATTCTTCTGAGCTATGGAGGCAAAAGAAGACATTCCTTGAGCTTGCTTCTAGCCAGAGACAGCTTGAAGCTGAACTGAGTCGTGCACATAAGCAAATCGAGGCTAAAGGGTATGAACTTGAAGACTTGTCATTAGAAATCATTAAGATGCGAAAAGATTTGGAACAGAAAGATCGAATCTTGGCAATGATGTTGAAGAAGTCAAAACCGGACATGACCGAGAAGCAGACATTACATAGAGAGGCCAAAACGAAACAAGATGAAAATGAAGCAAAGAAATGGAGATCGAATTCAAGAAAACACGAGCGACGGTCACTAAGAAGCATGTTTGCTTTTGAAGCGACAAGCAAGAGTAAGACTAACAATGTTGATTCCATTACTCACATTGAACAATTGGAATCGAATCAAGATCCTGATGTCATTCCAGAAATCATGGATTCCTACTCTATTGGTGAACTAAGTGAACTAGGTAAGTCAAGTTTCATTTATAGCTTTTGTTTCAAATTTAAAATTGCTTCTGAATCTCCATTTTGTGTGTATCTTAAAAGGAATCGATGGATTCGTAAAGAAGCGTGAGAATTTGAGTTTTGGAGAGGAAGAACTTTGTATTAGAGTGATAGGGAAGAATCAAGAGATAGAGCTAGAGGGTTTTACAGAGAATTTGAAACTAAAAGATGAAAAGGTTGAAGCTTTGTGTTTGCATCTGATGAACTCTGAGTTAGAATCACACCGGTTAAGATCTTGTATTGAAGGACTGAGCCAAGAAATGTCACAGTTGAGACACAATAACACAAAACTGGAAAGCCTGGTAAGCCGTAGAGGTGAAGAACCGGTTGCCCTGAAGAAGCAGCAATTCAAGACACAGCTAAGAAGCTTGGTGTCCCACAAGAACAATACGAGTTGTAAAAGAAAGAACACAATAACAGAACCACGAGAAGAGCGAGAAAGTGAACTTGCGACCGATAAAGGAAGGGAATCATATTCTCCCGATGAACTGAGACATTTAACTTTGAAGGCTGCTCAATCTGATGCTGAAGAAGAATCTGAAAAGGAAAGTCTCTTACCAGAGAATGAGTTTACCAAAAGAGAAAATGCAGATGGTAAGGAGAGTGCGAGCTTAGAAAAGCCATCAATCACACGCAATCCACCTTGGAGAATGGATCTTCATGCTCTTGGAGTTTCATTCAAGATCAAAAGGTTGAAACAACAGCTTATGATGCTTGAGAGATATATCAGAAAACAAGAGAGCCAAGAGACTGACAAAAGCAGCAGTGAAACCGGGAAAAGGGCTTTGTTATTGCTCATTACATTGCTCAACAAACAAGTTACTAGGTATCAATCACTACAAGAGAAGATCGATGATTTGTGCAAAAGAATGGTAAACAATCATTTGCTCATATCAATTACATTACTATCTCTGTTAACATAAACTGATTCTTTTTGTCTTATATATATAGCATGTGAATGATTCAGAGAAGATTAGCGGAAATATCAGAGCAAATGGGGAAGCGAAAATATCACTAGAGCATTTCTTAGATGAGACATTTCAGCTTCAAAGATACATAGTGGCAACAGGACAGAAACTGATGGAAATCCAATCGAAGATCGCTTCTGGCTTTGTTGAGGTTCTAGTAGGCTTAATCAGTACTGAATCCTCCACTTCTAGTAGCTGCTTTGATCCAGAACGTTTTGCAGAAAGCATCAAAAGTCTGTTTCAGGAAGTGCAGAGAGGGCTTGAAGTTAGGATATCTCGAATCATAGGTGATCTTGAAGGGACATTAGCTCGTGAGGGAATGTTACATTTGAAACGAAGGGTCACATGGAGCAACGAGTATGAGAAGCTACAAAACGTGTAAACTAAATTCTTTACAATTCCTCCTCAGATCTTCTTTAGGTTTTGTATATAGAGACTTCACTTATTTATACAGGGATAAATTGGTTGTGTTTAAACTTCTGCACTAGCATTACTCAAAAAAATTATGTTCCAATATAACAAAGTGGAGATGCTCAATCTGCTTATTGGTTTGGTTTACAGATTATAATTTCGGTTTGGTATTGGTTAACTAATTAGAAGAGCACTAAATAAAAAAAAAAAGTATTATAAAGAGAAGATAGAGAGAATTAGATAGATAATGAGGCTACGGATGGGGCTTAAATTGGATGTATATGTCGCTTTTGGAAGTGATAGTAAAAAGCATTTGCATGTGTGTTTTTGCTTTGGCTCTTGTTTATTTTGTTAAAGCTTCAAACATTATTCAATCTACAATGTTTGGTAGTTGAGTCTAGTAATTATTATCTTCATAAGATAAGATTTTCTAATATATATGATATTTATAAGAACAGAGATATTTGATAAAAGGTATAACTAATGCGTTAAGACAATAGTCAATCATTTTTTTAAAAAATTATTATACTTTTAGGTCTCTTCGGATATTTTAATTCATAAGAAAAATCAAAATGACATTTAAAATATGTACTTTTGGTTCCGGCGGATAGCAAGAAAGGTTTTCTCCACAACTTTACAAATTGCATTTGTAAACACTTCATGTTTCGTAAACGCAATCAAATTGCTTTATGATAAAACTAAAAACTATAAAGCACACAAGTGCCAAAAATAAAAAAAGGCCTTCGTTATGGTTATCTTTATAATTCCCCCTTTACTGTTTTTTTCTTTCTATTTCTTAAACGGATGCATAGAATCTCATATGCTATTAAGTATTATCTTATATCAAAGTTGAGAGAAGAAAGTAACATTTGACTAATGTGAGTGGCCTCTCAATTTCTCATAACCTAACATGTTAAAATCAGAGCAGTCCTCAAATTTCATCTTACCAACGTCACTTACTTTTGTTTGTATATTTTTTATAACGAAAATCTGAGCCAAAAGCTCATACTAATCTATGTAAATCGCTGGATATAGTTTGTCTTTTAAGTTTTAAGATAATCACAATAGTTAAAGATGATTGAAATTACGGTTGAAACTCTGAACTATGGTCTATAAGTTTTCAAGATGAGTTCTTAGTGAGTCACCATGATTTTTTTTTATATTACTTACAAATATATTATTATACACAACACAGTTCTTTTATTATTCAATTTGTATGGCGTAGACCAAATTCTAAAAAAATATAATCCCGTGTCCAAATAAAACCCGAAATGTAAAAAGATATTCCACTAAACATGAGACACCTGTCATTTTCACTTTCTAGATTCATATTATGTACTTATATAATCATTATATTTATCATACTATCTGTAATCATGAGTGTAATGTGTACATAAGCATTGCAAATACCTTGAAAATTAAACGCAAGTTTTGACCTTAAAATTCGCCCCCCAAAAATTATTTTGACCTTCGTTTGAGTTTTGTAATTTTTTCCCTCTTGGATAAGAACTTAAGAAGCAAACCAATTCGTTTTAAAAGAGGAAAAAATAAACAATTTTTTGATTTTGTTTATGAAAAATCAAACCTATCGATCTTTTAATTTAGATATAAAGAGAACCGAAACTCCAAACACAGATTAAAACACTACATGAGATTTTTTATACGAAAAATAATTAATGAATAGTAAGATTTATGGTAAAAAACAAAGTGTGAATTCAATTTCAAGTTTATTGCTTACTAATTTGAAAAGTCTAGATTAATATATGACCTATACTTTGACTATGCAATCTCGATTAATGATAAAGCTGAGTGCTAGGGGTAAAAATAATCTCAATCATTTAAGTCGTGGTAATGGTCCAAGCTTTAGTTTAGTTTAGAAGGTCAATTTGTGTTTGAGAGGCTCATAATCTAAGTGTTGACAAAATTATAAGAGTATGATTTTCTAAAAATTAGTATCGTTTCATTTCTCGAAAATGTGTTGCTGTATGACCTTATGCCTAACGAATCATCACAATTAAAAAATTAAAGAAGTGATATTAACTTTTGGATAGATTCTAACAGACACATACTAGCAGTTTCAACTTTCAACATGTAGTAAAACTGACATATATACATACATCAAATATATGTGCATGAAAGATGAAAGTAAGAGAATGCGAAGAGACAGGAGATTCGCATGATTCTCCTAATCTTCGCACTCATTTTCTACACAAAAGTCGCTACAAACATAACTGACGCAACGACAAAGAAAGAGAGAGACTGAACATCAACAAAGAAGCTGCCTTTGACTTTTTCAAACCCTAAACCAAATTGACCGTTTGTCCATTAACACGTCCTCCTCAACGTCCATCGTGATTACCTTTCTGTATTTCTTACCAATAATATTTTATGTTTTTACTTTTTACAAATTCCAAACTGCCTAATACAAAGCATGTATATTGTAATAGTAATTATGATAAAATGCCCACAAATTTAACGTTTTGAGACCTAATCATTAACTTGGCATAACGAAATCATCAGATAATTTATGGGATTTATATAATTCCAGAATTGTTGATAGTGAAGGTACTTAATTTTACAAGTCGTTTTCAATAGTAAACAAACAAAAGGGTTATCCCTCGTGAACAAGAAGCTCATAAGAGGAGCGTTTTTTTATTTATTCAATTTAAATTCAATTCATTTATACTATTTATTTTCTTTTCTTCTCCTTCATGTCTTCTCTCCCCATTATTCATCCTCCTTAACTTTTCCTTTTTCTTGTTCAAATGAATCCAATTCCAAAAAAGGTTTTCCTTTTCGCCTATTTAATCTCAACCCATTTCATATAACGTCAAAAACATTATTGGGTTTCCATTAACAACTAAACAAAAATGGGTTTTGCTAATGATCAAGATCGGTTCTGTTCAACGCCTAAGCTTCCTCTGTTTTCATATCCGATGAACAGAGCATATGAAACTCCGGGATTAGCTACACCGCCGGTTAATATTGCGGGATCTGTTCCTTTTCTATGGGAAGAAGCTCCGGGAAAGCCTCGTTCTTCCATCAGAAAACCGGCGAGATCGAACCAAACCGGAGAAAAAAGAGGAGCCGCGAGATGCTTGGACCTTCCTCCGAGGCTGCTTTTGCCCGGAGAATCTTGTAAATCGTCGACGGCGAACGAGCCTTCTCCGACGACTGTTCTCGATGGTCCTTGCGATTTACGTCGCCGTTCGCTGTCGCTACCGAGGTCGGCGTCTGTAATTAGGAAGCTGAGAGGTGTTCCGGCGCCGGCGAAGGAAAAGAGATTGTTTGGGTCAAGTAGATGGGGAAGTTTTGGGAAATGCAAAGAGGCTTCGGAGGGTATTTTCGACTTTTCACGTTTCAGAGACGAAGGTTGTGATTGCCGGAGGGATTGGGCCGGAGGAGGAGGTTATTTCGCCGGCGACGACGGCACAAAAGTGAAACTTTTTACGGTTAAAAGGAAAGGAAGCCTTTTTAATCTCTCTCACACAACAAAGTCAGATTTCTGGGTAAGTTTCATTTTTCCAGCTAGGCAAAAATCAAAGTTACATACTTTTTCCCAAAATTCAAAACCTTTTTCAGTTTCCGATTTAAGTTGAGTTAATTAAGTAATTTACTAATTCCAAACCAGCTCTAGAACTTTGTGAGATTTTCCGAATTAGAAAGATTAACTTTCAGTGAAATATCATTTTTTGCAACAACAACAGAAAAAAGAGAGAGACTATTTTCATAGTAAAGTATTAAAAAATATATATATACTTTAAAAAAATAGTGTACCATCTTTTGAGTTTTGGGTGGAGGAAGTTATTGTGTAACCCAATTATTCGATATTTAAAAATGCAGGCAAGGGTTTACGAAGGGTTTAAGCAAGTGATTCCATGGAGGCGTAAGCAAGAGAATCTGTAAAGGATGAATTCTTCCACTATTTAAATCGAATCTCTCTTAAAAATTTCTTCTAATTCTATAACTGATTAATATACTAATTAACTAGTCTGATCTTGTGTATACTTTATTTATATACAATCTGTCAAGGAAACAATCTATATTAAGTACAATTTACAATGAAAATTAGGGGTTTCACTTTTTATCTTCCTTACATTTCATTTTATATGATGTTTGTTAAATCCCTGGAGATTTCTAAAAGTTTGAATCACATGATTGCCTTACTCTATTTTATAATTTATAATTTTAAAATGAAAAAAAAATTTGGAATGATTTGGAAATGAAATAAAATTCATATTAATTAATATTATAAAATAAAAAAAGTTCACTAAATCACTACTCATCTGATAATAAAGAGGATTCTCTCATGTGAAATGATGAAAACAAAAGGTGAATAAGAGTTTCTTATATTACATCTTTGTCTATAATGGACTTTCGCTAGTTTTTCTAAATTTTGTCAAAGTTGTTAGGAAATCGCAGTTTTATTATAGAGCAGACATTTCTATACAATCATTATACTACGACATTTGTGAATTATATCGTAGGCAACTTATAATCATTTATTCAACTCACCAAACCTAGATTTCAGTCATCAAAATGATTTATAAAAGCGTTCCACTTATTTTCATCATATAAATGGATCTGAATAAGTTAATAATAATCCCTAGATATTCTTTTGACCAAATACCCAAAAAACAAATCCCTAGATATTCTAGATTGACCAATTGGGTCACTAGAAAAACAGAAAACATCAGTCTAAAATAAAATGAAGACATAAGATAGAATTGTAGAAATTAAACACTAAAATAATTCAGTAGTAATCACCATTGGCGGCTAGTGACTTCCTTCTCTTGTAATTAGCTTTGAAACAAGCTTGTCTTAGTTTCTTGGTTCCAACAGTGAGCTCAGCATCAGGTTCCTGCTCTATATGGACCCTATGTTCCTCCAAGTTCTTCACTTCCTCCTCCATTCCTACACCCTGTCACCAAACCATGTTTTGATCCGATCTTCATTAAATTTCTAAATCAAGAACGTAATAAACCCTACAACGCCACTGAATCACAAGGAAACGGTTATTAATTAATGAAATGATGTTTTGTACCTTGAGATTCTTGATGAGAGAGTTAAGACTCTTGAGCTTCCGGTGAGGCCACCGGTAAATTCCTAGATCTCTGCAACGCTTCTTCAACACGGTGAGTCCAACGTTGAGTTCTTTAGCCGCTTTCATGATTGGTCTGTCGAAGAACTTTCTGATCTCAGACAACTCCAACTTGTCCTGTCTCTTTGTCCTAGAGTTCCTCTTCCTCCGTGTTCTCTTCTCGCATCTCTCAGTTGAACTGAGACAGTCTTTGTTTTGGACGGCCACTGGTGAAGAGGAGTCATTTGAGATGTAGGGTTCTTGCGTCAACATGAGCACGTCAGATGAGATTGTGTTATTCACTTCAATGTTTTCGAAGAAATTTCCAAAGTCATTGAACTGAAACTGAAAATGAAACGCTGCATCTAGTTTCAAATCATCGGTCTCTAGCAGAGACTCAAGCGGAGGCAACCTGTAGATGGAAAAACAATTAACAAAGGAAAGAACAAAAAAAACTAGGGCAAACCAATGATGACTTGTTTACCAAGAAAACGATTCATGTGTTTCCAACTTACTTATCGAGCATGTCGTAGAACGAATCTGGATCATTCTTGTTTTCCATTTTCATAGAAACGAGTGGGAGGACAGAGTTAGGATCCATTTGTTGAAGAGGATGTGAGAGTAAACAGAGCAGAACAGTTATGAGATAGAAACAGAGGAGTGTGTTGACGAAGGCATATATATTCTCTGCAATGTTCGTAGGAAATTGTGTGCAATGTAATGGGAGTTACGAGTCCCAAAGGGTATAATCATTAATTAGTTGAAGAGATTACCGTGTGATTTAATTAATTGTGTGATCATGGGGGCTGAATTGTGAGTTAGTTGCTTCTTTAATGATGCTGAGGATTATACTTTCTTCTCCTTCTTCGTCCTTTGGTCAAAGTCAATGCATGAAAGTAGATAAGATCTAAATTGGTGAAAATTCATAATCGATATTAAATGAATGGAGTGTTTATGTTATCTCGTATTAGATGATGCATGTGTTTTACATGTTATGATCATAGATACATGTGATGTGAAAAAGAGGATTGAGAAGATAGTCAGAGACTCAGAGTTTATGAGAGTCTTTGCTAATTATAGTTCACTTTGTAAATGAAAATATGAATAAGAAAAAAAAAACGTAGTCAAATTAAAAAAGGTTTAAATGTTATCATCTGTCTAGATTCAGTCACACGATACTAATACATTGTTTGATTAACACTACAATAATTGCATTCTTGAAGGGCAATGAAGAAAGAATCAAACTTCTTTTTTTCACATTGGTGTTTTAGTTTCGCCCAAATTCTTGAATTGTACTTGTGGCCAACGTAAGAACGTCTACAAACGCAGAGAACGATGCTCGAAGAAGCCTTGCCTCTATTGCTTCAAAGTGCCTATAATCCGGTGAGAAAAAAAATCAAAACTAAGGTTCTATGGACCCGAAGATGCCTAATTGAATTCGATTTAAGCGATTCAACGATCAAATAAGACGATGAAAGACTTTGAGAAAACTCACACAGAAAGCTTGTTGTTTGATACAGACATAACTCTTCTCACTTTATCAGGCTGCAACTGCAATAATGGTCAAATTCTCTAACATAAGTGAGATGGAGAAAAACAGATTACTTTTGATGGAAATTAAAAATTATTCACAAAACGAAGTGTGATTTGGGAGATTTCAAACCTCTTTATCAACAGCCAATGTTGTGTAAGCAATCAAAGCATGTTCTTCAGATTCAAAATTCACATCCAAGATACTGCAAATTGGCAAAAACAAAAAACTCTGTTACATCAAAGATAACCACAATCCCTAACTTTTGAACATAAAATCCCATTGAAAATAAACCAAATTTAATCAAGTCTATAACAGTGTGTTCCTAATATCAAAATCTCTAAGCCAAGCCCTAAATTTGAAGTCTAATAACTTCAAATTGACCCAATTGAGCGGAGATCATGAAACTTGGTCGTGTTGCTGTTAATGTGAGTAAAGATCGAAACTTTGGAATGTAGATCAAAGAAATTTCTTCAAATCAAATCAAATGTGTCAGACCCTAGATTTCTATAATCATTTCCGTATGTTCTATCATCAGATACAGAGCAAAAACGTTACGAACAACCGCAAACTAAGAGCTGAATCACTAAAAAGGAGAAGAATTGAAAAACAGAATCCCAAATCAAAGAAGATGATCGTAGAACAGAAAGTAAGAGAATTGACTGAACATACCAGCTAAAATCCCAAGTTTGGTTAGAAGGAGCAATTGCAGGAACAGTCGCAGCCATTTTTTAGCTGCTTCCTCCCTTCGTCAATGGAGGTTTCGGCCTAAAAATTGAAACTTTTTTTTTTTTCCCGACGAGCACAAACAAAAAAAAAACACAGAAGCAGGATTTTGAGTGGGCTACCAAAATAAGCTTCTTATTTACCGGCCCGGCCCAATATTTGTTGTCCTAGTGATTGTAATTGACAAAAATACCCTTGTCCGTTAACAAAGGCATGTCAAGGGTATATTCGAGGAGTATATCTTTGCATGAAGGAATATTACTTCGAGCACAAACCAGAATCTCGTCTTGTCTACTCATTTTGCTACTTCTTCGTTCTCTCTATCTCTCTCTCTGGTTTTGCAGATTAAACAATCCAGCCTAAATAACATCATTCACCTAAGAAGATCTTTGAGCTTTGGTTTCAGACAGAAGAAGCAGTACCAGGTATGTCCTCTTCTCATCATCTCTTCTTATCTTTTTTGTTTTTGTTTCTTGTAGCTGTTTCAGAATTAGCTCGTTTAATTTGTTCATGATCTTATAATAAGGATTGTTTCGTGGCTAGAAACTATGGTGATTAATTAATTAATAACAGGGTGATTCATGTCTTTGATGTATTAATAACATGGTGATTCATGGAACCTGGAATGTTTAATCAAAACCCAAGATTTCTAGTGCATTCATATTGTTTTCTAGTGTTATCCTTATCAACAAAATCTTACGCGTTTAATCCTTTACAGAGATAATAATCAGCCTAGTGAATGATTTTAGGCAATTGTGTAGGACTTGTAATTCTTACTTTTATGCAGAAACTTTGAAAGAACAATTATATTAGAGATTTATATGCCGTGTCTTTACAATATTACATTTGTAAACAAGGTACAGTGGAACAAATGTTTGTAATGATCCTCTCTACATGTGTATATTTAACAGTTTGTAATCTCTCTTCCATTTTTAAAAGCAGCCTCTCCTTCTCTAGCTTCTGTGAGCGTTTCTGTTTCATCAGCTTGATCATTGAAGAAACTGCAATATAGTTGCCTGTAAAAAAAAACTCTGTCGATGAGGACTCAACGAAAGCTTAAAGATAGCCAGATTGTGACATAACTAAGCGGTGAGGAAGCTTACTTGGTAGACAAATTGAAATATGTGAAGGGTTTTTTTGTTATGTGAGAGAAGGTCCAACTTTGACGGGTTTTACGACCCTGAAAGCTTTTCTTGCATACTCAAAAGCCAAAACCAGAAGCCCGAAGAGGAAAAGTAGACAGCGATGAAACTTTTCCAGGAGGAAATACGAAGGAGAGGCAGCATTCTTGCCTTCTGATGAGCTTCTAATGAATGCTATCCTCCTCTTGAAATAACCTGAGAGAAAACGAAACAAAAGCAAGCAAATAGTGGAATATTGATGTTAGTCTCCGAACAACCTTCGAAGAAGAAGAAGAAGAAGAATGGTCTGAAGCAATGGAAATTGTGTGTTTCTTCTATACCTGGATTTTCAATGGTGAGGTTAGTCCAATCAGTTGGTGTTTTCTTCATTTCTGACGCCTTGATTAACTCGATAAGAGCTTTATTAACCTGAAATTGAGTAGAAAGTGGTATCTTAATCCTTTTTTTTTCAGGTTCTGAGTAAGTAGTGGTGATACAGTCAAGAAGAAAGAAAACTTTGTTCCCTCTTGCATGTTGTAGCAATGCTATTTCTACAAGGCCTCAAAAGCCTGGTACGTAACAGTATGATTGCTTATAATGGTCGATCAGTTACTGCATCAGTCGATAGTTTTTTCAAATTGGCTGCCTTAACCATTTCGCCATATATGGATTAAATAAGTTAATCAAATTCATAGTCAACTTATTCTTAATTTCGGAATAGTCTAATTCTATTTCTGTCTGATATCTTGTATGTTAAGTTACGGTACATTTACTGCAGATTAAAGGAGATTAAGGGAACGACAAAGACGCATTAAGTCTTATATATCCATCAGACGCACGCAAGAAACCCAGCCAAGTTAAGACATAACTAAATAAGACAACAACAAAAAAGTACCTCTTCTGTCCTCTCATGGCTTACAAGATGACCACCATGAAGATCAACCATTCTAGCAACAGGAAATAGCTTTTGTGCCAGTCTTCTTGCGTAGCATATCTGAGCAATCACATCGTGTCTGCATATCACTCACCACGTACTCAAGTTAACGATTGAGTAAAGGTAAAGTTTCTATACTAGATCACACAAACTCAAGACAATGTCGCATGCATACCTTCCATGAATGACAGAGACAAGAAATCCAGCGGAGCGGATCCGTTCGATCTCTGGTTTTGTGAGTTTATGTAACCAACAAGCATTAAGTTGTCCGTCAAACCCGTGCTTGGACTGCATTCCAGTTTCTGATATTCCTTTTACATATTGCTGCATCGCATCACTCAAACATTAGTTCCCTCAGATCATCATTAGTCATATGGTTAATATGTAACTTTATTAAAACGAGTATGCCCACCTGGTATAACACATCCCGTCTTCTGTCAGTTCCTACGCGTTCTTCTAGGTAATCCTGCGTATAATAAAAAGCATAAGAACGTAATCGCCTCACAAGTTTCCTCTGGACAGTGATACATCACTCTTAGGATTACCAAATTACACTACTAACATAATTATCCAAGACGAATGATTCGATCTCTCAGCATATTCAACCATCTGATCGAACAACACCAAATTTTGCAAAGAAAGATAATTGCAATAAAAGAATTCCTTCAACAACACAATAACACTTGTTCTCTGTCAAGTTTGTTCTTAGAATTTTTAGCTCATCAAAGAACAAGCTCAAAATACCCACCTGTGAATAATGTGTGTCCAAATCAACTTTTGCCCTTTGTTCAGGGGTCTTCGCCATCCAAAAACGTACCGCAATATATAGCGTTAGCCGGTCAAGCTGAAACACATAAAAACAAAAGGCTGAAATCAAATTTCAAGTTTTTGTTTTGCTTTGTATCCAAGTGTCTGTCTCATGACAAAAACAAAACAGTTTGTCTTCATGTAAGAAACCAACAGATTTAACACATATGAACAAGTTCATTGCTATCAAAACAAGAAGATTCATGAAAAAGGGCCATGTGTTTCGTTTCAATCAGATTTCAAGTTTTTTTTTTTTCTTTTCCTCTTTTGTATCCAAGTCCTGTCGACAAATCATGACAAAAACAACTAGCTTTGTCTTCATGTAAGAAACCAACAGATCCAACACATATGAACAAGTCCATAGCAATCAAAAGAAGGAAGATTCGAGAAATTAGCGCCATGTGTTTCGTTTCAAGTACCTTGGGGAAACACTCGAAACCTCCACCTGTAACGTTAAGCAACGCTAGAGAAAGAACCCGTTCTGGCACCATTGCAGCTAACTTGCAAGCTATCATTGCTCCTGTTTAATCAAAAACCCAAGAAGAAGAAGAAGAAGAAGAAACAATAAGACTTCTTAAAGTATCTTTAGGACAAAACAATTTTGCTCGAACAAAATTTGTCTGGAATTTGAATTGATCAAAACAAAAAGTTACCCATAGAGTGCCCAATTATGTGAGCTCTCTCCCATCCCAAATGATCCAACAAATTAATTGAATCATTTGCCATTATCGTCGTCCTGCGACACAAAATCAAAGCAAAAATTGAGCGAAGCTAATTAAAAACCAATTTCGTGATTGTTGAATCGAAGAAAAAACCAATTCAAAAACAGAGAATTAGGTTCTCACTCACGTGTACTCTGATTTGTGGGTAGGCACAGAGCTTCGACCCATACCACGATTGTCAAAGGCGCAAACTTCGATGCCTTCGCCGATTCGTGAATCATCGGAAACGATTCCTTCGTCTTCTTCGTTGGGTTTTTCCGTTCCGGTCAATCCCTTGATTTGAGGTCCCCAGGATTCATGGGTTCCAGCTAAACCTGAACAAAAAAAATGGGAAAAATTTGAGCATTTAATCGAAAACCCAATTGAAAATTCAATAGAGGAAACATAGAAATATCTACCTATGATGAGAAGAGCTTTGGAAGGACCATGACCATACGTTCTGTAGAAGATCTTGACGCCGGCATTGTTAAGCGTCGTTTCTGCGTCGACGTGTTCTTTCACAACCTCGCAATACGGCATCGTTTGTTTTTTCTTTCTCAACGAAATGTTCCTCTGAGAGATCGGATTTAGCAACCGGAAATAAAGAAGAGGAAACGAAGAAAAGAAAAGGACTTTTCTATGGAGAGATTGGACGGCGATGGATTTGGTTTGGTTTTCTTTTGTTTGGTTTCGGTTTGGTTTCGGGTGGAGGTAAGGACTGCCACGTAGGATTCGTCGGCTGGGTGGCGGGTAATATCTAAAAAGGTCAATGGTCAAAATTTATAAACGGCAATTAAATATTGTGTCTAGAAGAAAAATAGCACGTGTGAAATGTAATACTCCACAACCAAAATCTCAAGGAGGATATGGTCTTAAAAACTTCATCTCTTCGAATGATATTTGTGCAAAATCGAAACTTCAAGTTACTCGTTACCCACTCGCTCTGATGGTAACTGTTGATTGTGGTTCTCAACTAAAAGGTTGGTTCGGTAATTCGAGTTCGGAGAAGATTAAGTTGATTAAATTTTATTAAGTTCTCAATGCGTTCAGTTCGGAGGTCTCTCGACGAACTCGATACAATATTCAGGTCTCTATTCTACGGATCCCCAAAAATCCCTTCTACAGTAACAATTCTACTATTTATAGTACATAAGCGAGGAGATGTTCTAGGGCTTCTCGTTCAGCTTTCACCGCCTTTTGTTGCTGGGCTTTTCTCTCATGGGCTGCGCTGTCAGGTCATGCCCATTTCGGTTAAGACCATCGTAAACCGGGGTCAATTGAGCCAGTCTCGATCTTTAACCGGTCCGAACCGGGGAGCGGAGTGTACCACCAACAGGATGTCCCCCCCAGTTCGGCAAATGGACCTGACTGACTTTTGCCGAATTGGAGCTAGATCGGTTATAGACCGAGGTCGGTGACGTCGAGTTCTCGACTTACACCCTTCTTCATTTCTCCGGTGTCCTGGCAAGGATATTTAAGTATTTTCACTCGCGGGGAACTGAAAAGGCGCGTCGGTTTAGGCGGGAAATCAGGACGTTACGAGGTGCGGAAGTCGAGAAGTCGCAATGATTCAGTCTTCTTCTATAAATAGGGTTCAACTCTCCCCATTTCTCACTTTCGCTCATACTGCCAAGGTATTTGCTCTCCTTTCTCTCTAAATTTTCTTCTCTCATTCTCTAGAATTCCGGTCGCCGTCCGTCGTGCTCTCTCGTCGACGGTTGTTCTCTTGAGTTCTCCGACGATGTCTTCCGACTCTTCTTCCAATTCCGAGGTTGCCATTCTTCCCGAACACCATAGGGAGGTAACTTCTACTGACATCTCGAGCTCGGGATCTACAGAACATTCTTCGAACGCTTCCCTGGTTCGCAAAAATTCCCGTGTCGTCGAGGTCGGCTCTGGTAGCCGAGTTCCAATTCGGGCTCCAGAGCGGATAGATCGAGATCTCCGCGAGCCCGAAGGCCAAGTTCCTACCGACCTGGTCCAGGGGCGGGAACCTGATGTGAAGACAGATGAGGACGCTCCATTGCACGAGGTCGGGGAAGGAGGAGCGCAGGATCCAGACGACGATGATATGATGTTGATCGTGGATTGTCATCTCCGGAGACGGTTCGGGCTGCTATGCTGATCGGCGGAGCCCCTCCTGGAATCATTATTCAAGTTCCTGAACCGGAAGAGCGCCCTTGGGATGCACCCAAGGGTTTCATCTGTGTCTACGAGGCATATTTCCGTGAGGCCGGATTGACTTTCCCTTTGCCCCGCTTGTTGTTCGCCTACTGCAATCGTCGTGGCTGCGCGATATCGCAACTTCAGCCGGCGTCGATCGTAAACTTTGTTGGGATTCTCCAGCTCGGGCGTGACGTCCAGGCTCACATCAACGTGGCCCAATTCGAGGAGCTCTTTATTATGAAGGTCTCGTCGGCCAAAAGCTGGTTTCTGTCGGTGAATTGCAACCCGAAGTTCGACCTGGTCACAGGGAACAAGGCTAGCAAATTTCCGAACTGGGATCAGAGTTACTTCTTTGTTCGCGTTGACTCGTCATCTGCTGAGAATCCGGAGAGCACATTCCGGACTGGCTAGAGTGTCGATTTCGGTACATATCTCATGGTTGACTCTCCTGTTCCTTGGTCGATACTGATAAAAATTCTTTGCTTATGCAGATCGTCACGTTCCAGGATTCATTCAACACTCCCTCACGTCCGACCTTGCGAAGCAATTAAGTCTCGCCGGACAGCGCCGTTGGCCCATTGCCTATCAGGAGAAGATCGACCGCCAGATAAAGAGAGCTCAGGATAGAGGTATGAGATCTCGGGTCGTCTTGAATTTGTTATCACTTAGTTTTTTTTTTTTATTATGGTTGACACACTTGTCTTTTTTTGGTAGCCAAAACTAAAGCGGAACCCAGCTCGTCGAGGCCGGTACCGAAGAAGAAGAAAACGAGGAAAATCAGCCAGTCAAGTCGGAGAAAGATGGCATTCGACAGATCTGACATTCCCATGATGGACTTTGGGGCTGACGAGGAAGAAGATAATGCCCTGATCGATATTGTCGGTCTCGACGGGAATGAGGCCGGTGATGGCGTTGAAGCCGCTATCGGGGACGAAGTCGACAATGTTCCGCTCGGCCCGGTTGACCCTCTGATCCCAGTTGCGGAACCGGAGGGCGACGTGGCGGGAACTAGTGTTCCTGAGGCGACTCCTCAGCCTCAAATGGAGGAAGGGGAAATTCGTTAGTAGGATGAGGACGAGCTCACCATTGCCGACCGTGCCTGGAGGAAGAAAGGCAAGTCCTCGAAGAAATCGTCTCGGAAGAGGGGTGGTGATCCCGAGACGGCTGCGAGCGAGGGGACTCTGACTCAGATTCCCCCAGCGGATCCGGCAGCTGAGACCGGAAACCCGAGGTCACCCAAGAGGCGTCGGACCTCTGACTCGTCCTCTTTTTCAGTCCGGCTTCAGTACAACAAAGACCGGTCCTTTTTTGATGACTCGACTGCCTGCGCTGAGCTCTTTAGGCAGATCGTGCCGGCTTAGTTTCCGATGCCTGAGACAAAGGACCTCTTCCGCCCCAAGTCTGATGCTCGGGTCGCGAAATCTGCCTCTGCTGTAAGCTTCTCTCTATCTTGAATACTTAGATATTTCTTAATCTTGGAATGTCTAATTTCGATTTCCACTTTCAGCTCGTCTGTGATACCAACGAGCTTGTTCGCGAGTACGACTCCGAGGTCGAGAGGCTGAGAAAAATTAACGCCGAGGTTGCTGCTGAGAGGGCGTCTTTGGAAGCGTCGTACCGGGACGAGAAAGAAAGGTACGAGGCTGCTGTGCTAGCCTTCACTGAAAAGGAGAAGGAGAACGCTGCCTTGAAGGAGCAGGCCGGGGCTCTAGGGAAGCGGACTGCCGAACTGGAGGGAGACATGGATGCTCTGTCCAAGTCGTTCAAGACGAGCGAACTAGAGAGGCGGAGGTACCGAGATGCCGAGTCCAAGGGCAGAAAGATGCTGGCCGCGCTTAGGGGCAAGTGCGAGGGGAAGCTCGCCAAGATGAAGGACTTCATGGACAAGTTCGAGCTCAGAAAGGCGCCGTTCCTCAAGCTTAACCAGGCGACTGCTCTGGTCGGCTTCTGCGACTTTCCAAGGAGGGAACACAATATGATCGTCCTGTCGCACATCGTGGAGACGTACGCGCGTAGGGTCAAGAACTGCACGAAGGAGGTCGATGATATCCCCCTTCCGCGGTTTGAGAACGAAGACTTCCTCCTCCCGAGTGACGACGATCTCATTCCCAGGATTGTGCTTCCGCCGGGGATGCAGGTTCCGGAGGGTTTGGACCAGTTCGGCTCGAACTCTAGGTCCATCTCGGCTGATCGGGCTGCGAGTCTCAAGAGTCCGGCGTCTGTCGCTCGCCAATGATGCTCTTAGTTTTCCTTAGTTTTATTTTGTTGTTGTAAAGACTATCTTACCCGCATAGCTTGGATTTTATCTTATCGATTCGTTTTGGTCGCCATTTTTAGGCGTTGTATTTGTTGCCGTCTAGTTCGGCAATTTCGGATATTTAATGAAATGAACATGGTTTTTATTTATCTCGACTTTTACTTTGAATTTTCCTTTAATATTTCGTTACGAACTGTTGGGACTTCGGCTTGTTTTGATTAAATTTGGAGTTCGTGATGTTATTGTGACGATGCGGTCGAACTCGGGAAATTCTCCGAACTTGAATCACAGTCGGCGGATTACTATTCGGAAGAGTGAGTGCGGATTGGGTTCCGGCTTTGAATAGTGGGCACCAAGGGGGTGCGGGCGAGACAGATCTCGGCTTTTGAGATTGTATTCATGGGGAATACTTAATTTCGATCTCCTGGCCGGGGAGTCGGTATGTGGAGTTAGAGATAAGACGAAAAAGATGGATTTTTATTGGATTTGTAGCTGGACTCGAAATCAAGCTGCCTACGTACCCTTTTGCAAGGGATCAAGCCACTCGTAGTTCAATTTACAGGGGTGAGTTCGGCAGGAGCCGGACTGTTTTTTTTTTTTTTTCTTCTTCTTTGAATCGCTGGTGGCGGTAGAATGGATGGTCCGAGCTCGCGGTAGCTGGGACTTAGTAGTAATATCGCTTGAGGTTGGCTGAGTTCCATGATCGCGGGATCGGCGTTCCGTCAAGTTGCATGAGTTCGTAAACTCCGGGCCTGACGATTCTCATTATCTGATAAGGACCTTCCCAGTTCGTTCCCAGCTTCCCGGCGTTTAACTCCTCGGTGTTGTGGAACACCTTGCGCAGAACGAGGTCGCCTTCATTGAAATGTCGACCTCGTACTTTCTTGTTGTAATAGCGAGCAGCGAGCTTTTGATAGTTCTGGATTCGGAGGGAGCTAAGCATCGCTGTTCTTCCAAGTTATCGAGGTTGTTGAGCATCATCTGGTCGTTGAGGTCGGGGTTCTCGGGGAGCACGGAATATCTTAATGTTGGGATGCTGACTTCTGCCGGACAGAGTGCTTCAAGTCCGTATGCTAAGGAGAAGGGGATTGTCCGGTCGATCGTCTGGGAGTAGTTCGATGCGACCATAAGACTCCGTCGAGTTCGTCCACCCAAGTGCCTTTCTTAGCCTCCAAACGCTTCTTTATGCCGTCCAGAATGGTTTTGTTGGTTGCTTCGGCTTGACCGTTGCTTTGCGGATATCGCGGGGTGAGAAACTAAGACGAATTTTGAACTTCGCGCACCAATCATTGAACGTCCCAGCAATGAACTGTGGTCCGTTGTCCGTGATGATCTCGTGCGGGACCCCGTGGCGGCAAATGATATACTTCCAAACGAATTTTTGTACATCCAGTGCGGTGATCTCCGAGTACGCTTCGGCCTCAACCCATTTTGTGAAGTAGTCAGTCATAATCAAGATGTACTGTTTTTGACTTGTTGATCGGCATAAAGGGCCAACGATGTCCATAGCCCACCGCATGAAAGGGTAAGGGGCCGTACTGGTTTGCAGCAGCTCGGTCGGCACGTTAATCATTGGACCATGGCGCTGGCACTTATCGCACTTCATGACAAACTTCTCGCAGTCCGCATTCATTATCGGCGAAAAATAGCGGGCTTTTTTTATTTTCAGAGCAAGGGATCGACCTCCCGAGTGATTACCACCTGATCCTTCGTGGATTTCGCGCATGATCTCGACTATATCGTTCCCTGAGACGCAGACCAAGAGTACTCCGGATGCGCTCCAACGGTACAGTTTATCTTTATGCATTGTGTAGAGAGCAGCCCTAACTTTAAGACGACGAACAACCCATTTGTCTTCTGGGACTATGCCGTTGAGGAGGTATTCTCGCAGTTCGGCTGTCCAATCTTCGGCGGACTCGTTCCCTTGGTTTTCACTGGTTGATGGGCTATGAATTCCTTCAGTTATGTGCTCGAAGTCATGATCGGCGGCTGGGTCCTCGAGAGTCTGTTCGGCATTATCCTCAAGAACCTGCTCGGCATTCTTGCGTTGCGTTTTTGACGAGGTCGGATTATCCTCATAGTTCCGTCGTCGGGTGGCAACATTGCATTTTAGCGCGGTCTTGATGCTTGGTTCTAGGATACTCTCGACCGGGATTTTTCTCTTCATATGCGGGTCGGAACTAGAAGTTAGGGCGGCTAACGCGTCGGCGGACGAGTTCTCGCCGCGAGAGATTTGGTGAGTTCGAACGTCTCAAACTGCGAGATGAGTGCCTTAGTCGTTGTTAGGTACGCGTCCATTCGTTCGTTTTTGGTCGTGTATTCCCCGCTTAATTGACTCGCGACGAGCTGCTAGTCGCAGAAAGCGTGAACATGTCGCACACCGAGCCCTTTAGCCAATCGTAGTCCGGCAAGTAGGGCTTCATACTCAGATTCATTGTTTGATGCTGGGAATTCAAGGCGGAACGACTGTTCGAGGATCTCGCCGCTTGGAGACTTTAGGCGGATTCCGACACCTGATCCGCGGTGCGATGACGATCCATCGACATGTAGAATCCATAGCTCGGGGGGCGGCTGTTCGACAACGAACTCTTTTGGGAGCTCGATCAGAAAATCGGCGAGTACTTGGGATTTCGCGCTAGTTCGGTTCTTGTATTCTATATCGTACTCGCTTAGCTCGACGGCCCATTTCGCGAGGTGACCTGATTGGCTTGGACTGTGTAGAATGGTTCGGAGCGGCTGGTCGGGTAAGACTGTGATTGAATGGGACTGAAAATATGGCCGAAGTTTCCGCTCAGAAGTCACCACTGCGAGCGCCAACTTTTCTAAAGTCGGGTATCTGGCTTCGGCGTCACTTAGCGATTTGCTGACATAGAATATGGGACGCTGTTTCCCCCTATCTTCGCGGACTAGAACACTGCTAACCGCTGAAGCGGAAATAGCGATATATAAGAACAGCATCTCGCCATTCTTGGGTTTAGCTAGGATGGGGGGAGTCGAGAGATACGTTTTCAGCTGCTTGAAAGCATCTTCGCACTCGGCACTCCAGGTATGATGCTTGTTACCTCGGAACAACCGGTAGAAAGGCAGACACTTATCCATCGATCTAGAGATAAATCTGTTCAGAGCGGCGATTCGGCCTGTGAGTTTTTGCACTTCCCTTTTTGAAGTCCGGGAAGGTAGGTCTAGAACTGCAGATATCTGCTTTGGGTTAGCCTCGATGCCGCGCTCGGTGACGATGTAACCCAGGAACTCGCTCGCCGTTACGCCGAAGGTGCATTTGGCGGGGTTGAGTTTCATCTCGTACTCGTTCAAAATGTCGAAACTTGTTGATAAGTGAGATACGTGGTCCTTAGCGTGCAGGGATTTAACCAGCATGTCATCAATGTATACTTCCATCGTTTTTCCGAGCTGACTGGCGAACATGCGGTTCACGAGTCTTTGATACGTGGCTCCCGCGTTCTTGAGACCGAACGGCATGACCTTATAGCAGTAGATTCCTCGATCTGTGATGAACGAAGTCTTTTCCCGATCATCCGGATGCATTAGGATTTGGTTATACCCCGAGAAGGCATCCATGAAAGATAACAGTTCGTTGCCGGCAGTTGCCTCTATCAACCGATCAATGTGCGGTAGTGGGAAACTATCTTTTGGACAAGCTTTGTTCAGGTCAGTGAAGTCGACGCAGATCCTCCACTTCCCATTCTTTTTCTTCACGACTATCGGGTTTGCTAGCCAGTCCGTGATCGAACCAGCTTTGAGCAATTTTTCGACCTCATCGTTGACCGCTCGCGCTTTCTCGGGTCCGAGCTTGCGCCTCTTTTACTTGATAGGTTTATATGTAGGATCGATGTTCAACTCGTGGCAAGTGATGTCTGGACTGATTCCGGGCATGTCGCTGATATTCCATGCGAATGTGGAGACGTTCTTCTGGAGGAAGCTGACGAGTGCTTCCCGAATATTGTTGTCGAGTTCGGCCCCTATGCCGACACATTTTTCTGGATCTGTCGGATCAATGCAGACTTGGTCGACCTGGCTCTGTTTGGGTCGACCGAACTAGCTTACTGCGGCCGCACGATCTTCCGAAAAGGGGCTGATGACGCATGTTCGTGCGAGACTGAGCTTGCACTCGGTGAGATGACATAGTCGGGACGCGGTCTGGCTTCCTTTGAGGGTGAAAATTCCTGACGGGGTTGGGAACTTGACGCACTGATGGAACGTTGAAGCGATGGCTTTCATGTCAAACAGCCATGGCGTCCCCAAAATCGCATTGTATATTGCCGGTTTGTTGAGAACCAGGAATTTAATCATTCGGGCTGACCCGCCGACATATATGGGTATCTTCACCGTTCCTACTGTCCTTGTTTTTTCTCCGGTGAACCCGGTCAATGATTCCATATAAGGCTTGATCTCGGAATCCGGAAAGTCCATATTCTTGAGTGTTTCCTTGAATATAACGTTTACCGAACTACCCGTGTCGATTAATATCCTGCTTACTTCAATGTCTCCGAGCTGAAGCTCCACGACGAGGCAATCCTTATGAGGCATATGTACTCCCCGCTGGTCGGCTTCGGTGAATAACAGTGGTACGATTGTAACCGTTGTCTGGGGTTACGAACTCGATGCTTGCCGGCTGTACTCTTTGAGGGCTCGAACGGAATAATTGCATGATTCGAGGGCTCCCATATTGATATTGACCTTCTTCCTAGTTTTAGGTACGTTCGTTTCTCTATTCGGTGTTTCGCGGTCTCGCTTAGGGGGCACAACCTGTTCTTCATCAGAGTCGGCTGCCTTAGTAGTCTCTTGATTGCCGGGTTTGTTTGGTCGGGGGTTTGGTCGCCGTGGTCCCGGTTTAGGCAGGTCTGCGGTGTCGATCTCGCCCTTGCGGAACTGTTGAAGTAAGAAGTCCCTCAGATGTCGGCATTCCTCTGTGCTATGCCCATATCGCTCGTGATATTCGCAAAAACGTTCGCTTAACGGCGTATCGTCATCTTTATGCCATGTGTTCCAAGATTTTGGCGGCCGTCCTGACTTTTGATTTGACGGTCCTGCCTGGTTCACTACTCCGCGCGGTTTGCCGGACTGGACTTTTGTTTCCGAATTATCCTTTGCGGTCAAAGTCTGGCCGGGCTTTGTCGTTGAATACTGCCGATCCTTGGCGGCCTCTTCTTCTTCTTCCGCGATGAAGATGTTGGATTTATGAAGCGCGTCCTCGAGGGTGAGCGGTCTGTTCCTGCGAAGCTCTTTGTGGAAGGGTGACTTGTACCATGTTTTCTGGTATAAAGCTTCGAGGGCGGCTTCGTCGTCCACCGTGCAATGCGCCACGATCTGCTTGAAACACGCCATGAAGTCTCGGAGTGATTCGTTTTCACCCTGCGATATCTCCCACAGCTCGGAGTTACGGGTTTTCTGCCCAATGAACATCGAAAAATGTTTTGCGAACTTAGTCGAGAGCTCCTTGTAGTTATCAATGGAGTCGGCTTCCAATCTTGAGAACCAATCCAAAGCTATGCCTTCGAGGTGCTCGACGAACAGCTGGCATTGAATCGCGTCTTTCTGCTCGGCCGAGGTGAACTTCAATCGGTTGATCACGATGCCGAACAAGGTAAGGAAATGCCTTGGGTCTGAGTTCCCTTCGTACGAACGCAGTTTAAACTTTTCCAGGTTAGGGACGGGGACGTTGGTGATCCGGGAAGTGAACAGTGTTTTTTGTGCTTCCTGGATTACGCGGTCGATCTCAGGTGCCGAACTGGTGGCTTGGTGAAATTTGGAACTGATCTCTCGCAGTTGGGCCTGCATCCGTTCGATTTCCAGGTCGGGGGGGGGGGACATACTATTGGTTGACCTCGTATGTGCTGGGACGGGCTCTCGGACTGTTGCTGTTGCTGTATTACCGATCGCGCCACCGTGCACTGCGGGTCTCGCTCTCCTTGGAAATCGCTGATGAGGTTTCGTCGTCGGAGCGGGCTTTCCTGTTGCAGGCTAGAGATCTGCGTGGTGAGAGTCGCGAATTAGGCATCATTGCTGCGGACTAGCTCCTGCATCTGAGCAGCGAAGGCGTTCATGAGTGCAGTGGGATCGAAGGCAGCTGGTGAAGCCTGGTGAGTGCTTGAGCTCGGCTCTGCTCTAATCTCTTGCGTTCCAGTTTGAGGTCGCACGGGACTACGGTCGTCTTTTCCTATATGTCCTCCGAACTGGACGGGGCTGTCTGCACATGTCATTTGACTCCCGACCTGGACTGAGGTCGGTTGTCCGCCGTCTGCACGGGTCGTCGGACTCCCGACCTGGATTGAGGTCGATTGTCCACCATCGGTCGTCATGTCTTCGAGGTCGATTACCGAATCGGCCCCACGGTGGGCGCCAATTGTTGATTGTCGTTCTCAACTATTCAAGGGTCGATTCGGTAATTCGAGTTTGGAGAAGATTAAGTTGATTAAATTTTATTAAGTTCTCAATTACAGTTCGTTCAGTTCGGAGGTCTCTCGACGAACTCGATACAATATTCAGGTCTCTATTCTCCGGGTCCCCAAAAATCTCTTCTACAGTAACAATTCTACTATTTATAGTACATAAGCGAGGAGATGTTCTAGGGCTTCTCGTTCAGCTCTCACCGCCTCTTGTTGCTGGGCTTTTTTCTCATGGGCCGCGCTGTCAGGTCAGACCCATTTCGGTTAAAACCATCGTAAACCAGAGTCAATTGGCCCGGTCTTGGTCTTTAATCGGTCCGAACTAGGGAGCGAAGTGTACCACCAATAGTAACCAAAAAATTTGTGTACCAATTACACATAAAATTAAACTGTGAATTAGTTTAAAAGTTATTGCAAATTGATGTAGTGTTTTTTGGCATACAACTTGGTGTATAGCTGATTATCAAATAAACTGATTTAAGTTATAACATAATTTAACAGTAACAGAAACAGGTTCCTGATCCTCTGTTTTCATTATTTAAATAAAAAACAAAACAGAACAGGTTAATTACTCTAATTTTTAACTACGTTATTTTTGCTAGTTAGACTCGGTAGTCGGTATGCTCGATCACCCTCATGTTGTTATGAATTATTCCTCATATTCGTTTTTTTTTAATTTTTAATTCCATTTTATTTTTCAGATTTTATTATTTATTTTGAGGTCAGTAATTGAAGACAAAGATAACTGCTTGACCACAAGACTATGTCAGGCAAATGCAATTCCTATGGCAGCAAAAGCGTCGACTTCAGTTATATAGACGAAAACGGAAACATGCACTATTATATCAAATTAAATAATTTAGACCAAATTTAGTTAAAGAGAAACATTAAACACATCTATTATAGTAAAACATAATCACTTTTAGTACTTGCTTCCAAACACTCCTATTTTTTTTATAAGTGTTTAAAAATAATTTTAATAATTATTTATATTTAATTTCGAAAATTAGTTATTAATTTAAATATTTTTAAGGTTCCTTAAATATAGGTAATTTAGATTTGATTTGATTTGATTAAAAATAATAAATCAGATATTAATTTAGAGTTGATTTAAAGATTCTAATTTAAATAATTTCTATACTATTAAATATTTTTATCAAAAATATCTAAAATTTTTGAAAAATAATTCACATATAAAAAATAATGGTCATATTTGAAATATAAAATATTTATAATGATGTAAATGATATGATATTTATGTTGCTTATATAATATATTTACGATTATGATTTATTTACAAACTAATAATAAAATAATAGATAAAATTCAAATGTATAATTTAAATATTAAAAATATATTTTTTAAAATTCATAGAACTAAAAATATATATAAAAACCGGGTTAAAAATATTTTGGTAACTAAAATCACTAATTTTGAATTATACATGTATATCGAAAATATATTTTTCTTACAAAATAAAAACATAAAAAATTAAAAATTATTGCATACACTATAATGTGATTTGAAAAACCAGTTGTACAATCCATTCGTTGATTAAATTTTAGAAAACTATAATGCTAAATAATATTGTTAATACATTTCAAACTTTTAACAAATATTTATATTATACGGTAATATAAACGGAAAATTTAGAATTATGTTTTTATAATAGTTCATTTTGAATTAATATTAGCAGATGGGTTAAAATTATATTTTTATAATTATAATTAATTTTAATACTATAAAAATATATCTAAACACAAAAATCAATATTTTCACTTATTAAAAAATATATTTATAAAAATAATTATATCTAAACTCAAAAACACAAATTATATTACAAAATTCGTTAAACAATAAAAAATATTCTCGTGCAACTGCACGGGGTTAGAATCTAATTTTATTTGTAAAATTATACCCCTATAAAATTATACCAACTGAACTAACTTAAGTTTTGGAAAATTGGCTCCAAAATAATTTTTAAAGTCACCGACCTGAAACACATGCTTCATCAGCCTGTATTCAGGCACGGCTCTCAGCCTGTGTTCAGGCACGGCTCTGTATGTAAGACATGCAATATGTATATTAATCCAACACTTTTACAACACAAAAGTATCATCCTCATAATTTAGTTACCCAATTTAGCACTAAATAATACTCCCTCCATTTTAAAATATAAGTCGTTTTAAAATCAATTTTTTATTTCAAAATATAAATCATTCTCAGATTTTAATGCAAATATTTGAAAACAATTCTACTTTATCCCTACTCTTTTAACTAATTAATTAATGAGAACATAAAAATAGTAGATTAGTGAAGTAAATTGAAAATTGAATGGTTTTCTTAATCAGTATGAAAAAACTACATTAACTTTTATTTCGAAACTGAGGAAGTATAATTTAGAACATAATAAACAGTTTCCGCGCTAGATCCGCCATTCTATTACATTTTCTGATAGTCTTCAAAGTAAAGAAGCAAAACCGTTGATAACTATAAATGGCGTTACCATTTTACAAAATTTTAAGCATTACAGTTCAGCTTCATATCCCTGCAAAGAATTGAAAATGGGGCTAATGTGAAGATTTAGTAATCCTTGTAACAAAAGGCATATGAAAAAAACCATTTTTGCCAAATACATAAACTTGTTGGATTAAGTTAAGATCAAATCGGTTTATCTGAAGTCAACACTCGTATATATCAATTAAGTATTAATCATATCACATTTATTTATAATCAATGAGGGATGTTGAAGCATCTCCAAATTCTCCGATCTCCAACACTCTAAACGATACCGTTTTACGGTATTAGCAAAGACCGTAATTAGCGTTCACCACTACCCTTTGCACGGTCTCTCTACTCTCAAAGGAGCGTCTCAAACTTTTAAAAACCTCCCTTTTGTGATTTATCAAGACGAAACTCTTTTGCATTGCTCCGATTTGGATATTCTCGCAGCCCCTCTCCAAATTCCCGAGAAAATTGACGGGAAACTTGCTTCGTTTTCCGAGAAAAAAAGGAAAGTAATTGGTTACTGTACTTCTAGGGTCTGTGAAATCCTCGACTTCGAATTTGGGGACGGAACTTTCCCCGGCGAGATTGATGATTAAGGACTAATTAGTTGATTGGACTTTGTTTTTGATTTTGAGTTCTAATGGAGAGATCTAGATCGAAGAGGAACTATCACTATGACCAAGACTATGATGGAGATTCCATGGGCAGGTCTAAACCTCGCTACAACAACAACAACAATTACCACTTTGGCGGCGGAGGAAATAACAGATACCGTGGCGGCGGTGGCGGCGGCGGAAATAGCCGGCCATCGAAGTCACACCCGGAAACGATGGCGACGACGACTTATCGTGTCCTCTGCCTCGACGCTAAAGCAGGAGGCGTTATTGGAAAATCCGGAACAATCATCAAGTCGATACGGCAGCACACCGGCGCGTGGATTAACGTTCACGAGCTAGTTCCCGGAGACGCCGAGCGTATCATCGAGATTTCCGATAACCGTCGTCGTGACCCCGACGGGAGAATGCCGTCGTTCTCTCCTGCTCAGGAGGCTTTGTTCAGCGTCCACGACAGGATTCTAGAGAGCGAGGCTCAGTTCGGGTACGGTGTTGCTCCGCCGCCGGAAGAGGAGGAGGATTACGGTGGAGTTAGGCCCGGAGGAGGGAGAGTTGTGACGAGGCTTGTGGTTTCGAGGATGCATGTTGGTTGCTTGTTGGGTAAAGGTGGGAAGATTATCGAGCAGATGAGAATCGAAACCAAGACTCATATTAGGATCCTGCCTAGAGAAAGTAACTTACCTCGTTGTGTTTCCCTCTCTGAAGAGATTGTTCAGGTCTGAGAAATTAAAATAGTTGCTTGAATCTGGTTTTAGAGTTCGTATGAAATGGTATTGATTTGAATTCAGAGTAATGTCTAAGCCTTGGTCAGATTGTTGTGTTTGTCTCTTTCAGATTGTAGGTGAACCTGAAGCAGTGAAGAACGCTTTAGCCATTGTATCATCGCGTCTAAGAGAGAGTCAACATCGTGATCGCAGTCAATTCCAAGGCCGTTTGCATTCACCAGAACGGCCTTTGCCGCCTGCTGATGATTATGTTCCTCAGCAAAGAAGACAATCATCTGAGAGGTTTCATCATGGCAACTACAGGAGCAACAGTTTCAGCTCTCGTCAGTCCAACTATGCAGCAGAAGCTCCAGCAGCAGCTCCTGTTGGTGAGAATGCACAGCCTCTCTACACCGAAGAGCTTGTGTTCCGGATTCTATGCCCTGTTGACAAGATTGTTCGTGTTGTTGGAGAATCACAAGGAATAATAGATTTGCTTCAAAACGAGATTGGCGTGGACACTAGAGTGTCTGAACCTGTTGCTGGATCTGATGAACAGATAATTACCATTTCTTCAGAAGAGGTGTTTTAAATATCCCCAGATCCTCTTCAGTATTGTCTGTTACATGTTCTTGAACCTCTGTTTTCTTATGTTGCCTAGGCGCCTGATGACCAGCTTTTCCCTGCGCAAGAAGCTTTGTTGCACATTCAAACTCGGATCGTAGACCTTATTCCGGATAAAGATAACCTTATAACAACGAGATTGCTTGTCTCATCTAGAGACTCAGTATGTTTGGAAGGGAAAGCAGGATCTGTATCTGAGATATCACGATTAACTGGAGCAAGCGTACAGATCCTAGCCAGGGAAGAAATTCCCCGATGTGTTTCCATCAATGATGTTGTTGTACAGGTTTGTTTTGTCTAGATTTTGAGCATATTTCTAAACTTAGTTCTGGTCTGACAAGAGAATTCTCATGTGGAATGTAGATTGCTGGCGAGATCAGAGCAGCTAGGGATGCACTTGTTGAATTAACGTTACGATTGAGGAGTCATCTCTCTCAAAAGGATACACCACCGGCTTCTACATCCACAACTGGCCCTCTTGAAGGTGTTGCAGGAGTGATAGAGGTAGCTTCATCAAACAACACAACTCAATCCCGTGAAGGTCTTACCAGTTCCAATCTGATGTTGCTGCAAGCTAGCGCAATCGCTACACAATTTAAGGTTTTATATCTCATATCTTGTCAATACAAATGCATCCATGATCAGTTAGTTTCCGGCTTATTGACTGTGATGACATGGAAGCGATGTAATATTGCAATCTGGCAATGCAGATTGACTTGAATACTCGGGAAGTAGCCTACCTTTATTGTCCATCAGTGCAATGTTCTTGTATTTACAGATATTTTCTCCTGTTTCTTTTAGGAAGGATCATTTGCAAAGGCGGGTGAAAGTGAACACCGGGATGAGGTTCCTGTCACTACCAGCAGGTAGAGAAACTCCCAAATTTAGAATTATTCGTTCTGAAACGTAGACACAAATATATCCTTAGGATATAACAAGTGCTCTCGTTTCTGTTTTTTGTTTTTGTTTTCTAGAATGCCGCTTGTTACTAGGAGCACTCTTGAAGTTGTATTACCAGACCAGGCTATTCCTAAGCTTGTTACGAAATCAAGAAACAAGCTTGCACAAATCAGTGAGGTGAAACTCTCTCTATTAACTAGAAGTAGATTGGTTGCAAATCATGTCTTTAGTTCAAATCTCTGACGGCTTGTATTCTCTTCTTTTTTTCAACTTGATCACAGTGGTCTGGAGCAAGTGTAACCTTAGTTGAAGACCGACCTGAAGAGACACAGAATATCATTCGAATCTCGGGTACACCAGAGCAGGCAGAGAGAGCACAGAGCTTGCTTCAAGGCTTCATCTTGAGCAGTAAGTTTCTCTCTCTCTTTTCAAACTAAATATCAAATACTTTTGAGCTACAGGACTCATGATCTTTGTTCCATTATTTGGTTCAGTACAAGAGGATGGACCATGAACTTGGACGGAACATCAGGATAACACACAGAGGAATGAGATCAAGAAACTGAGAAATGTGGTGTTTGTATGAATTGTGGAGTAATTAGGATTTCAGTGCAAGTGTGAGCAGTAACGGGAAGAAGGTTTAGATGAATACATTTTGAGCTACACGCTTTGGCTACTATGTTGTTGTCTATCAGTCTCTTTTTTCCATTGTTTTGTAACTTATAAAAGTCATCAAAGTTAAATCCGAATGTACTTTCATTGAAGACCCAAACTAAATTTAGTGATGCAAAATAAAAAAAAAGTAATTGTCGACATTTATCTTAAAATCCAGTTTCGTTTTAGATTAAAACAGAACATTTGAATTTTCTTTTCTTTTTTTGTCGTCGAACATTTGATTTTTCTTAAGAAACAGAAATGCGCTTCTTTTTTTCTTCAGAGAAATGCAACACAGCTCCGGCGACGGACTGATTCCGAATTCAAGGTTCCAGTCGGCGAAATCACGATCTACAGTTCCGGTAAGTGAATTCACTCCGTTCGGTCGAAACACTCTTTGGTTCTTCTTCCTTGGTTCGAAAAACCCTAGGCTGACTAGCTTCTCAGTGTCTCTCTCGCGATGAATGTTTTGAGTTTTAGCGACCGTTAATTTGTGGGTTTCATTTCATCTGGTCAAAAAATGTAGATTTTTCTTAAATAAGTCAACTTGGCATCAAGATCGTTTTTTTTTGGGTTCAATTTTGTTTATGCAGAGTAAGTAGTTGTTAACCTCAAAAGGAAAAGACATGGCTGGTAGAGAGAAATCGAAAGAGTTGAGTCAGAGGTTAAATGAGTTAGATAGGATAAGCAATTTACCAGATGCTTTGATATCTGAGATACTTGTTCATCTTCCCATCAAAGAAGCTGGAAGAACAAGCGTTTTATCCACCAGATGGAGAAATCTCTGGCTTTGGCTTCCTCGTTTGGTGTTGGATTCTGAAGAATTCTCATCTACGAGTACATTTGTGAGTTTTGTTGACCGGTTTTTCGATCCCGACAGAGTTTCCAGCATAGACAAGCTCAAGCTAATCGCTGATAGATATAGATATCCATGTAATCTCATGCCATGGATTGAAGCTGCGATTAAGCGCAAGGTCCAACGTCTACATGTTCATGGTTATGTTTCTGCCATGCCCTTAAGCCTTTATACCTGTGAGACACTGGTATCTTTAAAACTCTTTGGGGTGCACTTGCCTAATGCAGGCTTTGTTTCCTTACCTTTTCTGAAGACTATGCGCTTAAAACATATTTGGTATCTCAATCAGTCCACTTTCGAGAGACTTGTCTCATCCTGCCCTGTCCTGGAAAAGCTAGAGATTATCGGAGGTGTCAATGATATTGCACCGGTGTTTCGTGTGCTCTCTAAGTCGTTGGAGAAGCTCATTATATTAATGCGCTATAGTGAATATGAAGTTGTGATTGATGCTCCTCGACTACGCTTTCTGATCATCGAAGTTAACCTATCAAAAAGCTTTAAAATTACCAATATGGATTTCAATGTCGGTCTTTCTCTCGGCTTTGTAGTGAGGGGTTTTGTTGAACCAAACCTTTTATCTCAGAGAAATAGATTAAGCTGTTTTCTCCTAAGGATTTCGAAGGTCCGGAATATGACAACAAATGGAGACACTTTCAGGGTATATGCATGTCAATTTCCAGTATTGAACATGTACAATATCTATTCAAGATGGTTTCTGACCCTTTCTTGTTCCAGCTTCTCTGTGAATACTCAAAACTAGAACTGCTGCCTCAGTTTGGTTACATGTCCCGCCTGAATCTACGCGGCGTCTGTTATTCCTATTTGAAATGGCTACCAGCCTTTCTTGAGAGCTGTCCAAACTTGAAAGCCCTCCGTTTGGTAATGTTCTGCTAGCTTAAACCCCTAGCTATGGCTTTTGTTTTTTTGTTTTCTTTCTATGAAGATTGGGCGTATCTTTTCATTGCGTTTTAATCCTCTCTTCTTTCCTCAGGTTTGCTACTACGCTGAGAATGAGGAACTGCAGATCGAGAAGAAGAATCAAATCAGTCTTCCATCTGTGCCTGAGTGTTTGCTATCGTCTCTCGAGCATGTTGATTTCGATGTCCCAAGGTCACGACTTGCTCCAGAAATGAAGGTTGTAAGGTATTTCATGGAGAATTCGGCAAACCTCAAGAAACTCTTTCTGCATTGGCATGGTCATCATTCAGCAAAACCTGACTTCATCAAGAAACTCCGCAAGATCCCAAGACGCTCTACCAAATGTGAAGTCGTAATTTTAGATTGGTAATTAATAGAGAGAAGATAGTGAGGTTTTAAGATGAATTTTGGTGTCAAAACAAAGTGAAAAATGCTTTACTAGTTTCATGGGGGTTGTTTACTAAGTTGTCAGGTGATAATGATATTATTAGCTTTTGTTATTTTGCTACTTTGGTTTCTGAATATTATTGAACTTTCACTCTTTGGTTTCTAATTCTATGTTATGATTTTCTATTAGACTTTCTTCTTGTTTTGTAAATTGTAACTCATCAAAGAGTCAAATCTTTGTTGTCTGTTCATATTCATGCATATTTGTTCAGTGATAGAAGAACATAGAGATTAGTGTTTTCCGTAAGAGGTTAAACCTTGTAACACCATGTCGTTTAAGACATACTTAAACGCTGCATTTTCTTTTCAGATTTCAGTTGACGTCATTTGGATAGGGGCTACTTTTGTTAAACCAGAAAGTTTAGGGGTACAAAAAATAATAAAATCTGAAGTCGTATTTTACAAAAATTGCCACTGCTAAAACCTCGCCTGCGGCTACTTCCCTTTCTTCGAGTTCGTGAAAAGGAGACGTCGCATCTCACCCGCCGTCGCCGTTTCTCCGTCGTCGCGTTGCCGTGTCACTGGTTATTATTCCTTTTCTTCTCTTCTGGTTCTGTTTTTCTCTCATCTCCGTCTTTTTCTAGGATTTTGCTCACCTCTTTTAGTGGCTGAATCTCTTGTATTCCGTCGCAGAATCTCGAAAAAATGGCTCATGTTGCGCAAAGCCGAAACGTGATTCGGCATGTAGTTTCTAGAGGAACAGCTTTCCACAAATCTGAAAATGCGATCCATCATCCTCTCCTTTTCGCCTGTCAAGGAGTTCGATACAGAAAATTGGAAGTTATCCTTACAACGGTGGGTTTAAGTGATTCTGGAGAAAAGCATTTCTCTTTTTCTTTCCATTTTGATTTTTGAGTTATGGGTTAACAAAAGTCAATTCCTTTCTCTCATTTCGTTGGATTTGAATTAAATTCAGATCGTGGGTTTGTTTCTGATTTGTGTTTCTTCGTCATCTGAATCTGTTTTTTTTGTTAGGGCATAGAGAAGCTTGGGAAAGCCGGCGAGACGGTGAAGGTAGCTCCTGGATACTTCAGGAATCACCTTATGCCCAAACTCCTTGCTGTTCCCAACATTGACAAGTATGCTCATCTCATCCGAGAGCAACGCAAGGTAATATACTTCAACTTCACACTTTCTTCTTCTCTGCTTTTAACTTGCAAAATCGATTTTAGTCTGTCTTGTCTGATACTAGGCTGTAGCATCTTTCTAGTTGTTTTCTGCTCTTGTTGTTGTACCTCGGTTGTGTTCTTGATGATGCATAGTTCTTGATGTAAAGTGGGCAAAGCAGATACTTTTGACAGGCCCTGATAAGTGTTGTGGTACTAAACCTTATGGATGCTTTTCATTATAGACATCTGATTTATTGATTGGAATCTGTTTAGATGCGTAATTATGAAGAAAAGGAAGAGGTTAAGGTGGTTCACAAAACTTCTGAAGTCCAGACAAAAGAGTTTGAAAAGGCCGCAAAGCGCTTGGCCAATGCCAATTTGGTTATTTACTAAACCCTCTTTTTAGCTGTGTACTTGAGCATTTTTGTCTTGTGGGAATTATTCAAGAACCTGTGTATGGATTTAGTAACATGAGATCTATTTGTTTGATTAACAGGTACTGAGGAAGTTAATTGATAAAGAAAAGTTCAAAAGTCGCTCTTCAAAAGAAGACAAACCGGATGTACAAACACCTGTGACAAAGGAAGAGATAGTCTCCGAGGTAAATCGTTTCTTCCTTCTAACATCTTTAACTAGATGACACGTTAAGCAAACCTTTGTAAGTAGGATCTTGTCATGATCAGTGATTGTGTTTGGTTTTGTTCCAAGGTGGCAAGACAGCTTTGTGTGAAGATCGATCCTGATAATGTGGTTCTACCAACGCCATTGGCAACTTTTGGCGAGTATGAGGTGCCTTTGAAATTCCCTAAGACTATTCCTTTGCCACAAGGAACTGTTCAATGGATTCTCAAAGTCAAAGTCCGTGGCCATTAATCAACTTTAGAAACTCTTCATTGATAGTTTTTCTTTTCTCTACTTCAATCTGTTTCATGTAACAATTGCAGAAGCATTTGTAGTTTAACGACACAAATCAGTTGCAATTTATCTTTTTGTGTAAACCGGGTTTAATCCGGTTTTAATGAAAACCATGATTCGGATTTTGTATGAACACAAGGATAAGGAAATTAATAAGTTTTTGGGTTTTGTTCAACTATTTAGAAGCCCACATATGTGAATGGTGTCTATTTAGCACAATTTAGAAACTTTGGGCCTAATTTGTAAAGATTAAATTATTCTGGGCCATCTCAGTCATATTGATAGATCACCGGCGTTATCTCTCTGGTCGGCGACTCGGCGGAACCGTGGCCAGAGCTTCACACTCCCTCGCTTGCTCTCTCTCTCACTAATGGTGTCTTCTACTTCTCTCCTCCCTTCGACCACTTTGCTCATCAACTGGTAAACGTTTCTTTCTCTCTCAGCTAAAAATTGGGTCTCTCTGTGTTGCTGAGTTTCGAATTTGGGTTTCAGGGCGAATCAAATATGTACTCAGCCGGGTCTTTCCTCGAGAGATTCGACATGGCAGTGTGTTTGCTTCCGTAAGCAGAAACGCAAACCTAAGCTCTACCTAATTCCCGCCCGTCATTTCTTATCAACTCCACTTGATTCAACGAAGCTGAAGACTCGTGCTACTACTTCCGGTGTTTCTGAGGTTCAAAGGTGAGAAATTTATTGATTGCTGTCTTTTGATTAAACTTAAAAAGAAGAATTTAGATGAGTTTTTTTGTCTGTGTATGCAGGTCTACTCATAGCAAAGAGATGAAAGAGTTTGAGATGGAGTTGCAAGAGTTGTTCAATGAAGTCAAATCCATGGTAAAGATTGGGAAGGAAAGAGACGCAGTGGACCTACTTCGAGCTAATTATGTTGCTGTGAAAGAAGAGATGGATTCGGGTTTGAAAGGTATCGAACAAGCTGCTGTTCTTGACATCATTGCATTGGGGTATATGGTTCTTGGAGACTTGAACCCTATTCCGGCATTGCTTGATATGGTCAGTTTAAATGTCTGTTATCAGAAAAACCATTCTTTAACTGGATTGTGTTGTGGCGGTATTTATTTGTGTCTAAACATTAAGTTGACAAATGCAGATAAACAAGATTGTTGATAAGTTAAAGGACACTGAACCTCTTTTGGATTCAGTACTTATGCATGTTGGCAGTATGTACTCGGCACTAGGGATGTTTGAAAACGCTGTACTCGCGCATCAAAGAGCTGTTAGTATATTAGAGATTAGATTCGGTAATGGATCTCCTAAACCCGTGTTTCGTGTATGTGCGTTCGTCTTGTCTTCATTTGTGCTTAACCAGCATTACTTCTCTGCTAGGTGAATGCAGTACTCTACTTGTCACACCGTTACTTGGGTTGGCTAAGAGTTTTGGTTCGTATGGAAAAGCCACTAAAGCTATCGGCGTTTACGAGCGTACAGTGACCATCTTGGAACGGAATAGAGGCTCTGAAAGTGAGGATCTAGTGGTGCCTTTATTTTCACTCGGTAAACTTTTGCTTAAAGAAGGTAAAGCAGATGAGGCAGAGATTCCTTTTACCAGGTACAGCTTTTGGTCAAAGCTTATTTTCGCAAATTATGTGATCCATATGGTTTATCACCTTTTCCATCTTCTAGGATTTTAAATATATACAAGAAGACATACGGAGTGAAAGATGGAAGAGTTGGTATGGCCATGTGTTCCCTTGCTAATGCAAAGTGCACAAAAGGTTGGTTTTATTTAAATTTCCCATTCTCTCTTGATGTGGTGATCAAAAGATTTTGTTGAAGAAGATGGTCTTGTATCTATCTTGGGTTTTCTCTTCAGGAGATGCAGATGAAGCAGTAGATCTCTACAAAAACGCTCTACGAATCATCAAAGATTCAAATTATATGGCCATCGACGATGCTATCTTAGAAAACATGAGGATAGATCTTGCTGAGCTGCTTCATTTTGTTGGAAGGTAATTTTTTTCTATTCCTCTGATCTTCTTTCCTGTGATTGAGGAACTCAGTTTAAGCCAAGAATTTTTGCATTCATTTGGCTCTGTCCACAGGGGAAACGAAGGACGAGAGCTACTAGAAGAATGCTTATTAATAAACGAGAGATACAGAGGGAAAAACCATCCAAGCATGGCTACACATCTTATAAACCTTGCAGCATCTTATTCACGCTCCAAGAATTATGTGGAGGCCGAGCGGTTGCTGAGAACTTGTTTGGACATCATGGAGAAGTCGGTTGGTTCAGAGGATCAGTCCATAACCTTCCCAATGCTGAATCTTGCAGTCACTCTTTCTCAACTAAACCGTGATGAGGAAGCCGAGCAAGTAGCATTAAAGGTCCTACGAATCCGTGAGGACGCATTTGGCAAAGACTCTCTCCCTGTTGGTATATAGACCTTTCCTCTCTCCACAACATCATCATCATCATCAATGTTTATGAATCTTGTTTTGTCTATGTCATCTAAACTTGATTGAAAAGCTGACTTCTCTGGATAAAAGTTTCAAGCTTTTGTTAAATCTTATATCTTCCCTATGCAGGTGAGGCACTGGACTGTCTGGTATCGATCCAGGCGAGATTAGGAAGAGACGATGGAGAAGTACTGGGTTTGCTGAAAAGGGTATTGATGATCCAAGAGAAAGAGTTTGGGTCTTCAGCTGAAGAACTCATTGTTACTCTCCAGAAGATTATGCATTTTCTGGAGAAATTGGAGATGAAAGATGAGAAATTTAAGTTTAGGAGAAGGCTAGCTTTGCTTAGAGAGAGATACAAGCAGAGTCTTAGCTTGTAGAACATATGAATAAATTAATTGATTTGTATCTCCCTTTCGGGTCGTATTCTTTGATCCTGGTTCGACCCGACCCGACCTGGTTGTTGTTAATTATACAATAGGCCACGTGTCCATTAGATTTAGATAAATGAATGAATAATCAAAATCTTAATCCAACCATTAATCACGCAAATACACTCTGTTTGTCTTCTCTCTCTCTCTCGCTCGCTGCATCTCAGGAAGAAGAAGAAGAAGATGAGGAGTGAAACGGTGTCGTCGAGGAGGACGAAGAAGAAGAAGGAAGGTTTAGGGTGGTTGGAGTGGTTTAGAGGATGGGCTTGCGTATTCCACGAGTTTCTCTTCCAGAGATTCATGTCGTCTCATTTACAGAACCCGTTTCCTCTTCCTCCGCTAAATCACCTCACCTGCATTGTCACTGGCTCCACAAGCGGCATTGGTCGAGAAACCGCTAGGTCAATTTCTTCCTATTTTTGAAACCCAGTTTTGCGTTTGACGAAATTCTCCGGAATTGGAAAGATATTTGTGTTAGTGAAGGAATGTGAGAATCTTACTTTTTGTTTGGAATTGTAGGCAGCTTGCAGAAGCTGGTGCTCATGTTGTAATGGCGGTGAGGAATACAAAGGCAGCTCATGAGCTGATTCAACAATGGCAGAAAGATTGGTCTGGTAAAGGCCTCCCACTTAATATCGAGGTAAGAAGAATCTGATGATCACATATGTTTGTTTTGGACGAAGTCTTGTCAAGAATGCGCAATTCAGAAGATTAATAGAGAAATAAATGTGCACAGTACACTCTCCCCTTTTTGTAGAATGGAATTAGAACTACTTGTGATCTAATTAGATAAGAATCGATAGGTTTTAACATCCAAATGGCTGATGATGATGATGATGATACACACTATGTTTTCTTTTACTGAAGGCGATGGAACTTGATCTTCTCTCTCTAGATTCCGTCGTCAGATTTAGCAATGTGTGGAATGCTCGGTCAGCCCCTTTGCATGTTCTGATTAACAATGCCGGCATATTTGCCATGGGAGGTTGGTTTTGTTGCATTTTTATCTGTAAAGCTTTGAGCTTTCTCAGCTCTAATTAGCGAGCTTACGGTTCTTGCAAAATTGGACATGATAGACGGACCCAATTGGTGAAATTTGCATGTATATTTAGTAATTCTTCTGGTAGCTTCTTTGTTCTTGCTTTCTTCACTGGTCTGAAAGTGTGTATTTTGTAATGAATGACATTCAGATTACTATAGTTGCTGCATATATGTCGAGGAATACCGAATACCAGCTAAGTTTCTTGCCACTTTGGTTTTGTGCAGAGGAACAGAAATTCTCAAAGGACGGATATGAACAGCACATGCAAGTGAACCATCTAGCTCCAGCATTGCTTTCACTACTTCTTTTGCCCTCGCTTAACCGAGGCTCTCCGAGCCGAATCATTAATGTGAACTCTGTTGTAAGTATCACCATCACTTTAACGGCCAGCTGCAAAACTTTGTCATATAGTTTTGTAATCTCTCTGGCATCAGTAATGATGTTGAAAAGTTTGGATTTTTGGGTATACAGAACTTAAACAAACCGAAAGTTGTAACATGGTTACTTCATTTACTTATCTTTGTGAAATTCTGCTGCACTTCTGCTTTAATTGAATCTGAATACGAATGACAACGTTAGATATCGTTTGCAGTTGTTCCCATATCATGCAAGGTCATTAGTTGTTGGTTCTACCTTTTTTGTGTGGTAGATGCACTATGTCGGTTTTGTTGACCCGGATGACATGAATGTGGTATCTGGTAGACGAAAGTATACAAGCCTTGTAGGATATTCAGGCAGCAAGCTTGCACAGGTAACTTAACGCAAAAATAGCTTTTACATTTTTTTTCCTTGATTCCTGATCTCGGAAACTAACGGATTCACTTTCTATTTCCCTTCAATTTCATTTGGTCAGGTTATGTTTAGCAATGTTCTTTTCAAAAAGCTACCTCTTGACACTCGCATTAGCGTTGCTTGTTTATCCCCCGGGATTGTCCTAACAAATGTTGTGAGTATATTACTTCAAGTGTCACTCCATTTGCTCTTTCCTCAGAACTTATATCGCATTTTGACCTTTTTGACATCTGAATATGCAGGCGAGGGACCTGCCGAGATCTGTTCAAGTACAATACGCGCTGATACCTTATTTCATATTTTCGCCTCAAGAAGGTTGTAGAAGCTCACTTTTCTCAGCGACAGACGCTCAGATTCCAGAGCATTGTGAAAAGCTAAAAACCGGTGATAAGCCCATTTGTACATTCATATCTCAAGATTGCAAACAAACAAAGCCTTCAGAAGAAGCTCATAACGTAGAAACAGCGAACAGAGTGTGGGAAAAGACGATAGAGCTGATTGGTCTTCCTCTTGATGCATTGGAGAGGCTTATAGAAGGAGAAGAGGTGCAATGCCGTTATGGGACTTATCAGGAATAAGTCTTTTGTCTTGCTCACAAGTCTATTACAAGGTGATAGCTTCTTTACAAATATCTCTCTTCTTCGTTTTTTGGGGGCAAATCTCTCTCTTCTTTTCTCCATTTTATACTTGTTAGAGGCTTCTAGAACTTGACCTCAAAGCTCCGTTATAGTACTACACTACACACGTTCCAAAAATGAAGGATGAGTCTCAGGGAAATAGCTTTCATGTATTTTATAGAAATTATAAATCAACTAGTATCTCTATGTTTGGTATGTATCATGTAATATTATGATAAATAAATCTGTATTTTTGCTTTACAATCTTCTTTTGTTTGGAAATTTGATATCTTAGTAATTACACTGCATGCATAGTTGCAAATACAGTCTATCTTACTGATCACATTGCCATAACTCGCAAACTATTATACTGTCATTAAATACACATGATTGCATAACAACAAATTTACTTAGAGAACTAGAATATAGAAATGTTGTTCCTTTTTAAAATAAAACAGACAAATTAATAAATCTCTAACGTGACCATAGATAATAAACACACATAATAGAGGCTGGCTCTCTTGTAGTAAAATTAATAAATATGATAAGTAACTAATAATGGCCAACTAATGACCAGCTAATCATTATAGTAACGGCAAGGACGGGTTACGCGCGTATACCACCAAGTCCGAGGCGTCACAGGCTTTAACTAATCAGAATTGCTTATCACGTTCCTAAATATTGACGCAAATAAAATTTATTATATAATCCCTTTTTGCCTTTCTCTACCTCTGCGTTGTGGACTCCCTAGAGAAGAATAGGAAGAAGATGAGTAGTGAAACGGTGTCGTTGAAGAAGAAGAAGGATGGTTTAGGGTGGATAGTGTGGTTAAAAGGATGGGCTTATGTTTTGCAAGAGATTTTTTTGCAGAGAATAATGGCTTCTCACTTACACAATCCATTTCCTCTTCCTTCTCTAAACCATTTAACCTGCATTGTCACTGGCTCCTCTAGTGGCATTGGCTCTGAGACCACTAGGTCCCAAATTAAAAGCAAAACAATTTCTTCAGGGTTTTTGATGTTGTTTTTCATTTTTTCAATATTGCGAGAGAAAGATGTGAATCTTATAATAGATTATTTGTTGCGTGAATTGGCAGGCAGCTTGCAGAGGCTGGTGCTCATGTTGTTATGGCGGTAAGGAACATAAAAGTTGCCCATGAGCTGATACAACAATGGCAGACCAAGTGGTTTGCTAGTGGTAAAGGACTCCCACTTAATATTCAGGTAAAATCTGGTCAATTCCTATATATCAGCTTCATAGTACATTATGATCATAGCAGTTTTTAAATTCTTTGTGGGGATGCACCACATGTTTTGATAAATACACTCTTCGCTTCACAATGAATGTCGTTTTTGATTCAAAAACAATCTCGTTTTATAAGTTATTTTTATAAGAAAATATCTAGCTAACAAGTAACAACTATCAAATTATTTAAAATATTACATAATATCAAGAGTGAGTTTGCTTTTGAGGGATTTATTAGATTATTCAGCTTTGCTACAGTTTGTATGAAAATTGTAAAAAGGATAGTATTGAAACATATACATTATATATGTGTAAAAAGAAGACAGAAAGAATAGTACTCCTTCTGTTCAGAATTAGTTGATGTTTAAGGTTTTTGCACACAGATTAAAGATACATTTAATATTTATTTTTTCTACACTAAAAAAATTATCTATAATTTATTTAAATATTATTCAGCCAATAAGAAAACAATTTGTAGAATAAAAAGTCAAAAACAATAAAAATTCATTAAATTTTACATTGAAAAGTGAAAACATCAAATAATTCTGAACAAAAAAAACCTCATAAAACATCAAATAATTCTGAACAGAGGGAGTATAAGAATAATACTTGTGAAACATATTTGTGTGAGAAGTGTAGAAAGGATATATATCATTTGTGTAAAAAGAATAGTATTTGTAGCTTGGAGTAACTAGATATAGTCAAGAATTAATGTATAACGTAAGAAGATTCTAATTTTCGTTTAACAAAGTAGGAAAAAAAATGTAAGAACTACTAGTGATCACTCTCTAGTTTTTGTTTAATTTTGCTTTAATGTTAAGATGGATCACTCTCTTAATTAATTGGATTAATAATAGTGACAATAAACTTCAGTGTATTTTTGTTACCATAACATCCAGATTGTTAACAATTATACACTTTTTTTCTCAAGGTGATGGAACTTGATCTTCTCTCTTTAGATTCTGTCGTCAGATTTAGCAATGCGTGGAACGCACGGTTAGCCCCTCTGCACAATGCCGGCATGTTTACCATGGGAGGTTCGTTTGTTTTTTTTTTTTTTTTCCTATATTACATGTTTCTATCTGTTATTATAAGTATTTAATCTTACTTTCATGTTGCCATTTAGTCCAATGGGTTAACGGTTTAGACTTTAGAGGTTGATAACTATAAACCAGGCCAGGCCATTATAAACTTCTAACACATATGTGTTAGAGACTTAGATGTCGTCTGCACATCTTGACGCTCATATTAACACATATGACGTCCAAGCAAGAGCTGGTTTGGTTAATGGCATACATAATGAGTGTTTAGGTAGAGGTTAAAACCTCGTACAATTCCATTCCAGTTTTTTAAGAAAATATATCAATTAATAATGGGCCACAGAATTATTTTTCATTAGGATCTCCAATTTCATAGAGCGGTTTGTTAGTCAATTTTCTTCTATTGTGATGTTGGACGAATTTGTTTAGCAATCAAATGACATTTGGATTGCAATGTTTTCTGCATACTGCCACTAAGGTAGGGACATAGTGTTATTTACCGACGGTCATCCAAATATTGTTCGTTTTGTCAAAGTAGTTTCGACTTTCGATGTCGAGGTTGATATTTTTTGGATACAAAATAATAACAATGTGCTTACCATAGCTGGCCCAAGGTTATTGGGAGGTCTAATGGGAATTTTTTTTGGTAAACTAAACGTCTAAACCACTTTTAAATTGCAATTTTTTTAGATTTTGGAAGCGCATATGCAAACTTTAAGAACACTAAATGAAAGAATTTGCTTGTGCAAAACGCAAATGCAAATGATATCACAAATGTTAAACGAGAATTTGGATTGTTTTCAATTCGAACCAAACTCACGAAACCGAAATGTTAAATGAAAAATAAAATGAATATACCTTTTTTTTTTTCTCTCACTAGCTCATTTTTACACAAATACATATGCTAAAACAATCGGGAACTTTGACAAGGGAAGGAAAAAACAGCTAAATTGGATAGCGTTCATGTTGATTTTTGTAAAGGGACACAAAAATTCTCAAAAGATGGAAATGAAGAGCACTTGCAAGTGAACCATTTAGCTCCAGCTCTGCTTTCACTACTCCTTTTGCCTTCGCTTATCCGAGCTTCTCAAAGCCGAATCATTTATGTCAACTCTGTTGTGAGTATCATACATCATCTAAAGTTATACTAGGTACATACTTCATATATCTCTATGAACTTATCACTTATGGTTAAAATTCCTGCGTGTTCGTTTTGTAGATGCATTATATTGGTTTTGTTGATCCGAATGATCTAAATGTTGTTTCTGGTAAACGAAAGTTTTCAAGCTTGATTGGATATTCGAGCAGCAAACTTGCTCAGGTATTTTTATAGAAACAGAAAAAACAGTTGATTAAATTTTAATTTTTTCTATAATTAATCTTACACGGATTACAATTTAATGTTCTTTTCGTGTGTCAGGTTATGTTTAACAATGTTCTTTCCAAGAGACTGCCTCTGGAAACTGGCATTAGCGTCGTTTGTTTATCCCCTGGTGTTGTCCATACTAACATTGTGAGTATTAAGCCTCGTTTGTTTGTGTTTATATTTATATTTAAACGCAAATATGTTGGTTTCTTAATTAAAAAACGTTAAACGTAAATCACAAATGATAACACACTTTCCGTGTGTGGTTGTAATTTGCATTTTATATTAACATTTTTGACATATCTCAAATTTTGCAGACTAGAGATCTTCCAAGAGTTATTCAACATCTTTACTCTGCCTTGCCATATTTCATATATTCGCCACAAGAAGGTTGTAGAAGCTCACTTTTCTCGGCGACAGATTCTCAAATTCCAAAATACTGTGAAAAGTTAAAAACCGATAACAAATTCGTTTGCGCATTCATATCTCAAAATTGTCAACCTACAAGTTCTTCAGAAGAAGCTCAGGACATAGAAACATCGAACAAAGTTTGGGAAAAGACGTTAGAGCTTATTGGTCTTCCTCTTGATGCATTGGAAAAGCTTATACAAGGAGAACAAGTACAATGTCGTTATGGGATCATTCATAAACAATAAACAATAAATCTGTGGTTTGACTTTTCGTAAATTGTGGAAACTTTTTTAATGACTTTATAATTAATAAAAAATTCCAATGTTGTAGCATTATCTGACTATTATGGCCACTAGAAAGTCTTTGGAATTTGGTCATAGTCTCTCTTACTTGTTCCGAAAGAGTTGACTTTTGAAAGGATTTAACAAAAATAGTATATTTAATATTTCTCTCATTTCTATAATTCAATATTCTTATTTAACGCCAAAAACATTGGATTTTACGATAGTTCTCTGTAAATTTCCATTTTTGGTTAGTATTTTTATAGTTTTTTCCCTCATAAGACCATAATTAATTTTCTCCTTTCGTCGACATGAATATACTCGAAATCGAAATCGTTTTTATGACTCAGACATTCTATCCATATTTTATGCAATAAATACACGAAATAGACCATAAAATATTAAATACTATATAATCAAAATGATTACGTACACTGTCGTAAAAATTTTTTTTTAAAAATGATTACGTACATTATGGGTCCATTCTCAATTACAAAAAGGATTTGGTCACTGCTTTAGTTTCCAACACACCAACTCCATTCACAAAAAAAAAAAATTATGGATTTCACAAAAATAATAACTTTCTCGCTCTTAATTTTCTCTCTCCTAATCCCGACGAGGATCACTGCCACATGCACTAACGCCGTTTGTCGCCGTGGAGATCCGATTATCCGTTTTCCTTTCCGTTTAAAACCCCACCAGTCCCAATCTTGCGGTTACGACAAAGAATTCGACTTAACGTGCGATACTAACGGCGTTAACAGAACCACCATAACGCTGCCGTTTTCCGGTAACTTCACCGTGGAGATGATCGATTACGCTGCTCAAGAGATTTGGATCAACGACCCTAATAACTGTCTTCCTAAACGGATCTTAACGCTAAACCTCACGTCTACGCCGTTTAGTGGCGTTTACTCACGTCGATTCTCGTTTTTTAACTGCCCGACGTCGGAGTATCTCCCTTTGAGGCCGTTAAACCCGATAACTTGTTTGAGCGATGAGAACAGCACGGTGTTTGCGACTGCATCGCCTAGAGTGGTGAACTACCTGTCGTCTCAATCATGCCGGTTAATGAAAACCGTTGAGATTCCAGTTCGTTGGCCGTTTTATGAGCAGGCCGTGTCGTTTTCGGAATTGAGTGATAACCTCTGGCTCACTTGGAGGGTTCCGAGATGTTTCCGGTGTGAGATTAGAGGTGGTAAGTGTGGGATTAAGAGTAATTCATCTAGTGAAATCATCTGCTCTGATGCTCATAAACCAGGTAAATTATCTTTTAACTTTTAATATTACACTGATTAATTATCTTCGGTCTTGATTTTTGAATTTAGAATACAATTCAAAATTTCTTTATAGTATGAAGTCAAACATACAACTAATGAGACGATTAGAGTATGTTTTATTTGACGTACACCATGACGAAATTTTATGTTGAATGAGTCATGTGTTTGTGTGTGTCAGTGTCTATATAGAATTATGAATATAAACAAATTTGGAAGAACGACGAGTTTATACAACCAAATATATTTGTCCGTTCTAATTGTTGAAATCCGAAAACCACATGAGACGATTCAACACGACATATATTGACTAATGAATCAATATGTAAATAAATAAATAAATAGACGTATATATATATATATATATTGCACACTGTACACATGCATATTCATTATATTCTACAAACAAATCTAGTAGAAAAAGTTCATAAACCTACGATATTAGAAAAGTAGAGGCAACGTTTTTTGACGACAGAAAAAAACCCCTAAAACGTTTAAAAGTCAGAACGAGAAATAACGAATTGTAAGTTTCACATAAGCACTTTTGCTTCTTTTTTGTTTGAACCTTTTCACTAATAATGGAAGAAGTTTCAGGAATTTATTACTGATCATTTTGTTAGGATAGTATATCTGTACATGGTACATAATATTATTTTTATAGTAGCAAGTCTTTATCATAACAAATCTTCAGTTACAGTTTGAAATTTATTTAAAATTACAAGAAGTTTATTATGATTATAAGATAACCTATATTCGTCAAAAAAAAAAACTAAAAGTAACAAAAACCAAAAAATGGTTTGTTGATCGTTATCAAATTCTTCCTTAATTATATCAATAACATGTAAGACATTAACTATCTCAAAAAAAAAAAAAAGGAAGACATATTAATTGAGAATAATGAGAAGTTGGGAGATAATCAGTAAAGTGGGACACGAGGACACGAGGTCGTTGCCATAATAATGAAAGCTCCGATGTGTTGACTTCTCTCCACTTTACTTTGCCTTACTTTGCCTTGTTTGGCCTACTTAGTCAACTCATTCAATTGTTACCCATTTACTAAGAGTCTTCTCTTCTACCAATTACATTTTGTTCTTTTTATGATAACACAACAAAAAATCAACAATAGTCGGCCCCAGCCTTTTCATAAGATCAATAAAGCTTCTGCCTTAAACCACATTATAAGCAGAAGATTTTGAGGCCAACCATTGAAGTCTTTTACTATTCTAGTGGCAAGGATTCAATTATAAGATAAATGAACCCAAATTTGTTTGAAAAAAAATGAACGAACAAAATAGAGTAGAATGGCGGAATGACAATAATTTTTGCGGAATAAAATAATATACTTAAAACTCGTTTTCCGTTTTAGTAATTTTTTTTTTGTATTTTTTAAGCAAAAATAATTTTTTTAATTTTATAATCTTTTTATTAATTGATAAAATACTTGCAAAATTGCGTGCCATTATACAAGTTACCAATCAAAAGCCTAAAATTCTATTTCTTACAATATTTTCTAATCAACTTTTTTTTTTTTCAGCTATCCCGAGAAGAGCTCGTTACGCAATAGCAATCGGTGCAGGAATCCCAGGAACTTTAATCCTCTTCGGTCTTTTCTGTTTTGTGTACAGCAAAATCAACGGCTGCATCAAACGACACCGTCTCGTCCCACACCCAGAAATCAACAACACTCGAGCTCATTTTCACCAGTCTGGTATTTCAATAATGGGTTTAGATGGGCCGACTATAGATTCGTACCCAAAAATAGTATTGGGAGAGAGTAAAAGGCTGCCCAAAACAGACGATGTCACGTGTCCTATATGTCTCTCGGAGTACGAGCCAAAGGAGACGCTTAGGACAATACCATCGTGCCAACACTGTTTTCACGCCAATTGTATCGACGAGTGGCTGAAATTAAACGGCACTTGTCCGGTGTGTCGGAACTCTCCTGAGCAGATTCTTCCAAGTGAGAACTTAAATTCTTAGTTAGTGGCTCGTGTTTCTTTTTGGCAACATTTGTAGTTAGTTTATAATCATATATATTAAGATATTGAAGTTTTTTTTGGTCGAGAGGCCGCTTTTTACATTATTATTTTTTTGGGTCCATGACCATGAGTCACCATCAGACTCAAAATCAAAATGAGAGCAAAATTACATATTCTTAAAACAAAAAATGTAATTTGAAGTGAAAGAGCATTATTCCCTTGAAGTGGAATAGTTCTTTTTTTATATATAATTTTCAGCTACTGTAGGATGGTCCACCAATACATTATAGTGAAAATTCATTCAGGAGAACTTGCAATTTAAAAGTTTGATTTTTTTTTTGTCTAAGTAAAATTGGATTTGATGTTTTTCTTATGTTTGTCGAGATTGATGTGGTATTTTATGTCGACTAGTTTGAAGATCAGGACGGAGTCGAAAGGTGAAGATTCTCGAACGATGAAAATGTGTCCAATTACTAAAGACACCGACATTTTCTCACTCATTCTCCGTGCCCGTGGGACCTCTTTCAGTTTTGTTTAAATTTTTTTGTCTCTTGTTATTATGTCGTTTGATGTTTATGAAAATTGCCAAACATTTGTAGAGATAGAATATAATTCAATTAACGACGCGTGTCTCACATCTTTATGTATATGATAATGACTTTTCATCCACCAGTTCCTATTGGTTGCACATTTTCAATTGGCAAAGAATAATAACAGTGAGACTTTTAGAAATTGACAAAGAGAGCAATATCACACTAAACAAAATGAAAGATAATAAAATGCATTGACCAAAAAGAAAGTCTAAATCCTATTCTTATAATATTGGTTGCGGATTGGAATGTAATTACTCGGGAACCACATATTTTTTTTAAGTATTGTGTTAAGAAAATATTAGTGGTGAAATTAACATAGTTTAACGTGAACTTTTATGAGAAATGGCTATTTTGATGCATGTATATTCTATTCTATGGGTTGTTTTAAACTCCCATAAAAAGTTGTCAAAACACTTGGTTTTAGTAATTATGTAAGTTGGATATGATAGCCTTTTTTTGGCCATTACTGTTTCAGTTTATTTTTCATATTTATTGCTCTATAACCTTTGTTTGTATGATTTATACAAGAGTTTAGAGATAAATAAACAAATTCTTATTCATATTGATAAAAAGTAACAAATTTTTAGTATATGATTATCTCATGGTTATCAACAATATAAGATCAAAACTATAGCCATATCTATGCTCCTTATTCTAAACAGTTAACACCATCAGATTTACTCACTATTCAGTATTCACCAACAGATCAAACATATATCATGACCAATCTTGGATTCTAGAGTTTAATGTAGTAGTGTCATCATCATCTGTGCTAAATTCAACATAATACATCAATACGTGTTGGAAAAAAATAGTACTCCATTCCTTTTTTTTATATATAATATGAAAAAATATTACATCCACGGGAATAAAAGAAAAGAAAATTAGAAAAAGTAACAAATAGACCTTTAAAAAGCGGAGAGAGAGAGAGCCTGAGAAGTGAGGAAACGCAACACCGAAAGATAAAAAAAAAGGAGAGAAAGAGACCAAATTCGAAACACAGAGAACAAATTCTCTCTTCCTCCTTTTCTTTTTTCAATTACTTAAATCTTTCCCGCTCACTGTTTCTTCTTCAGATCACGTTTAGCTTCCGATTCGTCCCTCTGTCTCTCTCTTCTCCGCCGTTAACCACGAGGTCTCATTCTCTCTCTCTCTCTTTCTCTCCGTTAATCTGTTTTGTTGGCATTTGATTTTGCTTCCTTGCATGATCTCGGAGGTTTTTGATTGTTCCGATGTGGATGAAACTTGATTGTTGGGCTTTTTTGTTCTGTCTGATTTTTGTTTTCTTGTTGCTTCGATGCTGCCTGAAAAGTTTGGGTTTTGTGACGATCCTGGGTTTTTTGGAAACCCTATTTTCCTTTTTTTTATATCTAATTTGTTATGTGGATTTTCTTCGATCCTCTTTTCTCATTCACTTTGTTAATCAATCAAATCTCTTGCCAGATTAAAAAGATCAAATTTTTTGCTAGATGTTTTACAAAATACAAGCTATTTGGTGGTGCAATACGAAATTTTCCTCTTTTTTTTTTGAGTAGATGAATCTTCCTAAAGTTATATACTTTCAATATTCGTACCCATCGTTTTCTGAAAAAAGTGTTCAACTTTCCAGTTTGTAAGATTCGTTAATTAATGCTAAATCTGTTCTTCCTTCATCCCCTTCTTAATCTGGTTCTAGGGTAAACCTTTTAACTCTCTTTTGTTCTTTTGTTCTCTTGTGTGATTGTTTTTGTTTGTGTAGTATACAGAGGCTGGAGCTGGGGAAGAAAAGGATTGTCTATGGAGGGAGACGGCGTAAAAGGTTTGGCATGCCAGAAGACTATGGATGGGAAGGCGAGTAATGGGAATGGTTTAGAGAAGACTGTACCTTCTTGTTGCCTCAAGGCCATGGCATGCTTACCAGAGGAGGATGCTAAGTGCCACTCCACTGTTGTTTCTGGCTGGTTCTCGGAACCTCACCCTCGCTCTGGTGATATTACCTTACTTTTCTTTTCTTGTCAAGCTTCTCTATTTTTCTCATATCTCTTATTTTGGTTTCTGTTCTTACGGGATGTAGGGAAAAGAGGCAAAGCAGTGTACTTCAATAACCCTATGTGGCCAGGTAGGTTACCCCTTAATAGGCTTGTTTTTGCTGCTTGTTTTTCTGCTTGTTTTATATGATAAGCTTTTTACGTTAAGTAGTGCTTGTACATGTGACTTATGCAGCTTTGCTGTTTTATGTGTTGATTGTAGGTGAAGCACATTCACTGAAAGTTGAGAAAGTTCTGTTCAAAGACAAGTCAGATTATCAGGAAGTCTTAGTGTTTGAGGTTTGAAATAACTTTCCGTTAGACTTTTCTTATCATCTTCTGAATCTGTCAGCTTCTAAGTGTACTGATTTGTGTAGTTTGTAATGTTTCTGCTTTAGGATAACCTCAATTTTGTTCTTGTTTTTGCAGTCAGCTACCTACGGGAAAGTGCTTGTTCTAGATGGTATTGTACAGCTGACTGAAAAAGATGAATTTGCATATCAGGAGATGATAGCCCACCTGCCTCTATGCTCTACACCTTCACCTAAAAATGTAATTTCTCACCTTGAAAGTTTAGACTCTCTGGTTGCAAATATCTTGTGGCCTCTTGCAATCGAAGTAAAAGTACATACAGTTTGTGATGATGGCCTGTTTTAGATCACGTGTTGCTATTTCATCTCATGAGATGGCTTTTTTCGCCAATGTTGATCATTCAAATACATTGAAACATTGATTCACATCAACTTGGATTACGGCGTGTCAAGCATATACATTTTTGTTACCTTTTTGTAAGGCTGGACTTTGGCTGCATAAATATTTGCAGGTACTGGTTGTTGGTGGAGGTGATGGTGGTGTTCTCAGGGAAATTTCTCGCCACAGCTCAGTTGAGGTTATTGACATTTGTGAGATAGACAAGATGGTCATAGATGTAAGTATATATGGTCTTGTTGTGCCTATCATTAGTTTGAGCAGTTTTTAGGTTATGCTCTTAACTCAGTCAATGGGATTCCTTTGGTTTTGTAGGTGTCTAAGAGGTTCTTCCCCGAGTTAGCAGTTGGATTCCAGGATCCTCGTGTTCAACTTCACATTGGTGATGGTAAGTTAACATCCTTACTTTTATCCAGTTTAAAAAAAACTATCTGAAAATTTGCCTTGTGTTGATATCACTTTCTTTTGGCAGCTGTTGAGTTCCTTCGTAAATCCCCTGAAGGGAAGTATGATGCCATTATTGTCGATTCTTCAGATCCTGTTGGTATGATTCTCTTTGGATATCTGAGTAGTAGTTGATGTGTTTTACCTTAGATTCTGAATCATGACTTGGTTCAGATACAAAACTCACGTTTTTCACTCTATATAATCACAATAGGTCCTGCTCAAGCGCTTGTTGAGAAGCCTTTCTTTGAAACGTTAGCTAGAGCATTGAAGCCTGGAGGAATTCTTTGTAACATGGCAGAAAGTATGTGGCTCCATACTCATCTTATTGAAGACATGATCTCCATTTGCCGTCAAACATTCAAAAACGTTCAATATGCGTGGAGCAGCGTCCCAACATATCCAAGGTAACTGTAGTTTTCTCCTAATCACATTCCCATGGTCTCACTGGAAAGAATATGTGAAGTGAACAAAAAAATCTTTATTGTAGCGGCGTGATTGGTTTTGTCTTGTGCTCCACCGAGGGACCTGCTGTTGATTTCAAGAACCCTATCAACCCTATCGAGAAACTAGACGGTGCCATGACCCATAAACGAGAAATGAAGTTTTATAACTCGGAAGTAAGTTTTAACACAACTGTGACTTCCCCACTGAGTACTGTAGACAAGATCTTAATCTGTCTTTTTCTTCTAAAACAGATGCACAGAGCAGCTTTCGCTTTGCCCACATTCCTGCGGAGAGAAGTGGCTTCACTTATGGCTTCTTGACTTTCTGTTTGGCTTACCGGTTTTACTTTATTTTATATGAAACTCTGTAGAACTCTTAAAAGAGGATAATAATTAAATCATAGGAGGCTTGTATCTCTAAGCTCACTCCTTTATATTAAAGACTTCTATTTATATATTTGGCTGGCTCTACAAACAGCTTGGCTTTTCATGAATTGTTGTTCTTTAATAAGAAAAATCATTCATATACATATATGCTAACTTAATCATCACTATTGAAATCTGGTTCTGTTGGTTTCTGAAGTAGCATAGGAGGCATTCGTTCAGGCATCCTCGGTTTCCGAACCGACCCACTCCTACGTATAGTCCGTAATATATTTGCAGCAAACCGTGATGCGTACATCGTAGCTCCAAGGCTCGGTGAGCTTCCACAAGCTTCTTTAGCCAAAGCATCCTGCAACCGGTTCTCTTCTTCTTTAAGAGACTCTTCTAGTTTCTTCTTCACATATCTTCTCCAAGCTGCTTGTATGAAACAAGCAGCCCAAGTCCTCCATTGCTGCGAGTAGAACCTGAAAGTATGTCTCAGCTGTTTGCTGTGAAGACGTCTGAATTGGGACGCTACGAACTTGAGGTCATCAGCTTTAAGTGCAAAAGCTTCGACTTCCACGAGAGCTCTAACGGTTCTTGTTGAGATTGGGAGGTTTGAGGATGTGTGTGGGTCTAAAGCCCATGTTAGAAGCTCCTCACCGCAGAAATCACCAGCTCCAAGATGCTCCGAGTTGAAGAAACCGGTTCTTCCACCGTTTGTTGTCATTGTTAGTAGCTTCCCACGCATTATAAAGAGCATTTCATCTACTGGATCTCCTTCTCTTACGATGTAGCTTTCCTCTGTGTACAACACAGGTTGCAAACGGTCACATAGAGCATCAAGAAGCTGTTCGTCCATTTTCTCAAACATGGGGACCTAGAACAAGATAGAAACATGTGGCCAGGTTAAGATTGATGCTGGCAAAGTAAAAGAGAGGAGATGTATTTTGTTATTGTTATTACCCTCATGAGAAGAGCGAGACAGAGATGGCGTTTGATGTCGCGTCTAAGATCTTTGGGAAGATTACTAAGAAGATTCTCTTCGTCAACACCTCTTGTCTCTTGCCATTTGTACTGCTCGTATCGTCGGATTCTTTTTCTCAAGTTCTCAGGGAGCAAACGGTGAGCCATCCATTGTTCTGCGTCTCTTCTTTTCACTCTCATCTCCTCCAACCTCGTGGTCGTTGATTGCAGGTATGTCTGCCACATTTTTATTTGTAAAAACAATAAGCAAACTCGAATTTGGCAATAACACTATGTCACATTTTGATGAAATGAGAGACTGACCTGCATGTTCCCAATCAAGAACGAGAACAAAACCAGTCCGGATATAGAAATGAAGACCGCGAAACAAATCTCCCAAACATATGTACTTGTTTGAAGGTTTTGACCAAGCGAACTGGATCAAGAAAATGAAAACAAAATGTGCAAGAACTTATTATTGTCGTGTTTCTTTTTCTTTCTGCATTGAAAACAAAATGAAAACAAAATGGCGAGAACTTGCTGCTCTATTCTCAATACCTGAGGTTTTGAAGACCCCACCAGAAACAGTAAAAGAACTTCTGAGGGAAATCTTGAGATTCCACTACACCGGACTGAAGTGCGTTAAGGAATATCCCAAAGTCAAAAAGCGTTGCGTTTGGTGTCTGAAACGGACAAGACTCGTTGAGGAAAGCATTGTCTCCTGCATTGCTATGGTCACAATACAACGACTTGAGATTGCAGATTGAGTTTTGCATTGAGTTTCTTCTCTGGCAAGCTCGTTTCCAACACACTGTTTCTCGTTCGATAGAGAACAAATACCAGAAAGCACCAAACACCTGCACAGTTCACCGGTTTTTTTAAACCCAAAAAAGATTATATATTTTAAGCTCTGATCCAAGAAACGGCTAGGGACTCACATGACTAGCAAGCATGTAGAGGAAGAGATTAAAAGCAGCTCCAGCCCAAGCTGTCTCAGTAAGTATGCCTGAGGTTCTTGTCACTTCTTTGTAGAGAGGATAGATTCTTATAAACCTCGGTATATACTGGAAGAAAACCACGAATTTCAACAGGTTCTTCGTGTTTAAAGATCTTGAGCCTTTCATATTTGGAATGATAATCAAAATCACCACCTGAGAAAGAAGAAGAAGAATCAATTACTCACATTTACTCTTACAACATAACCTTGCTAATAATGGCTTTGGAGTTACAAATAAAATCACACCTGTGGAAGCGGAAGAACAGCCAAAATGTCGATGATGAAATGCGAGGACAAGTAACGTCTAGCGATCTCTCGCTTGTCCTCAACAAGAACACCTCTCCCAAAAACACGAGAAGAAGGAGCTATGAAGCCAGTACGGAACTGGAAAATGATGTGAATAACGTAGAAGATATCGGTGAAGGAGCGCAAAACGCTAGCGGTTATCTCCATTTTCTTGTCAAGACCGAGACATTTCTTGGCGTCGTTGATCACAGGCACGTAGAAGAACAAAGGGTCAAGCGAGACAGCGATGATGCAAGCTAAAACGAAGATCTTATTCCATCTTTGAAGGAAAGGTCCTTGTGGGTCAAGGATTTTGTGAGTGGAGACGATTCCTTTCGAAACGGTTTCTCTGAAAGAGTATGACTTGTAAGTTCCCCTGAACATTTTGAACCTTGCGGAGCTTGTTTCAAAGCTTCTGTGAAACTTGTCGGAGATTGAGCTTATTGTTCTCCGGAATATCCCGTTTTGAGCCTCGTTTCTCCCGGAATATTCCATGTCGGAAGTCTTGTCGGACTTCCAATCCTGAAACCTGATTCAACGAAGTGAAGAAACAATCGAATTTAAGCTCCAAGACCTATAATATTCGAAGTGACAAATTTTAAGAACACTGACCTCACAAACTTCTCCTGTCGGAAACTCATTGTTGCCTTGTCGGAGATTAAGATTCAAACCGCAGAGATTTCACCTATCATGAAGATTTGTGGATGCACAACTTCGTGTGCCTTCTTTGTAAAAATTTGAGGGAAATTCGAAACCCTGATTCCACAAAATTACCCAAGACGAAATGAGTGAGAGTATATAAAATTCAATTCGGCAAAAACTTGACTCAAATTTCAAAACTTTTCTACTTGAACTGCAAATGAGTAATGAACAAGTCGAAAGTAAATTTGACAAACATAATTCCAGTAAAACAGGAAAAAAAGAAAGAGAGGAAGAGAGAAGAAACTCTTTCTAAGTAGAAATCAAACCGAACAAGGACAAGTGTTTCACTTCCGAGAATACAGTAGATTCGAAGAGAGTTGAGGAGGACAAGAAAGGAAAAGAAAGAACACTGTTTAAACCCACCAAAAGAGAAAAATCAAATCTTTATTTTGTTTTTCCTCGGAAAGAGAGAGAAAGATGGGATCACAAAAGCAGAAGAAAAGCCTGAAAATAGGAAAAAAAAAAACTATAAAGAAGAGGAAGAATAGAAGTTAATAAACGTACCAGAGAAGAAATCGGGGAGAGAGAGAGTGATGATGAAGATTGAAGAAGAAGAAGAAGATACTGAATGATGAAAATTAAGCCTTTATCAGAAGACAGAGAGGACGGAGGAGTTTCCACGAAAGTCACAGACTTGGCTATTTTTTTTTTATATATTTTTTTTTCTTTCTTTGCCATTTTCTATTATTTTTCACTGTTTTTGTAAATATTTTAAGTCATCCAAAAAGACACTTATACCTTTGCAACCTTGAACCTCCTTTGAGATTTGGAGACCAAATTTGAAGAACTTAACTGTTAATTTAGTACGAAATCATTTTTAAATGAGTTTTCACAGAAACCTGAGTCCGTTTGTAATATCTCTTTGTTTTTGACGTCGACCTGTAACTTAAAGATTTATAGTAGACGATTATGTTGTAAAATTACAGATTCCACACCAATATATGTTATTTTTTGTTAAGTAGTTATATAACATATATTTCTGAATATTTTATAATTTATACGTTTTAGATTATTTATTAATTCCATGGCTTAATTAATAATATAATTGTCGAATATGCTAATATAATTGGTAAATAGATGAATAATACTCTCTCTGTTTCATAAAAATTGTTTCATAAAAATTGTTATTTAGACACATTTCACACCTATTAAGAAAATGTGTAATAGTTCTATACTAACCCTTATTAATACATATAACAATTTTCTCTTTCTAACTAATACACTAAAAAACTAAGATTATAATTGGAATTTTGTTTAATAATTTACATTGGAAATACAAAGTGACAATCTTTTTAAAACAAAAATAAAATCCTAAAATAATATTTTTTAGAAAACAGAGGGAGAGGGAGTAGTTAAATGTTCATCACATTTTTTCCTTAAAGACATACTTCACCTTAATATATAAATTTCATCATTCTATTTCCTTTATGATATATAGATAGATATATTGATGTCAAGATAGATAAACCAACTTAAACGAACTCATTTCCAAATATATTGAGGTTTTCATGGAATATGGGTTAACACAATTCATAATAAGTTCTAATAATAAGTTGACCCTTAAAATATTTTAGAACAACTGATTAAATGAAAATCGTAATCATGTGACCTAGCTAATTGCAGATTGATGAAAGAATTGTTTTAACTTCTATTTTAAAAAAAAAAAATTTCACATCGCACAAGTTTTAAACTATTGAAAATATGATCGTTATTCCACTATAAAGAAACTGAGACTGCAACTAAGCAAAATTTAATAGATTAATGAGCATAAATAAATTATATAAATATTGCAAAACGTGTTGGAGCGAGCTAACTATAATGACAAAGTCTCCCTAAACACCAAAAATAAAGTCAGGAAAAAAAGACGAAGATACATTGCATAGCCATCATAATCATTATCAAAAGCTATCCTTCAATGTTTCCTTCTGCACATCTAGTTCTCCAATAACTTAGGATTCTGCTCGAACACTAAACAAAATATTTCAAATTTCAAAACTAAACATTAGGTTTTTAGATATAATCGAGACTTATTCGTTTGGTGGATGCCTCTTTGGCCTCTTCCAAATAGTGTTCTTCCACAACATTTGCACCCGATTGAATAGTAGCCATCTCGCATTCGCCATTATAATTTTGTAATGCATGAGATAGTTTTATACCTTCACCATCAATTTACAACAATTTAATTGTGATAAACAAAAGAAAATAGTGTTTATACCTTCATCATCCGCCATGTAACCAAATATCCAAGAACAAATACATAATAAAACTTGGACATTACTATGTATAGAATTCGACTATGTTATATATTTGTTTATCACATGAGATCCAATATTGAAAAAAAATTAAGAACCCATAGTGGTGATTTGCCATGTATGTTAGCGCACCGAATCAATGTACACTATTTTCTTTTTAGTAATGCAAAACATTGAAATTAGGATGGTTTCTCATAGCTACATTGATACTCCAAAGACATATCTAAAGTCGACTTCTACAATATAGTAATTCGAAACATCATCTAAGTAAATGCTTTATTATTCAAAACTTAAACATGTTATGATCTGGAGAAAAAGAAATAGAAACTTACATCTTGCACGCCCAAGTTTCATCTTCTTCACCTAGCAACACGAGAGTGTAATCTTACCAAACTTACAACTGGAGTAAAAAAATGTATATATTTTGAAAAGCTTATAAAGTTACATTTGAGGTGCTCTGTTTTTGCTATTGAAGTGAGTGGATCAAATTCATTATACCAACACTTCAAAAGTTTGAATTTCATCATAGGATCTAAAACAACACACATTGCAATACTAATTGGTCCCAATATTTATCAAACTTCTTTCTCCTCTTAGAAATCATCTCTCAATTGGCGTTATCGTCGTTGCCTCTATTCACTTCCAACAAACACTGAATCTTTCAAATATGTTTAAAATATAATTTAGATGTTCTATAACCTCTCCCAGACATTAAAGTGGCAATACTATAATAAATCCACTCGATCATGTATCAAAGACATATCCTATTTGAGTTTTGAAAATCCACTTGATTGAAAAAATCATATATAATGTTTGAGCAAGTGTGAACAATCATAATTATCAATACGAGATTTTTAGTAGATTTTTTTTTTCACTTATGGGAGCTTAATTTGCAATTTTGCATGCATGTAGTCTAATCATGCGTGGATATGCAAAAAAAAAAATAATTGAAGTTTAAGGTATGCTAGGTTTGATCATTCCCATTGTTCTATCTAAATGAAACCAATGAATTTTGTGGCACAGTTTCGATTTCTCAGCATATATTCTATATTTCTATTTATGGATATGAAACTCAATTGGGAGCTTGGAACGGAGCTTATTACAAATTTCCTAAGATGATGGAATGACATGAACGATATAGCGTTACTTAAATCTCATATAAAAATAGTTAATTATTAGAAAGTTTAAAACATTTTAATTAAAATTACCCTAAAATTTCTTTTGTACTGGTGAGTTTTTTGTTTTGTTTTTGTTTTTGTTTATTGTCTTAAAAATATCGAAATGTGATAAAAGAAGACATTGTCCGTGAGTATTTCATGAACCAACCCACGTGTTCTCTTCCTCTTTTTCTTCTCCTTTTTTTTTCCAAATTTTGTGCTCCATAATTTCAGACCGATATAAGTTTGGAAACTAAAACAGGAAATTTTTAGACAGCTAATTAATAATAGTATTGTTAATTAAGTGCAAATAGAGACCGTTGACTGTGTCGTGTCCCTTGTCGTACGTTTATCTTACGGCTCCTCTTTCTTAGCCGTCGGATCTGTAGAGCAGTGTCAAGATTTTGTCATAGTTCATCAAACTGTACAACAACGTATTTCATAATCCAAAATTTCTTAAAAACAAAGTCAACTCAATTCTTAGTTGATTATAAATAAAATTTTAACATTGAATTCAAACTAGTAAGACCATTGAATATGGAAGATATGGTCAACCTAAAAATCAGGTCAACTATCTTCCCATCTGTAAAATTTATCACATGCAAAAAAGTTTGTAATTAAAGGATCTTTCATGTCAACGCATTACCATGAATCTATTTTGTTTTATTTGTTTCTTTTGTATTATGGGAATACTCTCTTGGTATAACACCTATGTTTTTTTATTTCTTGCGCGAATGAAAATTTCGTATATTTGGTAGATAATTTGTTTTTTAAGTCCTCAAAATCATCTGTACCTTGAACAATTGGGGTTACGTTCTCCCGGAAGCGATAATGCAACCCGTCACTTTCCTCAAATTTTTTTAAAGGAAAAACCGTATACTCAATAAAAACCAGGTTAATTAAATATCTTCCCATCTTTATTGTAAGTTTATCACAAGCAAAATACATTGGTAATCGAAGGATCTTTCATGTTAAAGCAAGAAGCTACTAGATTTTTTTTTTTCTTTCTTTTCAGATTGCTAATCGAAACCATTTTTATCGAGAGAATGCTTCCTTGTTCGACACCGACGATTTTCTGATGCGCGATTGAAGCTTTAATATATATAGAAAATACGTCAAAAAAAAAAATACACATTGTTTTTTTTTTTTTGTAACTAGGAAATACTCTTCACCCCAAAGCTTTGATATATAGAGCATGTGAAGCCTTAATTAGCATAAGGTCATATAATATTTCAAAAAGGATCACTCGTAAAAAACTAGTGATGGTTTTGGTGGTATTGCTCTGTTCTCTATTATATATCCAACATGGATCCATTCGACAAGAGAGTTTTGACTTTGTGTTTTTTTTTAATGTATTTATAATTTATATATATTTATATCCTAAGATAATCTCTGTTTAAACAAAATCAGGTTCAGGTAGTTGGTGAAAGAAAAAAATATCAGGTCAAAGACTTTGTTATTTTGTTGTTCTTTCAACGTAACGTTTATGATTAGTTTATGTTTATCAGAAAAACCTCGATCCCTTGCTTTATCATAGAGTGGGTCTATTTATGAAACATATGATTGGGCTTTGTGTGGGCCGGACACGGGTTGATTTGTCTCGGCTACGTCGGATTGGTGGGCTGACGGTTTTTGACATTTTGTATATGTTACCAACCTCGAAGATCTCTCTGTTATTTTTTTCCCCTCACCAATTGTCAATTGATAAAGGATAACTGAAACAATCTTAAATCCACTGCAACAATTTGGGTTTCTCTTGTGATAAAACAATATCTTGGCACTACATTGCTCATGTTCTTAGATGCTTTATCTTATACAGGATGAGTATCCTATTGGCAGCATCTTCTGTTGTCGTGTTCATTGATTTAAAGCTGTACACATGTGAGAGACAGACTGGTTGAGTAAACTTATGTGTGTTTTCAGAGATTCTCCTAGAATTACAAGCTCATGTACATATATTTTAAACCCAAATTGTTTAGTTATATCCGGACCTTATATATATATGTTCGAAGTTCTAATGCTTTCTTTTCAATATCTAGTTATTTGAATTGCTCTTTGTCTCTGCATACTAGAACAAAGAAACAAAAGGGAGAACTAATTAACATTATCATTTAATGATTTTTTTTGGTTTAAATCATTTAATGGTCTTTGCTTCATTTCTTATTATATTTTTGATTTTGTAAGTAATTTTTTTTATTAAGAGATTCTTTGGAAAATAATTGTGTTCAAAATTAACATATTAACCGTATCAAATGATGAGAATAATCAAGAGAAGAGTGGGATTGAAGTGTAATTCGAAATACTGTCTATAAAATGATGAGACTAATCAAGAGAAGAGTGGAGATTGAAGTGTAATTTTTCAAGTACTGTATATAACCTAAAGAGCATATAAAATTTGAATTAGGTTTAATAATCCAATGAACTGTATATAACCTAGAGGCTAGAGAGGATATAAATTTTGAATAAGGTTTAATAATCCAGTGAAAAAGATGGTTTGTTAGAAATTAGAAGGAAGAAAAAAAGAAAGTTGAGTAGTTGTGTAAAGTGAGGTAATCCAATGAAAAAGAATCCTTAAAAAAGCTACAAACTATATATATAATAAAAATCTGGATGCATGAGTAGTGCCACGTAGCCGCTTCTGCTCGGTGCCATCCTCTCTCTCCTCTCACTACTCCCCACTCTCCCCATCTCCTTCTCTCTTGGATTCTCTCAGATTCCATGGAAGCTTCAAAAAGCTGATTCGTGGAGCAGTTTTTCCTTCACTCTCAGATTCTGGATCCGTGGTACAATCGCGTTTTCTCCCCGATCCATTTCTTAAAATCCGATTCGATTCTATTGTCAGAGCTCTGAGAATCCTAGGAATCCTTGATTTGATTTGATATATTTTTTTGTTTTTCCTCTTCGAGTCGATTCGAGAAGATGCCTGTTAGTTTTTCTCTACTTTGATCCGTTTTCGTTGTTCGGATTTTGATGAATCGGATTGTTTAGGAACTAAGATTTGGATCGCTTCTTAAATTTTGTTTCGTCATTGTTCATGATTCGGTGGTTAAATTCTACCATCGTAATCGCTGAATAAGCAGGATCTAGTTAATTGAATAATTCAAGGCCAGAATCATCTCAACTTCATTTGAATGTATCTGTATCGATGAGGTTTTGCTATCTTAAATTGGTTTTCGTAGCGATCCAGGATCTGTGTTGAGTTTATCATCATTTGATTATCTTAGCTCATATGTAGACGATGATCATGTTCTGTACTGTTTAAGTAGCTCATATCCTCCAATCTAATCATAGATCAATTTTACTAATGATATATCAATATTGTTTTGTTTATTTACACAGCTCCTGCATTGGAGAAACTGATTAAGTTAAGACCTGCCTGATGGTATGCAGCAGTTTCATAAGGAGTGTCATTGTTCAGGCTGGTCATATTGGGGTTTTGGCTCAAGGAAGACATCAGTTTAGCCATATTAAGAAGACCTTTAGTTTTGGTAAGAAGACCTTTAGTTTTGGTATCGAATTTAGAACCAGTGCAGCAAAGATGATGGTCGATTCTTGTTCCGGAGAGAAACGAGTATCCTTAGTTGATATGCCGCCTGAGAAAGTTGATGATGGCGGATACATCGGTGGTGGTTGGAAAAAGTGAGTAAGATCTCACTTGTAAGATCCCCGTGCCTTAGCAAATGTCTAGGCTATATATCAATCATTTGTTTTTAAAGTATTCCTTAATAAAAGTTGCTTGCAATGACAGTGATGAAGGAAGCTTGAGCTGTGGGTACTGTAGTTTCAGAGGGAAAAGGTCTACGATGGAAGATTTCTATGATGTCAAAGCTTCCAAGATTGATGGCCAAACAGTTTGCATGTTTGGAATATTTGATGGTTAGATTCTATGTTTTGTTTTCCTTTTTTATTGATATAAACGAAGAGGAAATGTTAGTGTTGCATTGTGGACAAATATGATCAGTGTTAAAGTCTGGTTTACAACTGGCCATATACTCATTGTATCTATCTCAACGTAGAATCGTAGAGTGGCTGAACTAAAACATAGTCCAGCTTAGAAAACTGGCCACACCCTATATGCTATGTCTACTTTTATAAGAAGGATCTTGAATTGCCTTAGGTAGGGTTCCGTATTTGTACATGCTGACTGCTGCTTCTGGGTTTTATAGTAGACTGATTAGGATATTAAAGCCTGCACTACACAGCTGAACTATCAATATGCGTTCATATAATACTCAGCAGCAGAATCCTATGCTATTGACTTGATCCTTATTTGTCTTCTTCTAATACCTGAAGCTTTAATCATCACAGGACATGGTGGTTCACGTGCTGCTGAGTACCTGAAGGAACACCTCTTTAACAATCTTATGAAACATCCACAATTTTTGACAGACACGAAGCTGGCATTAAGTGCGCTCTATATCTCTTGACATAAGATTTGTTTTAATCTCAGAACTATGAGCTCACATAGATTGATACAAGTCACTGGTTCACCTTCTAGCTTGACCAAATTTGCAGGTGAAACATATAAACAAACTGATGTAGCATTCCTTGAGTCGGAAAAGGATACATACAGAGATGATGGCTCCACAGCATCTGCTGCGGTGTTGGTGGGGAACCATTTGTATGTTGCAAATGTCGGAGACTCAAGGACAATAGTTTCTAAATCTGGAAAAGGTCAGTCTTTCATTTTTTTTTAAAAAAAGCTTCAGTAAAAACTGTGTTCTGTGAGTAGTGAATGGTTTCTTTTGATTGGTCACAAGCCTTTTTTGCTTTTTTTCCATGAGGACGCCCTTTTCAACATTACTGTTTTGTGTTTTGCAGCAATCGCGCTATCTGATGACCATAAGCCGAATAGAAGCGATGAAAGGAAGCGAATTGAAAACGCTGGTGGTGTTATCATGTGGGCAGGTAATCTAAAACTATAAAGAAATCGTCCCTTTCTTCTGAACATGACATAATGAGATTGCATAAATTTCCCTCCTGAGTTAGATCACTAGCTTCATTAATTGATTCACTGGAGATGCTTTTAGAGAGAGGCATTGTATATGTTGGGTTATTCATGCTTTAAACATCCACTGTGAGGGAAAAATTAGTATTCTCCTCTGGATCTTTATATCAGCAGGGGCTTGAAACAAATATAATCTGGATTTGCTTGTCAGGAACATGGAGAGTAGGTGGGGTGTTGGCAATGTCCCGGGCCTTTGGTAACAGAATGCTGAAGCAATTCGTTGTTGCTGAACCCGAGATACAAGTAACCGCTTCTAACTGCTATATCCCTAAGGGTGTTATGTAGTTTTCCTTTGAGTCTCTGAGTTTTTGTGAACACACCTCTGCTTATGTTTTGCAGGATCTAGAAGTAGATCACGAGGCCGAGTTACTTGTGCTTGCAAGTGACGGTTTATGGGATGTAGTACCAAATGAGGTATGATTCAACCCAATCTTGTATCTGTTTCCGGTTTAATCAGGAATTTAGATGTTTCTAATCTTCGGTATCGGATTCAGGATGCGGTATCGCTTGCACAGAGCGAGGAGGAACCGGAAGCAGCCGCCCGCAAGTTAACCGACACTGCCTTTACTCGTGGCAGCGCAGACAACATCACATGCATTGTTGTTAAATTTCATCATGATAAAACCGAATCTCCCAAAACCGAACCAATCGCCATGGCTGAAACAGAGCAGGAACTGAACACCAAAGCTGAACCAGAACCGGAATCAAACCTCAATGCTGAACCGGAAACCGATTCAAGTCCCAAAGCTGAACTGGAACCGAAAGCAGAAGCTACACCCGATACAAAACCAGAAACCGAACCAGAGACCAAGGGTGAGAAGCCGGGTGAGTAAAGTAGCTGGGGAAGGTGTGCAAATCCATGTGCAAACAGTTGAATATAAAATTGCTTAGTAGTTGTGTGCTTTGTGGCTACATGTAACGTGTGTGGGGATTTGTGTTTTGGTTTTGGTTGTGTGTTGCCATTCACATGCCTGCCTTGAGGACAACGACAACCATTTGACCTGTCCTCGATTTTTGTCTATTCATTTTGTTCTATTTTGTTTGTTGGTGCTTCCCACACCAAAAAAAAACACACACATTTGTTCTGTTTCTCCCACTTCTTTAATTTCTATCTTTATTAAAAAAAAATACCGTCCAATGTTTTGTAATTCCTCCCCATCTTTTGTTTTAATCATAAAACAAACGGTTCAAAGCATCACTTCGCAGATTACGTGCTTTATGGTCAAGTAGTTTAGTTTGATAGATGGGTTTCATAAATTCCGTAGATGAAATTGATCTCGCTTTCATGTTCATGAACAAAAGCTGTTTGCTTTACGGCTCATTCTGTTTTAACGTATTAGTCTAGTATCGTCCTTTCTTAAAAGATCTACGGATAATATGTTCATCAAAGTATATACAAGGATTAAACACATTACGACACCTCAGATAGCTGTTTGGTTTGTATATGTATTTAATTTTCAACTTGAGTAAAGTTGTAGAAGATATCATTTAAACCAAACGTAAGAAAAAGAAAATGATATGAACCAAGTATTAATTCATCTGAAAATTTCAAATGGACTTTTTTTTTGGAGATGTAGAAAGTAAAAGCGTTGAATATGGAAATATTCAAATATATATATATATATATATATATATATAGTTGGTCAAACCTACGTTTGAATGATACTACATTTTAATTATAGAATATTACGACCAGGTTTTATTATAAGAACTAGTGCGAGAATGAGCACTTAGCTAAGCTTAATGGCTACAAAGACATCAAATTTGGTTACGGTTCTTTTTTCTTTGTTTTTTCTGCTTTTACTTGTCTCTTCTCAAGTTGGAGTTGCCGAAGCCAAACGCCACAAACGTGGTGAGTATTATTTACTCATTTACATGCGTTCTCATATTTCCATTTTTCTTTTACCAGCACAATTCTCTCAATCTAAAAAGCAAGCATACACATAAAACCTCTCAATGACCTCCCACGATTGAGGGTATTTAGGATTATAGTGGAGTATTTTATCCGAAAATTTAGTAAATTTTGAGGGTGTTTAGGATTACAGTGGAGTGTTTAATCCAAAATTTTAGTAAATTACCTAGAACTCTATTAATATCACCTAAAAAAAAACTCTATTACTATCATAAAATGTTTTTAATTATGTATATCTCCATCTATTTTCTATCTCTCAACTTTCAAGGTTCATATCCTGCAATAACGTGCATATATGACCATATAGATCTCTTTACGGGCGCCATCTCATGTATACATATCATTCTTTTATTATATTTGTCATCACATTTTTTATAATGTATGTTCTTTTTTTTTTTTAATTATTCAATTTCATGTAGGTAACAAATTACCTCCTCGGTTACCTCCTCCGATTTATATACCGCCTTCTAAATCGCAAAGAGGAAAAGGGCCATAAGCCTATGTCTCTTCTCCGAAAATAATCCAGAAGAGCTCAAAGAATGCATAAGATAGTTTTTAAATATATAAGGATCAAGATTATTATCTCGTATCGTATGTACTCGTTGGACTTTTTCTAGATCATTATGGAAATATTTAATCATGTAACTATATTTCGTTAAAATATGACTCTCTTATATAATAAAAGAGAAATTTTTTAATAAATTGATTATCTAACTCTCTTTTTTTTTCTTTCATAAATTCTAGTTTTATTAGACCAAGTATCCATATATTCAATATTTTTTCTTTGACTGTAAATCCGTAATGATTCAAACGTCGGTCTTTTTTATTCAAATCTGGTCCATAGCACTATAATTTATATGTCACGTATAAGGGAATCCTCAATGTAGAGACCTCCATTGGTCTCCAAATCAATTTTTTATTAATATTTGATCAAAAAGTGGATTTAGAAACTGTATGTAGAATAGAAACCCTCATTTGTGATGTGTGCAATGGGAGAGATGCATTTGGGTCTCTAAGAGAACTTTTTTTTTAGAAAATAAAGAAATATGTTTTAATAAGAAGTACATTTTATTCAATAAAACTCATGTAATACATTGAAATGGGAGAAATAAACATACAACATACAAATTTTATGAAAAACTTAAGTAATATTTTGAGTGAATCCAAATTTCTGCCAAATATGCTCCAACAAATCTGCCTGAAACCGATCATGTATTTTTTTATCACGAACTCTCAACCGATTATCCATCAGATTTCGGATATTTGTTGTCATAGTTGTTGAGTACGACTGAGCTTCTTGTGAACTACTAGTTCCTTCTCCTTGTTGAAATTCCGAAAAATTATTTTGCGTGCGTGCATCTCTCTCGTCTTCAACTATCATATTATGGAGGATGATACAAGCTCGAATAATTTTGCCTATTTTAGCTTTATCCCAGAAAAGAGCCGGGTTTTTAAAAATTGCAAACCGAGATTGCAAAACTCCAAAAGCACGTTCGATATCTTTTCGAACGGAATCCTGACGCTCAGCAAATAAAGTAGCTTTCTCACCTTGTGGAAGTGGAATTGATTTGATGAACGCTGCCCAATTTGGATATATACCATCGGTGAGATAGTATGCCAGATTGTAATTTCTTCCGTTGACAGAAAAATTTACTTCCGAGGCTCTACCTTGTAAGATATCATCAAATACGGGTGAACGGTCTAGAACATTTATATCGTTTAGTGTACCTGGAGATCCAAAAAAAGCATGCCAAATCCAAAGGTCATATGAAGCGACGGCCTCTAAAACGATAGTTGGTTTTCCTGCCCCACGAGTATATTGTCCTTTCCAAGCGGTTGGACAGTTCTTCCACTTCCAATGCATGCAGTCTATGCTTCCTATCATTCCCGGGAATCCGCGTTCTTCTCCAACGTATAGTAAACGGTTTAGATCCTCCTATGTTGGTCTCTGCAGATACTCATCCCCGTACAAATTGATTATTGATTCAAGACCGAGCAGTTGTTTCACCGAGCCTAAGATACTCATCGACCGTATCAGCTGCACCACCATATGCCAACAGACGGATTGCAGCTGTACACTTCTGTAGTGTAGAGAGTCCTGGTTTCCCCAAAGCATCTCTCTTCTGACGAAAGAATCTAACTTCATTGGAAAGTTTTTCGATAATACGGACAAACAAAGACTTGTTCATCCTAAACCTCCGTCTGAAATAAGTTGCAGGATATGTAGGAATATCACTAAAATAATCGTTCCACAGACGATTGTGGCCTTCCTGACGATCTCTTTCAACGTAAGCCCTTCTTTGTTTAGGTCTGCTTGTCTCTTGGTCCTCTCCATAACTGTTGAACATATTTTGGAAAGTTTCCTGAAAATATTGCTCGAACATTTTGCCCATATAGTTGCCCATATAGGTCTCCATATTTTGCTCACCATAACCATCGTTTTGGTTATCTTCTGGGTTATCATTTGGATTATTTGATGATGAGGCCATCCGGTTGGTTGCGGGGATTAAAAATATGTAAAGAAAGGGTTTAGGTGAAGGAGTTGGAAAAAACTAAACTTAGAAGAAGTAGAATATAAGCAGAAATAGAGTAAAATCAGAAACTATGAAGAAGTGTTTTTCTAACTTGAGGAAAGCAATGGTTTTATAACATTGTCTCGGTTACATTCAAAGGTTTGGAAAAAAAAAAGAACAATTCCTTTGTGGTCTACAACAAAAAAGTACTAAAAGACATAAAATGGACTGCTTTATTGTCCACTCAAACGATTCCCTGACTCTGAAAATAGTTGTGTCCAACGCATCCCTGACTCAGCATTGCTGTTTGCATACATATCCCAAATATTCCCTGAAAAAGAAAAGAAAGCATAATGGTCGAATATAAGAACAACATAATGCGAGATATTTACTTGAAAACAACAACATAATGCTCGAATATCATAAGAACAACCAAAGCAAGACATAATCATACAATCACAAGTACAAACCTAACTAATCAGAGAATAGTTCTTGAACAAGCTTCTTCTTCACAGTTTCCTCATAATCAGCTAATGGCTCCTTCCTCGCCATTAGAGTGTCAAGTAGTGCCATTTCGTTAAGCCTTTCTTGCATGGCCATCTCCTTTTCCCTGATGACCCACATTCCCTCGAACTCACTTAGCGTCTTCCCTTCAGGGTTAGTTTTCTTGGTCGTCGCCTTTGCCGCCTTGATTCCAATAGGCCGAGTGCTAGGTTGTCCTTGTTCACCGAACCTTATTTCCTCCACTTCAGCAGTCGGTGCATTTGAAACAGCATCAGTTCTTCTTTTTTTTGAAATCCCATCGGTTTTTGCAGTAGAAAGTTCAGACCATTTCTGGTCATTTCGCAACTCCTTCCATGTGTGTTCTAAGTTGAACTTCTTCTTCTGATCTTGGAAGTATATTTGGTGAGCCAGCTTGAGCACATCATTGTCATTCATACCACTGGTCTTCTCTCGCGTAGCTGTTTCAAAGGCTCCGCAGAACTTGCACACAATGTCTTTGATCTTGTGCCATCTCTGCTTGCATTGCCCTGATTCGCGTGGTATATCCAGCTTCGCCTCTTTCATGTTGTCAGCATAATATAGTGCGATCCTCTTCCAGAATGCGCAAGACTTTTGCTCATTACCCACAACTGGGTATTTGCTTGTGTTAAGCCAAGCGCTTATGAGGAGGACGTCCTCGTTCGGTGCCCAAGTTCTTCTATCACCGCGCTGACTGAGAATTTCATGAAGGGAAGCAGGTTACGAACACTGCGTGCTAAATACAGGGAGTTGCTCCACTGAGGGAAAGCCATCATTGAAAGATGGCTCTTGTTGACTATTTAGTAGGTCAACAAAGTTAGCCGGTTGCGAATATGGATATGAATCCATTTGAAAAAGTTTAGAAACGAATGAAAGAGATATGGAAGCGAGATGAAAGAGGCTGAATGAAAGAGTATAGAAACGAGTGAAAGAGATAGGTAAAAGAGACTTGGAAGACTGAAAGCGAGAGCCAAAGTAAAGAGAATAAGGAATAATAGAGGAAGAATGCTGATAAATAGGGTTTAGAAGTGGTAGACTTAATGACAAAATTAAAGGAAGTTAAAGCAAACGACCTACCAAAATATCACACAAGTTCGACATGACACAAACCTAAAAGGCAATGAACACCATTATATCACTTTAATTCCAAAATCTAATCAGCATTTATGACAACCTAAAAGCCAAACCCATTTCTTTCTAATCACTAATGACAACAACCAAAGAGTAAACTAAATGCCAAACTTACCATTAGAAATGAAGTCGGAGAAAGACTCTTGTTTAACCAGCTTCTAGTTAGACCCGAACCAATAGCATCACACGATCAGCTGATAAGAAAACAAACATATAAAAGAATAAAACTGTCAGCGACTATTATAGAACAGCTAAATAGAGAAGATAAAGAGAAGATAAAGAGAACAAGAACTTATCTGCTTCAGTAATCCCAAAAAATGGCTAGGATCCTGTCATTCGAACTCACAGACTACACTTCGATATATGAGACAAGCAAAACATAGATTTCCAAATACCAATACAAACGACACAGTAATCCGATAGCAAACATTCATTAAACCCAACCATCATAGTCAACAAAGTCAGATAACAAACATTCAGTGATCAGCCTAAACAACTCGAATGTCAATATGCTAAATCCCATCGCATGAAAACACAAGTGATAATAGCAAAGATAACTAAAAATACAGCAAGGAGCAAATCAGAACCTCGATTCTCAAGTGTTTCTTTCACACCAGCAATCTCACTCTGAATGTACCCGATGAACTCCTCGATCTCGGCAACAGTCTTCTCGACTAAGGTCATGCGATCCTCCAAAGCGTAGAGCCGATTCTCATACGACTGAAGAAGGGCTGTTCTGTTGTCACTAAACATCCTTGAACTCTGCTTGTCAATGCGAATTTGGAGAATGGTGAGCTGCTCTTCAATGGCTTCATCCCACCATTTGCAGATGTGATCCGGCTTATCCTGCAGATTAGATAATTGAAGACATCATCCTTAATGACTTTCTTAGAATATAACTATACATTAAATGAAAACATATAACATCTTACCTCGCCCAGTCTTTCAGGACAACAATAAAACTTCCTCCCAAATGTTGCTGGAGCTGTAGACTCTTCAAGCCTACAACGAAGCCCACATTAGCATCGTTCAGGAATCCCGAAGTCCCCATCAGCCTTTGCACATCCGCTATCAAAGCTTGCTTTGAACGATGAGCTGTTGGTATGGCTTATCGGCATTTGTCTGTAAATAACATGAATAAAACGTTTTCATAACACACAAAAAAATATACATACAAGTACAGAGTCGAAGATCAAACACACCAATGAAAAGCACATAGACTCTAAGGTCAAACAAACATACCAAAAGCACAAATCAAATCCCACAAACCAGCCAAACATATCTTCACCGAAGTCTAAGATGAAATGGACATGGCAACGATGAATCACTCAACCTCAAAATCACCTAAACCATAGATTTCTTCTTCAGATATCATCTAATTAACAAGAAAAAACGAACAAAACAAATATATTTCATCATAATACAAAAGCCCCAATTTTCAGTAACTAGGGTTTGCTCGCAAATTATGGACAAAGAGAGAATCAACCAATTCGTGAATCAAAAGTATATTTCCAGTTCAAATAGTACATACTGCAAGCTAATGTACCCGATATTACGATCTATACATGGAAATTTTATGACAAACGAAAACCCCCAATTTTCAAATTAGGGTTTCATCGCAAATCACCCTAAATCTGAACAATCTGATCCTCATTACAATAAGAAGACGGAGAATCTAACCGTAAAACATAGGAGTCCTCAATTTTGAAATAAAACGAAAAAAATACCATGGAATCGACCAAAGAACAAACAATAAGAGAGGAGTTTTAGGGTTAGAAATGACTTATCTGAAGCCTTTCCCTGACAAGTGGTCGCCGATTTTGGAGATGATGCGAACAAACGTCGCGATTCGTCGGAAAGTCGATCGATCGGAGAAGCAGCACCAACAATCTCTCATAATCGTCGGAGAGGAAATGAAAATGGAAGAAAGAAGTGGTCGGGGAAAAATGAAATCGAAGCAACAAGTTTTTTTTTCCCCAATTACGTGAGCCTATCATCAAACACCACCTGTCCCGAGAAACGTCTTCAAATGTCCCGAAATAAGAAACATCTCGGGCCAAATAGAGACACGGCCCAACTTCTTTATTATTTTGTTTCTACTAAAAACGCAGCCTGTCTCTGCGTTGCGGATGCCCTAAGCCTAAACACCATTGGCTTTACGAATTTAAAAATTAAAATGCTATACGAATGGTATGTTTTGTTCGATGCATAGGGTAATTACCGAAGGAAGAAACATTAATCATTCTGCATATAAGCATTGATCCATGGTTAAGATTTCATAAGGAATGGAAGTAATAAAACTCAGAATCTTACATGTGAGCTTCGATTCAATAGGCTGCTTATAATGAAATTGCAATTCCTCCCCATCTTTTGGTTTTCCACGTTCGTCTCGTCTGTGTGTTGTTTGTTTGTAGATTGCAACTTGCAAGTATATATAATATTACAGTGGTTTGGTCACGTAAAAAGCTAGTGGTTTATAATCGTAAAACAAACTGTTGAAAGCATTCTCTTTTACACATTACGTGCCAAAAACCTAATAGCTTCATGTTTCATACTTCATATATATATATACAGTAAAACCTCTATAAATTAATACTCGATAAATTAATAATCATTATAAATTAATAAATTTTGATGGACCCAAGTCGGGGCCAATGTAAAAATCCATCAAATTCAATAAGATAATGAGATAATAATTTTTTTTCGAAATTCTTATATAAATATTTGGTTCCAACAAAAACATAAATTAATAATTATATAAATTTATGTAAATATATTTAAATATAATATTTTAAAATATGACTAATGTGTTTGTTTTTACTTAGAGTTGAAATCTCATTGGTTCTCATCTCTCCAATTATTATATCAGTAGCTCTTATTGCTGTTTTACTATATACATTCAAAATTATGATAATTTTTTGATGTGATAATTGATTTTCTTACATGTAAATATTTTTAAATGTATTGTAGTATTATCTTTAATTTTATCATCACTAATACTGATAGTAGCCATTGTTTTTTTATAATTTTTAAACTTATGAACATATATATTTTTACATGGAAAATCCAATCTGGTGTTAAAAACTATTTTATTATGATAGTTATGATTGTTAATCATAATTTATATCATAAGATTTGTTAAAATTTTAAAATATAACATTATTCCAAAGAAATTTTAAAAAAATTATATACAAAAAGCAAATTTTCTCTATAAATTAATAATTATTAATTTATATATAAATTAATATCACGATAAATTAATAAAATATCATGGTCTCAACATTATTAATTTATAGAGTTTTTACTGTATATATATAGCATTGTATGCATAACTCTAACGCAGGTGAACTTCCCCACATATAAATTCAACCACTGAAGATTTGTTGAGTGTTAATCCTTTGAGTATGTCTGCAAAAAGAAAAGAAGACAAGAAGCATCAACCAGCAACAAGCAATCAGAAGAAGAATTGAAGAAGGAGCTGATCGTGTTTTTGGAAAGGAAGAAGGAGAAGAGAAAAGTCAAATTGAAGATTAGTCAAAGGAAGAAGTTGGGCTGCTAAGGTTAGTCAATGGGCCTGCGGATCTGCACAAAGCCCAAAAGAACACAGGAATAAGAGTTTGTGTGTAAGTGTAGGACTTGTTATCATTAATTCTAAGAATGAGTAGCTAAAGTAGTAATGAGAGTTGTTAGAAGTCTAAGTTAGAACAGTTGTGTAAGAGAGTCTAAAGTCCTAGAGTTGAGGTGTAGTAATGATGAGAGTTAGTAAGAGTAGTTAGAGGATATCACCTATATGTATGAAGAGAGTGCAATGTAATGAAGATAAGAGAAATGAATGAAAAAGATGAATGTTAAGAAGAAATATCGATCTTGAAAGAAAGAGAGTGAAAGAAAACATATCTTAAAAGAGTGAAGTTCAACATGGTATCAGAGCTATAGTTGTCTGTGTGACCTGTTACAAGAAAACCAAGAAGCAGAAATCAGAAGAAACCAGAAGAAAGGAAGAACAAGAAAGATCAAATGGCGATAAACCTACAGACATCTCAATCGGTGGCTGTATTTGATGGCCAGAACTATGAGTTCTGGGCTGCAAGAATGAGAACAACTCTGAAGAATAAGGAGTTATGGGAGATTGTCAAGACCAGACATGTCTTCGAAGTCACCAGAAACACCAGGAGCTGACAAATCAAAGGAGACAACAAACCTGAAGACTCTCAAAGCCAAAGATACAGCTGCACTCCAAATCATCCAATATGCTGTAGCCGATACTATCTTTGACAAAATCCTCTCTGCAACAACTGTAAAAGAGGCTTGGGATCTTCTGGAGCATTCCTATCAAGGTAATGAAAAAGTAAAAATGGTTAGATTGCAATCTCTTAGAAAAGAGTTTGAAAACTTGAAAATGAAAGAAGGGGAGAAAGTTAAAGCCTATTCTGATAGGATACAAGCTATAGCAAATCAAATGAGAGCTTTAGGAGGAGAAAGATCAAACTTTGACCTGGTAGTTAAGGTGTTAGCTTCTATGCCAAAGAGTTATGCTGGTCTAGCCTCATTAATAGAAGAAAATAAGGATCTCTATACAGTTACTTATGCGGAGCTGATAGGGTCCCTTGAAGCACATGAGAAGAAGTACTTCCCAGATGAAGATAATGGTGAAGGAGCATTTCATGCTCGATTCAAAAACCTGAAAATCGAGAACAATGAAAGAGGCAACTCAAGTCAGTCAAGCTACAGAGAAAAGAGATGGTGTGGATTCTGTAAAAGAGATACACACAATGAAGAAGTGTGTTACTTCAAGAATGGAAAAGGTAGACCTGAGTTCAACAGGAACAGAGACACAAGAAGCTGCTTCACCTGCAGCAAAGTAGGTCATCTGTCCAAGGACTGCAGAAATAGAAGAGCTGAACAAGCTCAAGCGACTCAGGAAGAAGAAGAGTACCACATGTTCTCAGCAAGACAAGAGGAAGAGAAGATACCCGAAGAAAGCATTTGGCTCATTGATAGTGGCTGCACCAATCACATGACACCCAATGAGAAGCTATTCAAGAGACTTGATACAAGCTTTAGAGTACCAATCAGAGTTGGTGATGGAACTGCATTGATAACCAAAGGAAAAGGAGACATTGAAGTGATGACTACTAAAGGCAAAAGGATAATCAGAAATGTGCTTCTAGTGCCTAACATTGCTAAAAATCTCCTAAGTGTTACTCAAATGATTGAGAATGGATACATTGTTACCTTCAAACACAGAAGCTGCATCATTCTGGATCAAGCTGGAAAGAAGATTGCAGAAGTGAAAATGGCAAAGAAAAGCTTTCACCTTCATATGCCATTAAGCAAGAAGGCGATGAATGTTTTGTCTGAACAAGAAGCTAAAACCGACTATGAGGGATCAGGATATGCTGAAGCCCCAAGCTCAATGATATCTCTGCAATGGAAACCTGAAGAGAAACCTGCAACAAGAAAGGAGAAGAAGCCAGTGATCAATGTTGAGAATCAGAGGAAAACTGAGTTCAACAAAAGAGAAATGGAGATTAAGAAAACCAAGGAGGTTGTGCAAGAAACCAGACTTACTAAGACAGTGATCAAGAGTGATACAAATCAACATAAGGAAAACTTATCTCTGAAGGAGAAGGAGAAGAAGCTGATTGATGGAATCATCGGCAGAAATGCAAAAATGGCTCAAGGAAGATTCAACAAGGGTAATGAGAAGACACCATGGAAAGAGAAGTTGATCCAAGAAATTGACAGCATTGGATTCAACTATCCAAGCTTGAAATCCACCAACAAGAACAGCACCAACGAGAAACAGAAGATTCAAGGCTCAAACAAGGAAGAGGTAAAGAAATTACCTGGACGTGAAATGCAGAAGGACGGAGGGAGCAGAGCCTCCACAGTTAAGAACCTGCAGAAAGAAGAGAAGCAAAAATCAATTGAAGTTGACGAGAAAATGGTTCAAGAGAGAAAAACGAAATTGAAAAGAAAAGAAGAAATTGAGTGCGGAAAAACACAGAACAAGGAAGAAATTGAGAAAGTAAACTTACCCAGAAGCTATGCTGATGTTCTGAAGACCAAGGTGATGAAGAGAGAAGAACCAAAGACATCGAGCTACAAAACCCTAAGTTGGAATCAAGGAAACTATTAAAGGCTCAAGAGGGAGTGTTGAGTGTTGATCCTTTGAGTATGTCTGCAAAAAAAAAAAAAGACAAGAAGCATCAACCAGCAACAAGCAATCAGAAGAAGAATTGAAGAAGGAGCTGATCGTGTTTTTGGAAAGGAAGAAGGAGAAGAGAAAAGTCAAATTGAAGATTAGTCAAAGGAAGAAGTTGGGCTGCTAAGGTTAGTCAATGGGCCTGCGGATCTGCACAAGCCCAAAAGAACACAGGAATAAGAGTTTGTGTGTAAGTGTAGGACTTGTTATCATTAATTCTAAGAATGAGTAGCTAAAGTAGTAATGAGAGTTGTTAGAAGTCTAAGTTAGAACAGTTGTGTAAGAGAGTCTAAAGTCCTAGAGTTGAGGTGTAGTAATGATGAGAGTTAGTAAGAGTAGTTAGAGGATATCACCTATATGTATGAAGAGAGTGCAATGTAATGAAAATAAGAGAAATGAATGAAAAAGATGAATGTTAAGAAAAAATATCGATCTTAAAAGAAAGAGAGTGAAAGAAAACATATCTTAAAAGAGTGAAGTTCAACAAGATTAAACTACGGACGGACCTTCTATCAGATCTAGCTTAGAACTTAACCACTAAATACTGATTTCCGAGTCTTCCAGCAACTTCCCGTTGTCTAAAAGTAGTGACTTGAGCATTTAGGTATTTCTTAAAGAATACCAAACCGATGTTCAAAGAGGCTTTTGATCTTTTGTTTCTATTACGTAGATTTGTCAGCTCTCTAATGTTTGAATCATTACATGCTTATTTCTTAATTTCAGCATACACAAAGGATGTCTACAATGTTGCCGACGGTACAAGAATTGTTGATTATGATAACTACCCAAAATGTTCGAATAATGTTATATCCTTTGACCAAAAAAAATTGTTCGAATAATGTTAAAAAAAATTCGAATAAGTTTAGAATTCTAAGCCATTTAGAGAACTTAAATATTTTTTAATAAAAAACATTTTTAACCAATATTTTTTAATAAGAAGGAGATTATCTTTTAATATAAAATATTATGAATTCACTATTCTGAATAGACTATAAATTTTATAATAACATATTTATTTTCAATAATAATTAATTAATAAATAAATAAATTTTCCAAGACAGTTGTGGAAACATGTAATTGGATGAAGTTTCAGAAACATTTCTCTCATAATCTTTCTCTCTATGGTAAAACAGTTGTCCATATCAATAGATGTTATTTATGGTATGCATATCATTTGGTTGCATGAATACAAATTATAAAAAAAATTAAAAATGATTTCTTATTTTATCATGACGACTGACTATAGCATCTACCCTACCAGTGTGTGGTAATGTTGTAGTTGTGTTATCACCAAAGTTGAAATTTGCATCTTGTATGTTACATACCAAAAAAAAAAAATTGTTGAAATATTAAATTAATTTATCCACAAAAGATAAGTTACAAGACTGAAATTGTTGGACGAAAAGATCTTAAATTTTTTTAAGTTTTAGAGCAAAATACAACGATGTTCTAGAGCCAACGTTACATCATCTCTTTGTAGAAGGGTGGCTTTCACTGGCGAAGTGAGTTGATCATATATATACTGATCATGTATATCAGTATATATATATTATTATTATTTATGCAATATCTTGTTAGTTAGTTTCAACAGAATTTATGTTTCCTCGTAAAATATTCTATGTTTAATGTTTATGTTTTCATCTTGCTAGCTACTCTCTTCGACATGGAGACTAGGATTCGTTTCAAATCTTTTTGTTTTTGTTTGTTTAAAACTACTGAAATCGTATACAAAAAATGAAGAAAACCTAGATATTAGTAAAGTGAAATGGTCGAAAACAAATATTACTTTTTTGATACAAGTGACAGTCGTGATCACTGTTTCAAAAACTAAGAAAGTATTTTTCATGCTTAACCACCGAGAAATCTCAACCTTCGTCAAAACTTAACCATAATAAAATATTAACTACAATACAAGAAAATCGGCGAACTACTACCGAAAAAATGTTAAAATTCTGTCGAAAAAGACAATTTTTCATAAGTTTTAAATTGGGTTTTCGCTTATTTGCTGTTTCATCAGTCATACCATTATTAATCCTCGGATTATATTATCAATTATTCACATCGCTAATAAGTTGTTGTTTTGAAGTATATCATACGCCAATATATCAGTCACTTTTTCCTGTTGTTTGCAAGAATCAAGCTTCGTTTGCAGGTATTTTTAGATTTGTATCAAAATCCTGATGTGGCTGATAATTTCTTCTGAAACGAAATGAAATCTAGCTAATATACCCCAAACATATGTGGTTTTTTTTTTGTATTCTAACTTTCTTTAATAAATTTCACAATATAAGTAATTTAAATTTGGTAATATGCATGTGTGAGTTGACAAAAAAAAACAATAAAAATCTGTTTCATTCTTAACCAAATTATAGATTTTTAACCCTTGGTCAAAATTTAATATGGATAAGTAACTATGATTAAGTAACCATGGTTAGGAAAAAAAGTATAGTGAGTAATTTTTTTAACTTTGAATAGATAAAAATAATAAATTTGAGTCATAAATCTTTTCCTCCCTAAAAAGGCATACCATTCTTTTCCTGTCAGTATAAAATTGAGGTAGTCTTATCCTAAGGGAGAAAAACAAAAAACAAAAATCTGAGTAGGGCTTGTAGAAGGGTATCTTACAAAACAAGTCTCTTTGTAGTAAAAGTTTGTTTGATTCATAAAATATTCTTATCCTCGAAGCTTGCGATCCAACAATTGGGTACGTTTTCTCCTTATTTCATGTTTCTTCTCTCGCTTTTCGCTTAATTTACAGACAATACGTTTTATAGAACCTCTAATTTACAGTAATGGATTAGGATTTTTCAGTTTCGTTTGATTACACAAAACTCCCTGAAATGATAGATATTGGGTAGTCGATTTGAACCGTTTCTCTGTAGATCCATTTGACATTTTTCGTTTTTTTTTTTTGACCTGGCTTGAATTTCACGGGTCTCATTATTTCTACTGGGTTAACGTGGATTAGGGTTTTGTTGGGTTCGCAGTGATTAGGGGATGTAAATGCTGATTTGCATTTTGTGGATTTTGATTGTAAACTTTTGTGGGTTTTGTCGTATATGTTTTCTCTTAAATTATAGTTTGAAGATATGTGATCGTTGTTGAGTTTTGAGCTTTGAATGCATTTGGTTGTTCATCAATGCTGAAATGTGTTAGATTGTGAGTGTCTTCATTTAAGTTATGCTTCTCACTTACTGTTAGAGATGTTTGATTGCACTAAATCCTGCTTTGATTATTTGTATTGATTTAAATGTGGATTAGGGTTTTTTTGGTGCACAGTGATAAGGAGATGCAAATGCTGCTTTGAATTTTGTGGATTTTGATTGTAAATTTTGTGGGTAGGTGAATTGTTGTTTAGGTTTCTCTAAAGTTAGAGTTTGGAGATCTGTGATAGTTGAGTTTTGGTGGGCTTGGAATGCATTTTGTTCTTCATCAATGCTGAAATGTTGTCAGATTTTGAGGGTCTTCATTTAATTCTGCTTCTACTTACTGTTAAAGATGTTTGATTTCACTAGATTCTGCTTATATTGTTTACATTGATTTAAACGAGAATTAGGGTTTTTGGGTTTGCAGTGATTAGGAGATGCAAATGCTGCTTTGAAATTTTATGGATTTTGATTGTAAACTTTTGTGGGTAGGTGAATTGTCGTATAGGTTTCTCTTAAGTTAAAGTTTAAAGATATGTGATCGTTGTTGAGTTTTGAGCTTTGAATGCATTTGGTTCTTCATCAATGCTGAAATGTTGTTAGATTTTGTGTGTCTTCATTTAAGTTTTGCTTCTCACTCACTGTTAAAGATGTTTGATGGCACTAGATTCCCATGATTTTTCCTTTATGAGTTTGTTTATTCTCTGTCATATTTTTTTGTTTATAGTGTTGATATAGTAATTTCATAATCTATGGCCAAAGGATTGGTTCTCTTTTTGTTTTCTAAATGCAAAGTTACGTTACGAGGCTCGAACCGGGTTTTGGGGGTACTTGTACCGGTTGAGACCATTGCCACTAGATAAGATTAATTTGCATTTATGATTTACCCATTTGGATCAGATATGAATCTATATCAAATCATGGGAAAATTCTTTTACTTTGTATCTAGTTAAACCTTCATGTGGAAACAAATCTAAAATCTTTTGAGATATTGAGCTATTAGGGATATATATGTGCACTACTTTAACTTCATCAGATATGCTTCTTAAAATATATATTCCACTGAATCTACTCTCATTTTTGTTTTGCTCCTCTAAGAAATGGAATGCAACAAGGAAGAAGCGAAAAGGGCAATGGATATCGCAGAGAGGAAGATTGCTGAAAAGGACTACAATGGAGCGAAAATGTTTGCTAACAAGGCACAAGACTTGTATCCTGACTTGGATGGTCTGAAACAGTTGTTGATGACTGTTGATGTTTATATCTCTGGAGAGAAACAAATCAATGGAGAATCTGATTGGTATGGTATCCTTGGTGTTGATCCTTCGGCTAATGATGAAGAAGTGAAAAAACAGTACCGGAAATTAGCTCTTATGCTCCATCCTGATAAAAACAAATGCAAAGGAGCAGAAGGTGCGTTTAAACTGCTCTCTGAAGCTTGGAGTATACTATCTGACCAGGTTAGGAGATTCACATATAACATTAAGAGGCAGGTTGTTAAAGATGCTCCACAAAGATTCACCACAACAACACTGAGTGTGATTCCAACTCGCCCACCAAACCCTAACGTGTTTCAAAATGTAAAAGAGTCTATGGTTTCAAGTGCTAAGCCCTCTGCTCGTATGGATAGATCCTGCATGGATTCGCCTGCTTCGGTTCAGAAGGAGAGTAGTACGTTTTGGAAAATGTGCAACAGGTGCAAGATGCAATATGAGTACAAGAGGGTTTATCTTAACAAGAACTTGCTTTGTCCAAACTGTCGTGAGGGTTTCATTGCAGCTGAAAAAACTCCGCCTGAACAAGATGGAGTGAAAAGAGGGTTTGGGGTGTCACAAGAAAGGGATGCTTCTAGAGGATTCACAAACTCTGATCTGAGGAATCATAAAAAGCCGAAGACAGATGATTCCCATATGTTTGGTCCATCTTCAGGCAAGAGTTCGAATGAAACAAGTTTTAGCATTCCTTCTAATCCTGCCAAAGGAAATCTTGAAATGCCAAACATCATAGGCTCTCGTCGTGCTACTCATATACCAGCAATAACAATAGCGCTTATGAACAAGGCTCAGGAAGCTATATTTAAGAGACTTCCGAAGATGATCTCTGTAATGGCAGAGGACGTGAAAGCAGTTGAAAAAGAGAGGAAAAGCATGAAAGCGACGAGCAAGATGACTAGCAAGGTGAATGAGGTTGAAAAGAAGACTGGGCCAGTCGATGTGAGAAAGATTCCAAAGGAAGAAATGTTTAGGTTCTCTCACCAAGTGCCTCACTACATTCTCACAGGGGAAGAAGCTGATAACATACCAGCAGGTTGTCTAGAACCAGACCTGGCTGCAACTCCTTGTGAATTACTTTCAGAGAAGGCTGAGGCGAAAGATTCATCTCAAAAAGACATTGACAAAAGTGAGAAAAGCTCAACTCCAAAGGAAGAAGTGGGTATGAATATGGATTAGGGAGGGTGTGAAGCTAGTAGCAATCAGTACAGTGTACAATGGAGGAAGAAACATATCATCCATGTCATATGGCATCATTAGGGCACAGTACTAATCAAGTCTGGTTTGTCTTTCCTTTTTTCTTTCTTTTGTTGGTTCTATGGCTGACCCAAATATTTGAACTCTATTACCTTTTCATTGTTTTTGGCATAAGAAACTATTTATACCGGAGATATTGGCCGAGTATTTCAATTTTTTTGGGAATATTAATGTATCATCTTTTTGGTATTTACTCAGACAATCTTGTAAGAACTCAATTCGAGATATCAAATATATATGGTGGTTATGGGTATAGGAATCATATTTATGATTTTAGGTGAACTCTCTCCATCATGCTGCCACATCAGTATCTGAATGGAGGACATCTGTCATTTCATCTAATTAATAAATTATAAATTTTAAAATAAAAAATTAAAAACTAATTAATACCACTATACTTCTAATTTAACTATTATATTTAATGTTTATTTCATATATATTTATATTCATAACTATTAAGTTACATTAATATTAAGGCTTTTCAATTTCTTAATAAAAATAAATAAAAAACATTTCTAACTTTTTGGTATTCGTCTAAAAACTTTTAAATATTTTTTATACTAATTTGATACTTTTCTTCCGACTTATCCTCATTATAAACACTTTTTTCGAAGCTTGTTATATGAAAAAATGTAAAGATATAGCGTTATCTTCATTCAAAGATTTGATTATTTTTATGGGTCAAATATAATATTATTATAGCTGCATTTTATTGTGAAATATAAAGTATGGGGTAGTTCTTGCAGAATCAAGGCAATTGTACATGTCATAAATTTGAGAATATTAAAAATCAGAGGTAGTTATCTTTTTTCAAGTAATTCAACCAGAAAATATGACTTTTATCTATGTCTTTTTTACTCATATCATGTTTATAATTTTTAGAATAGTAGAATAATTTTCCTAATTACCATACTTCCAATCCTTTAAAAAAGGTTATTTGTTTTATAAAGAATTTATTTTTAAAAAACCTAATACTACACCGTAAAACAAATTACCATATTCTTATAATTAATATATATATATATATATCAACACATATATTTTTAAAAATATTATGTGAAACAAAATCCGTGCGTATGCACGGGTACAAGTCTAGTGAATCTAAAACTTATTGAGTGGTATAGTTGTTGTGACGGGCCAAGGTGTTCAGTTTGTGGTTACCCTGGCCCAAAACAGAAACCTCTGGGCCTCTTAATGGAGAAGTGTGGGGCGGGCGGATTTGGCACGGACCGGAACAGATTTGAGTTACTTTTGCAAACACTTTCTCTCAAATCAAATCCGCCATGACCCTGCACGTCTCCATTTGAAAGCCGTTGGTTCAAGTTTGTTACGTGTCAATATCTTATCGGATTTTAGACATCAATTTTGTTTGTTTGCTTTTACGTTTTGTCATTACATTTATTCATATGTTTTTAAGGAGATAGACTCATATTTTTCAACATTTTAAGCAAAACATTTGTTTGAGTGTAGACTTAAATTCCAAACATATATATATATATATATATCATTCTTATTCTGTTTGTTTTTGCGTTTACGAATTGCAGAACTTTAAAAAAAAAAAAAATCATTTATCAAAGTTACGTAGTAACTGCGTTTAAAACAAAAGGTTCAAAAAAAATCTGCGTTTAAAAACAATCAGGGTCTTAGAAAGTGTAGTGAGAAGGTTTTACTAATGTGATGATTGATGGGTCTCACATCATCTTCTTCTCATGTATGTGAAGAACGAAGTTGGAGAAGTGTGGGATTTTTTATTCATAAGTCATTGATGGTGTTCACGTTCATTTAGCTAAATTGTCAAAAGAAGATAGATGCAAGTTGCAAAACACATGATCCTCGCTTCTCTCTTTATAAGCTGTTTTTTTTTTCTTTATTCATCTCTTCCACGCCTTTGTGTTTTGGGTCCACTCTTTTTTTTTTTTTAATGAGCTTTATTTGGATAATTTGTAATCGTCGTTTTCATACTATTTATACTAATATCGACGCATGAAGTGAATCTAAACATTCCCACTCTACAAAGGTGATTGTCCTTTTAACCAATCAATAGACTTGCTATTTATGAGACACTTACTTCTTGTCCTAATATAAGATATTAAGGTTCTCGAACGACAGCAGTCAAAGAAGTTTTTTTTTTTTTTATGAAAAAATAGAAATGAAAGGAGGTGGCTCAAAATATTTAAGTTCGAACTGAAAGGATCAAAGAATTTTAATAATTTCCAATTGTAATAGTAGAACAACAAACACTTTTTTTATACTATATAGAATTGTATATAGCATTCTGTATTAGCAGGGTAAGGCCTCTCGAATGCGAGAAAAGAAAATAACAGAGTTAATATTATATTAGCAAATAAGGTTTCTCGAAAAAACATCGTTTATTCATTTTCTTTGTTTCATCGTGCTTTCAAAATAGGTTTTGAAAAAAATTATGACTTCAATATTAAATAGTTTTTTCTAAAGGATTTTGACAGTTTCATCTATGTGCCCGCCCCTAGTTCACGACATCGGCTCATTCTAACTATGTTAAATTCAGTTAATAACATAGTATAATAATGAAAGATGATTGCATCATTTGACTTTTTTTTTTTAATAGAATGTTGGTTCAACGATTGAAGACTAAAAAATGTATAAGAAGAAAAATAAATCGTGAATATAAGATACGCAATCTTTAGAAAACGTTACTTTAAAGCGTTTTATCCAAACTATAGAGTGTGGACCCCAACCGTGTCTTTTATAGTTTTATTTTCTTAAACGATAATCCGTTTATTTTGTAAATAATTTTTTTGTGGATATCAAATATTTTAGTAATTAAAAAATTCAATAAAGTAGACAAATATATTATAAAATTGTGTTAAATTCATTAAAGAATGATTATGAATCTGTGATAATTAACATAAAAATACAAAAAATTACTTATAAAATAATGCGTCAATTTTTTTCTAAAAGAAAATAACCATATCAAAACATGTAAAAATGTGATCATGTGACTGCCGTTAATTAACAAAATGTCATTGATATAGATAAGTTGTATGTAGATCATCTATTATATTAAAATAGAAGCACTTTTAGTGTTTGCTTCCAAACATTCCCAAATTTTTTTTATGATATTTTGTTTTATATTTATATTTAATTTCCGAAAATTAGTTATTAATTTAGATATTTTTAGATTTCTTAAAATCCAGGTCATCTTTAATTTAAATTTCAAATTGGAAATTTATGATAATTAAATTTAATTACAAAAATCTGCATTCAAATTAATTTAAATTCAAAAAATTCAAAAAAAAATTATAATTAAATTTATTACGAAAATTTAGATTAATAATTTATACTTTAGAATTCCTTAATACCTATTAGATTTAATTTAAAATTTTAAATTTAAATAGTCTTTTCATAAAAATACATAGTAAATAAATATTTATCATATTTTATCATAATCAATCGGTCTAAAATATCAAATATTTTAGATTAATAAATATTTATATTATACAATAATATGACCGAGCTGGTTAAAGTTATATATATATATATATACTTAAAGTGTATGAGTTAATTTATTAAAATATGTAAGATATTAAGATGATTTGAGACAATTAAACTAACATGTTAGCCAGTTATATATATATATTTTTTTGTAATAGCGCAAATAGTAAATAAATATCTTATTATATTTTTTCATAATCAATTGGTCAAAATATTCAATATTAGTAAATATTTATAAGATTATACATTTATAATTATAGTTTTATACGTGTTAGTTTGTCATTTCTCCGAAACAAGAGATCAAAGTGATTTTCCTTCTTTTTCAAACATGTAAGATATTAAAAATGGTTTAAAACAACTAAATGGACGGGTTAACAAATTCATAGATATATAGATTGTTTATGTGTAAATTTAAATTCACATAATAACAAAGTTTATAATTAACATTAGATCAATGTATACTTAATTAATGCATACTCTTATTCTACTAATAAACAAATTTTTATTGTTTAAAATTAAAACATGATAACAATTTTTTGATTAAAAAAATAAATAACAAAAACTAATTATATCTAAACAAAAAAAATAAATGCAATTTATATTAGAAATAAAAAAATAAAAAATTCTCGTGCGGATGCACGGGGTTAAATTCTAGTTATTACTGAATTTTGATGCATAATAAGGAGATATAAGTATATATTAGCAAGCTTTTTTGCAAAAGAATTGTTGGATATCAATTAATTTAGTAACATTGGACATGCATGGTTTATTGTTGCCATTGTGGGTTAAGAGCATCAGAAGGATTGAAGTTGGTGACTGCTTTAATCGGTGAGGGGTAGTATAGAGTTGTTGTTGGTTACCATGGCGGCTGAAGTTAGCGTCAATAAAAGAGGAAATTATTAAGAGGAAGAAAAAGAAGTACTTGCCTTTGAACTTTTTTCAAGGATTTATAAGAAAATTTTGTTTGTTGAGAGAATCATTAATGTGCTCTAATACCTTATAGGTTTTAGTGAAAAGTATATTCTTTTAAAAGAAAAAGATAGCTAATTAATAAGATAACGTAATTACACGAAATATGATGGAGTATGAGATTGACAATGACAGGAGTTCTTACATATGTGAAGATAATATCTATATCAAAAATATGTACTTCACAGTTTTTAACATTTGGATCACCATAAATTGATAAAATTTCAATAGTTTCATACGTTTCTGTAAATTTATATATGAAAATATCTCAATTCAAAGATACGTGATTGTCTAAATGCAAAAACAAATCATAATGTGGTTGCCTTAGAGACTAACGAGCCAATATCAAAAAGCACTAATGGATATGTAATCTGTGTGCATATAATCTTGAGGTAGTAGTATCTTCGAGAATACTTTGGCACGTTACAAAGTTAGCTAGCAATGAGTTTTCTTTTTTCTTAGATATGACTTATAGGAGCCAAAGCTTTTTAACTTTGGAATTTTTAAATAAAGAGTGTTGGATAAAGCACGTGGGACCATTCGCTCTCTCGAGATTGGCTCTTCGAGTCAGGGAAAGTTAAGGACGTAAAGCAAACCCTAATAACACTGTTTACAAAATCTAATTCTTTATGCTCGCTTATTTACAATAAACTATTCTGAATAACCCACTAGGACATAAAAACAAAACCCACAAGATGTGTTCGACTCAATTTATGAGCCTACATTGAATGAGTGGGTAATAGTCGTAATTTTTTAAAAAAACCAAACTATTTGGATTTTCTGAATTTGTCATGTATGTAAAAGTTAAAACTGTTTACGATGTTATATGGATCTTATCTGAATGTTAAGCAAATATATGTTAGGAGGTTTATAGTTTTTGTGTGTGAGCTATTGAATTGTTGATTTGGAAGTAGATTTACAATATAGAGTTATAAATTATAATTATACGGGTAAAACGACTATAGAACATGTAGTATAATGATTTATGTTGCAGATGTTAGATGTGTCGTCATCCAAATCCAAACTCACTTAATACATTTTATTGATTAAGATAAGTACTGATAAAACATCAAGTGTGTATCAAAATAATCATATAGATGTATAAACGCATAACTGGTTGGTACTAGTTCGGTATTTCTTGTTAAGTTTTCTGAATTTTCAACTCAAAATAATTAGCGATAAGTGGAAAGACTTAAGTCTCTTATATATTAATGTTAGTTTTTTTAAATTTTCGATGTGGAATTCTAACATACCCCTCGAGATGATGATTCTTATCAGTCCATCTCGAACCGAATCTCATTTTAAGACCGCTAATAAATAAATTCTTCTTGTGCCATCATTTTTGGGTCAACAAACGAAGTTCTGATATTATGTTAAGTTTCTTGGACTTCCAACTCAAAACTAATTGGCAATAAATAGAGAGGTCTAAGTCTCATATATATTAGTATTAGTTTATTTATGCGAGATTCTAACACTTTTCCATATATTAACAATATGTCAATATGCCATTTTGTACTTTTTTTTTGTTTTTTAGAAACAATTACATTTGTCCGGTCAAATCTTTTTTTTTTTTCTAACTCTATAAGTCAAATCGGATATGTAATTATTGGAATTTCAGTACATTTAATTACTTAATATTTCCATATTTCTTGCTAAACCATAGTCATATTTGGTTAAAGAACCAAGTTGTGTTCCACGAAAAAAAAAAAGAACCAAGTTGTATGGTACTTACAAAAGCATTTGATTTTCTTAACTCCTAGGTTTAAAATTTTCTTGAACCGAAGAGTACATCATATTAAAAAAGCTTGAACTATAATATTATGATATCAGCGCTTATATAGACTAAAAACAATACTTTAAAAAATCGTTTTTTTTTTTGGTTTTGAACTTTCTTTTTCACCAATCAACATTTAATAATTAACACTTAGTGAGCCTATTTAATTAATTTAACCGCAGAAACATAAGTGGGTAAAATCGTCAATAAACATAACAACCCAGAAATCGACAAAGGATGGCATTCTGTGAAAATAATCTACATGTTGGAGGATAATTTACAATCTCTTTCACAATCTGTCCAATGAGAGTAGTGAAATTAGAAAAAGACCTTAGTCCATCCAATCAATCAATTTTAATGTGTTTTTTTTTTACTATTTAAAAACCGCTGAGTGAGCCTATTTAATTAAATTAAAAAATTTTAAAAATATCGAGAGAGAGAAAGAGAAAAGTTTGTTGGAAGGAGTCTTCTCTCTCTCTTCTTTTATCTCCCTCTAAAGACGGCGACTGAAATCTATCTTCTTCTTCCTTCATTTTTCTTTCGCATTAACGCTTTTATCGGAGGATCTAGCCGGAAAACTCTTTCTCCGAGATCAGATCTCCGACGAGTCAAATCGCTGCAAGGATCAGCTCTCTGAAGCTCGATCTTACCTCTTTTTTTTTCGTTCTTTCCACTTTCCTGCTCATATTTCTCTCTCTGCGCTACAGTTTTGGTGTTTGTTTGTTTATTTCTCTTTGCCAAATCCGACGCGGTGGTGTAGAGATTCAGAAACGTGGAAGAAGACGAAGATGGAAGCTAACGGGATGGAGCCGAATCCGGAGAGAGAGTATATCAGGAGGCATCATAAGCACGAGCTTGTGGAGAATCAGTGTAGCTCAACGCTGGTTAAGCACATCAAAGCTCCTGTTCATATCGTAAGCTTGTTCCTCTTCTACATGCGCTCTCTAATTAGGTCGTGATGCTTATATTTTGAGCCAATTGCTTCCGAGTCCAATCCAGAAATGTCGAAATCTCTTGTCTAATTTTACTGATTTGTTGATCTTATTCGAGTTCGAGGAAGACGATCGGTGAGAAGAGGTATCGATTGGTTTTGTGATGATTCGGAGTGCGTTTTTAGAAGCTTTCCATTGACTGTGTATCAGTAGCAAATTTTATCATCCAATCCTCTCTTCTGCTTTGATTCGTCTATATTTTACTGATTCGATGATCTCTAAACTGATTATGATGATTTTCTCAATCCAATGTTTGATAAAATCATGAGAAATGGATTAATTTGATTGTTTTGGGGTTTTAGGTGTGGTCTCTTGTGAGAAGATTCGATCAGCCACAGAAATACAAGCCATTCATTAGCAGATGTGTGGTGAAAGGAAACATGGAGATTGGTACAGTAAGAGAAGTGGATGTGAAATCAGGTTTACCAGCAACTAGAAGTACTGAGAGATTGGAGTTGCTTGATGATAATGAGCATATTCTCAGCATCAGAATCGTTGGTGGTGATCATAGACTCAAGGTATAAATAAACACACATCAACTTTGATTATAATGAATCAAAAAACCCATTTTTTTTTGACTAATTAAGTGTCTCTGTTTTGATTAGAACTATTCGTCAATAATATCTCTTCACCCTGAGACCATAGAAGGAGGAAGAATAGGGACACTTGTGATTGAGTCTTTTGTGGTGGATGTACCAGAAGGGAACACAAAGGATGAGACTTGTTACTTTGTGGAGGCTCTAATCAAATGCAATCTTAAATCTTTAGCTGATATCTCTGAACGTCTTGCGATTCAAGACAGAACAGAGTCCATGAACAGAGTCTAAGAGAGAGATTGAAGAAGAAGAAAGAAACTATTGAAAAAATGGAGATGGAGTCAAAGTGAAAAGATTTTGTTTCCCTGGATGAAAGCTTTCAGAGGGAAAATAGAAGAGTCCTCTTTGGGGATTGGACAGGGAAATAAAGTAATCATCATTTACCGTTACATAATAAGTTTCTTTATTTTACTTTTTTTTTTTTTTTTTTTTGTGGGGGTCTCTTTTCACTTCTTCCCTTTTGTTTTTAATTTTATGAATGTTTTTGGTTTCTTCTCTATAGAACCAAAATATAATTTTGGAGTTTGGCTTTTGCCACTTGCAGGAATCTTACAATTTGCAGAGACATGTTAAAAGTGTGATCATGGGGTTCCACTCTTTCTTCCCCTTTTTTTTGTAACACTTTTAGCTGCACCCATAAAGGTCACACACCGTCTTTTTTTATTTCTTTTTTTGTTTTCTAGTAACTTTATTGAACCAATAGCATTTGTGGGATGTGAAAGATCTCCACAAGGACCATTAAGGAAAGGGATCTTTCTTGTATATAGTTTATAGATTTTGTCTTGACTTGTGTGATTGAGGAAACACACATTAGCTCCATTAGCTGTAAAAGCTATTTCCTTTTTATTTTAGTATTTTACATTACCAAAGTGTTCTCTGTGTTGTGATTTGTGTTTATTTCCTTTTTTTTTTTCTCTTTACGGTGGGTTTGATTTACAATAGTGGATGAGTTCATTATACGTTTGTCCATTTGGAATGATGAAACTAAATTTGTATACGAATCGCTCACATGGACAGGTAGCTCGATCAACAATGCTTCCATTTTCAATATCATTACAAATAAATATTTATAATGTTTGTCTTTATATTTTTATTAGACAATTTCGCTTAAAACATAAAGAGTTATAATAAGATTTATTGGCCTAAAAAATCACATTAGAGAATAAAAGACTACAATTATTACATTCCTTTCACTGTTACTTTTACATTTTTTTTCTTTTCATAAATTGAACAGAATGTCAAATAGGAACAAAAAAAAGTTCCAGTTCGAAATGAAACTAATGAGCTAACGAAATAGAAACTACATTAACTTATAACAAGAGATCGATAATTTCACCTGCTTTTTTGTTTTGATTTTTTTTTGTATGTTTGTTTTAGAAAAGCTATGGGAGATTTACTCTGTACAAAAGCTTTGAACCTCCTTTTTTTCACCCAGAAAGGTGTGTTTATGGATAATGAATGATGTGATTAGGCCAATACCAAGTCTCCTTCTTCTTGTTGTTGCTCCTGTAACTTCTCTTCTTCTTGGTTTGGAAGGAGAATGCGTTTTATGTCCTCTGCGGTTAGCGTTTCATACTCTAGAAGTGCGTTTGCTAACGTGTGTAGCTGCTTCTCATGCTGGTGAAACACACAAATATAACAACAACAAAAAGTGAGAAAAAAACTTCGTTAAACGGTTTTGATCAATTGAAAACTGTGATTTGCAAGAAACTTGGCAGAAACAGACCCGTTTCAAGAGAGATTTCACTCGCTCGTATGCTTCTCGGAGAAGTTTCACAACCTGACCAAAAGGATCAACACGAACACGAATGATCAGACGTAGGAGCAATGAGATTTTGAACGGGTTAACTACAAGAAAAATGAACAAAGAGAATCCCTACCTCTGCATCGATGCGTGATTGCATTTCAGAACTTGGTCTTTCTTTTATATGAACTGGTCCTATTGCCTCACTCATCCCACAACTCGACACCTTCCACATTAAAACCCAAAACCATTACTATAACTACAACGATAGGAAAGATCTGTTACTACAACTCTACAGTGGAGATTTCTTCTCGCCATTAGCTTGTAAGTTAACATTTAGGATCTCAGAGACCAACTCTCTGAAACCTGAAAACTAATCTCTTTTGACAGGAAAAGAGAGGCATACGTATCTACTAATGGGAGTTGTAATAGGACATTACCATATACTGTGCAAGTTCTGTGGCCTGGGACAGATCGCTACTTGCTCCAGTGGTGATATGGTCCAGGCCAAAGATGAGCTCCTCTGCGACTCTTCCTCCCATACATACATCAAGACGAGCTAATAACTGCCTCTTGCTGATTGATGTTTCATCGTTTGAAGGTAACTGCGTAACCATTCCCAATGCAGATCCACGTGGCATTATAGTTGCTTTGTGGATCGGGTGCGCACCTCCCGTGTTCAAAGCTACGATAGCATGACCACTCTCATGGTATGCAGTGAGCTAGTAAAGGCAAAGAAGAGGGTGAGAGGCCACATCGCATTTGAACTCCAAATCCCAACACTACTCTACACGCGTATTAGATATACCTTTTTTGAGTCCTCTGATACGAACATCGTCTTCCTCTCGGTGCCCATAACTATTCGGTCCTTTGCGAATTCCAACTGTTGTGAAGATAGCTTCTCAGCACCATCAACAGCTGCCTTTATGGCAGCAATATTAACCAGGTTTGCAAGATCTGGAAATTGTTTTGGTGAAATCAGGGAAAATGTAGTGGGTCGTTGAACCTTCATAGCTCAATGACAAAAGAAGACACTTTGACTGAATTTAAGGATGACTAAACTATAGTTATAGATTTAAGATACTCACCAGCACCATTGAATCCAGGAGTTCCACGAGCAATTGCTTTCACATCCACATCATCTGACATAGGTTTGCCTTGGAGGTAGAGTTCCAAGATCTCTTGGCGTCCACGTACATCCGGACTTGGGACGACAATCTATAACAAAATCTGTCAGTAAGTTCTCTTCCTATGGAAAGATCCGGAACAATTTTCTTAACATAGCAGCACACCTATCTAAATTATGATTGAAAATAGACAGATGGAAACAAATTGTACCTAATGTGCTACATTCAACATAAAATCCTCAGACAGTTATATACAAAAGAGGAGTATCTCAAGAAAAGAAAAAAAGGTATCACTTCTTCATCTTCAGTACTGATACAAACAGAGAGAAGAGTCGTAAGAAGCTGGATACTTACATGCCTATCGAATCTACCCGGTCTTGTCAGGGCTGGATCAAGTATATCAGCCAAGTTTGTTGCAGCCATAACTATTATTCCCTGTATAGCAGAATAAAAGAAGAAGAAGCGAAGTACTATTATGTTGCAGCAAATTAGGGGAAGTAATCACAAGGTACACTATCCCTCATCAAAAAGTACCTCATTTTGCTCAAAACCATCCATTTCAACAAGTAGTTGATGCAATGTCTTCTTTGTATGCCCTTCCCATTGTTTTCTAGTGGACCCAACAGCATCAATTTCATCAATGAAAATGATACAGGGTGCCTGCAACACATGATTATCAGCAAATAGAACTTCACTCATGGTAAGTGGCTTTAAGGCCAAACAAACATAACTCTTTTTGACATATCTTATTAGCAACAGGTTGAGTCAGACCTTTTTCTTAGCTGCCTGAAACAAGGATCTCACACGCCGAGCTCCTACTCCAACAAACCTGTCAATCAAGGAAAATTTGATATCATATGTCATTATCCATTACCGAAGAAGCCACCTGATGGTGATAGATAGTTCATGATAATATTGCTCAAGAAAACTTGTAGAAGGCTCACATCTCTTCAAATTCAGATCCAGCTCTATAGAAGAAGGGTACTCCAGCTTCTCCAGCAATCGCCTTAAAAAATTAAATTGTGTCAGCTAATTGCAATCAATCAAAGTATCGGTAGCTTAATTAGAGTTTTCTGATTAAGTGGGGATGTGACTGAGCACACACACACAAATGAAATAGTTCAGCCTTTGATACCTATCCGATTCAACAAGAGAGGACAATTTAACGCTATGTGAGAACTTACTTTAGCCAGCAATGTCTTTCCAGTACCAGGTGCCCCTGTTAGAAGGATTCCCTGGAAGCAAACATTTAAGAAATGTCTCAAGGCAAAACACTAACTTTTTAATAGATTATCCTTAAGAAGAAGGGACAAAACCTGGTGCCAAGTACCTTTGGCAACTTTCCTCCAAGGCGGGTAAACTTTGATGGATTTTTAAGATATTCTACCACCTCTTCAAGCTCTTGTTTTGCATCATCGCAACCCTTTACATCCTTAAATGTTTTGACATTCTGCAGGAAGCAAACTTGTCAGGAAAAGAAACAATGACGCCAGTCTTAGGAATTTATTGGCTTCAAGAGATAGATGAACAGAGCTATTAGAATGTGCACTGGGTAATTTAGCATTGATACAGAGAGGACCCAAAATCTAAGAACACAGTACTTCTCATACAACTAATATGCCATATGCTTCTCTTACTTACGTTCAACAGTGTAACAAATGCTATGAGTTCTTCGCAGTTCTACTTCAACTACTTTAGACTACTTGTAAATAGTGAAGAACATCAACATCACTTGTGTCAGAATTCTACCTTTTCCGGCGTTATTTCTTTGTTCATCTCTTTTGGGGAATATGAAGAACTTGAACCAACACCCGAAGTTCCAATTCCTCCCAGGCTTCCAATATACTTTTGCAGAGCAGCTGCACCCATTAACCTAAACAAAGAAGTTCAATTTTAACAGGAATAAATAACAGTACCAATATGGAGAGACAATCACAAGTTCAACTACGCATACGAAGCAACATTACTGCCTGTGCTATTTAAATTGATCTATCATAAAAAAATTCTCAACTAGAGTATAGATGATACATACCACACTAATCCCACCGCAACTGTGAACAAGATTGTAGAGACAAGCTCTTGCGCGAATCTTGATTTGTTCGAAACTTTAGGATTAACCTAAGAAAGCAAAAACACGTTAAGAACTTAATATAGATGGCACTATTTTGAGCCTATGAAAACCCGCACTTAGGATACCTAAGAGAAGCTTACCATGGTGACGTGCAACGGTTGCTTCTCAGATATACCAGGGTTCACAAATGACTCGTCCATATTTCCTGATGCACGATGCTTCAGCTCTTGCAGCTTCACATAAACCAATGATTATTACAAATACAACAAAACTAGTTTCGAAACAAAGACAATCAGGAACATTCTAACATTAAAATACAACAAAACTAATTTCGAAACAAAGGCAATCGAAGTGTAGACCACCAAAAAAACAGATAACCAACCAAACCACAGATTCTAGAAGCAGAAACGTAAGAGTACCAGTGTGGGAAGACTAGATGGCTTCCCGGTTTGTTCGTCAGGAAGATACTCCGCAATAGCATTTGTAACGACAAGAGCTCGAATATATTCAGCAACTCCTCTGCTATCCACTGCATGTTCCCTTTGTTCAAACCTTTGAACTACAGCCTCAGGGCTGAAGCAAAAGAAGACAATTCATACCACACACATAGAATCAATTAAAAGCAATTGGATTCAACTACAACATAAACTACAGAATCAAATCAGAGGTTGATTAAAAATTTGCAATACATATGCTTGTTGAGCTCAGCCAATAAAGCTCCCTGCAAAGCCGCGTCCTTTGGATTGGCATCAGCCTCAGCGATGAGTTTCTCGAGCCGCTTCTCTTGCCTAGAGAAAGGCCACAAGCTTAGCCACTCCCATTCCATTACCTTCTCCATAGCTTTCCTCACAGCTGCCCATAAACCCATCAGCAACACCACAATCGGAAACTTGCTCTTCTTCTTGTCTTCCTCCGTCACTCCATTAGAACTAACCTCCGCGTCTCCTCCTCCTTCACTCGTCTCTTCGCCACCTAAGAATCTATCGGTCGTCTCGAATTCCGTAACCTCCGTATCCGAAACCAATCTAGTCTCTGCTGAATCCGTAATCTCCCCGTCGGTATCTCCGCTCCGAGACTCCTTGGAGAGAAAATCGGAGTCGGAAGCGACATTGTCTTGGCGCAATGAGCAAGGAAGGGAACGAAATCGAGAGTTGAGGAGAGTCGAAGAAAGACGGTAGAAACTGGAGAGAGATTGAGGATTGAAACGTAGAGAAGAAGAAGATAAGAGAGGACGATGAGGTGTAAAGGAATAAGAATGGAGAGGAGGACGAAGGAGAAGAGAAGCTTGAAGAGTAGAAGAAGACATTGGAGTTTTAGTTTAGGGTTTTTTGAATTTCCTTTATCTTCTTCCTCCTTCCTCTCTTTCTCCTTTTTTATTCAGAGAGACAAAAGAGAAAGAGTTTACTTGGAGACTTGGGAACCACAAGATCCTTTTATCTTTCTCTCTTCTGTTTTTTTTTTTTTTTTCTCACTCTTTTGTAAAAATTGATTTGTGCAGTCAATTGAGTTTAGTAATCTTATCCAGATTCTCAATTTTTACTCAAATCTTGGCCAATAATCGTACGATTAGACAGTTTTGGATAATGAAAATGATATAGTGAGACAGAGAGATTAAGTTCTTGAGAGGCAAATTGATGATAATACCGAATGGTTTATAAAGCTGATCGTGTTTGGACACAAGTGGTCAAGTGTTCCATGAAAAGAAAAGAAAAGAAAAAACAGAGCTAGGAGAAATAAAGAGAGTGATAAAACAAACAACTTCGTCTTCGACTTTAAAAGGACTCTTTCAAATTCTCCCTTACTAATGCATTGGACCAGGACCACCGTAATGCTGCGGCGGCATGTGACCACCACCGGGACCTTGATGCATAGACCCGGAAGACGGTGGTGCCATGTAGGGATTGTGACCTTGACCTCCTCCTGGTTGGGCCCATCCACCTTGTGGCGGCTGCTGCTGCTGATGGTGGCTCGCACCTGCTGCGTGGTATTGTTGTGGATTGCCGCCGGCGTATGGATTCTGTCCGGGCTGTTGAGCCATTGCAACTGCCGGGTTAGGCATTGTGTAGTCTCTGCTTCTATCATTGTTCACCTGCCAAATCCAAAGAAACCTTTACTTTGGTGTTTAAAAAAGGTTAAGTTTAAAAGAGAGAATACCAAGTAAGTAACTAACCAATTACCTTTATGCTGAGGTCGGTGTGGCGTGAGTAAGTGATGTGTAGCTTACAAAACCCACCATCGTAAATACAATGTCCTTCCAGTGCTCCCTTTGCCACCACAGCCGTTTGAACATCTGAATGAAACCCTCCAGTTCATTTTGAGTGTTTGCTCTTACAGATCAACGACAATGAAACAGAGAGTAGATTCATATAAGATGTTATAGTTTACCTGGGTACTGAATCAAAGCCTGTAGCCCACCATTCTTGTCAAACATTGCAATCTTCTGAACAGCCCCAAAGGCCGCAAAAACCTACTCGTAAATAAGAATAAGGAGAAGAGAGAATTAATATTTTCAGTAACACAGATCCAATGAGGATTCTCAACATGGAGAGAGAAATACCATGTGTAAAACATCCAAGGTTACTGCATACTGCATGTTCTCGATCGATGCTAGAAGAACATTACTTTCAGGCTCCATCTTCTTCCCGTCTACACCCACAGCCACCTAGTCAGAATGACACACATTAATCTTTCAAATTAGTTTTAGAACACTAAACGATGTGTGTACTTTCATGCATCTCTTTGTAACACATCACCAGCAAGAGGTTCAATCATAAATGCTTTTTTAAATAAAACTATTCCCAACTTGCTTACCTGACCAGTACTATCAATGGCTGACGGAGCAACAGGAAGGTAAGGATTAGTATAGTCCCTACATATTAAAGGGAAAACAATTAGTAAATATGATCACAGAACCAAGTAAACCAAAACATGTTGCAACGCACGATGTGAACACACATACCTGCTCCGATGGCTCTGAAATTTGACAGTCAAATCTGTATGAGCTGAATATGTGATTTTCAGAGAGCACTGGTCCACTTCCTCAGGGAGTAGATACCTGATGCCCAGAAAGAGACGTCAGTAATAAGTATACCTTATATATATACAAAATCTTGTAACGCAAAGCCTATAAAATTTGTAATAAAATAAACACACGATATTGCCAAGCATCCCACATGCAAAAACAAAAATCCTCTTTCCCATATCTACCGATGCCTAATAGTATTCTCAGGTTCATAGACGAAAGTACCAATTGCAAATTTGGTTCTCCAACATCTATCATCACCATCCATGACTTGAGCAAGTTTGACATCAGATGACAGAAAAACCTATGGACGCTTGGAAGGTTAACAAATGGCAGACCCAATACGCAATATCTAAAACTATACAGCCCTTCCCAGTTAGACTAAATACCGTGTCAAAAATTCTAATACAACTGTCACCTAGGGATGCTTCTTCCATCGAGGGCATTTTTTGCAGAGGTCGCAGTATCCGCGTCAGTAAATTGAACCAGTGCCTAAGAGCAATTCAGACAATAAGCAGTATGACTGTATGAGTACTATAACCAAAAACAAAAATCTAAATACAAAGCAATTAATGGCTAGGTAATATACCTGATATCCAGCTGTCTTCTCGAAAGTAGTAATCTTGTGGACAAATCCAAAGGCTGAGAATACCTGCATTACAAACCAGCAATTAGAACAATAATAACAACAGAAAACCCAGAAGCTCGACTTTAAAGACTCCAGTGCAGAATTTGTAATTATTTTGCACTGCAGGAACATTCCAAGACAAATTTTAGTTTGGACTAAGACTCTTTATGTATAAAATTTACACAGCAGCACAAAAGTTAGGATAGCAACATGATATGACGTGACAAGTTTTATGCCAGGTTAAACCGTCTGGAAGGCAAAAGATATGTCTTCCAGCATATAAAACAATCATGCTAGAAACAAGATACTTCTGTATAGGTTGGCAGACTGATGAACCTCTAGATAGAATTCATCACAGCTGCACATCTTTACATTTTAGTACAGTTTTATATCGAAAAGGATGTGCAGATCAGGCTGCACCCTATCATCAAACAAAAATAATAACTACAACCTATGTAAGACCAAATCTTCCAAATCCTAGAGTATTTGTTAATTTGATAAAAGGGAAGTTTGAGGGAGAAAGAGTAGGGAAGAAGAGAAAGGCAGTGTCAGGGAAAGGAGAAAGGAAACAAACACACATGTGCTCTTTCTCCTAATGCATTAGGCTGCCACTGAAGATATTGCCTTGACATGGCCCTGCTGATCCATTCACATTCACGTCAAAAGAAAGTTTCCAAAACCATGCTACAACCTAATTTATCAGAATGTCTCCGAAACATATTTCAGCAATGTGTTTACTTCTTCTAACCGAAACCGAAACCGGAGAAAGGTGCGTGATCCACTTACCAGATGCAAGACATCAATGCTGACCATGCGAGCATCCTCTCCTTCGACTGTCACCAGAAGGACATTTCCCACAACATCTGCTGTCGTTTTGTTATTCACTATCTCTTGCCTGTTGGAGTACTGGAGGTAGACAGTTTTACCTCGAACTTGAGCAGGCTCCGATGAAGAGGCGTAGTAGGAAATCATTTGAATAGCTTGGTTTAAGTCCTCCTGAGAAGAAGAAGCATCATATATGCAAGAAAATCCAATAAAAATCAAAACTTGTACATAGATTAAGCTTTTTTAAAACAGATCTCTCTTTCACTTACAAACTCAATGAAAGCTTGATTTCGATTGGCTCCAACATTGCACTTTGTATTTACAACTGTACCAAAGGGCTTCCCGAGTTCGATTAGCTCCTCTTCAGTGCATTCCCAAGGCAAGTTTCTCAAATGAAGAACCTTAGAAGGAGGCTGCGTGTAACGAAACTGTGGCTGGCTTGAAACGGAGGACATTGGTACCAACGATCTTAGAGCTGTAAATAAGATTATAAATGGCGAAAACAGTTAACAGTACTCGATGGAACCAGCACAAGACACGTAGTATACGAATCAAGAACTCTTTAGATCTCAACAACTTCGTTGAAAATAATCGAAATCAATAACGAGACGAGTTATTTACCAGCGAAGTTCACATAATACAATTACTATGAATACGAAATGAGAAAAGAAAGAAGGTGAATCAGGAGACATCGTATTTACCTGAAGAAAAATTTTCTCCGGCAAAAAAAAATCTCTGATTGGGAATTTGAAGAGAAATTAGGGTTTCGCACTGGGGAAGAAGATATGTATGAGAGAAGAAGGGAAAGGGAAGAGATAGGGATTGGGGAGGAATAGCGGAAACCAAATCTGCCTTTTTATCTCGCGGTTTCTTCAAACGCCGTTTGTTTTAATAGCGTCTTCGTTGTTGTTGGGTAAAAACTTAAAAACCAAACCAATATATAAATAGGCTTTACGCTTTTACTGGCCCGTTATTAAAAAACGCAAAGCCCATATATTTTGAAGGATCCAAAAACTTGCCAGTAGTCCAAACCTTCTTGATATATATCTAGAAAAATGACAACATAATAAAATAGGTAACAGATAAATGTATGAATGAAGTAAGTATATTTAATTTGAAATCAATTGCCGAAAAATAGAAAGAAGGAAGTATTTAATGTGAATTGAGTAATACATTTTGTTTTACTTTGATCATTTTTTCACTTCGATCTTTGGTTTTTTCTTTTACTTTTTGTCGACAATGGAATCTTTTTTTCTTCTGTTAAATGACAATGGATTGTTTTTTCGTCGAAAACAAAAAGCTCTTCTTGTTTTATTCACATGATGATCGATCAAACAATAGAGAGATGTAACATCATGTAATGAAAGCACAACCCATGAGACCTATAATTGAAGTTTACATTAAATCTCTGTGGACTCACAAGGAGAGCTTTTTGAGGAAAGCATATCCAAGAAATTATAAACCGATGACGTTGAAAACTAACTAACATGCATTGTTCAAATTCTTCACGTTGGCATCACCATCATCAATGTCAACTACAAGATTAAGTGTGGTCTTGTTTTTCTCATCAGTCCACGTGCCCATCACCATTGTTGTTGGTGCTTCCCTTTTGTTCTTGTACTTAAAGTAGAGGATAAGTTGGAGAATCCCCAATGGAGTCCCCACCATATTAGGTGACTATAAAATCAATTGACACCATCATCAAAACCATGCACATGAAATTTTCAACAACTTATCTCTCTAATTGCATTACATACATTTGAATTGTAATGGACTCTCTTTGAATCGTTATACAACAGAATTATGATTTCTTAGACTAGTTTAACCCGCCGTCAAAAACAAAAAAGAACTAGTAACCAAGGTTCTAAAATTTGCTGGTCACCCGTCGATCAATAATTACCAAGACTAGACCGTTAAATTGAAAGGTTTAATCGTTGTAACACATAACACAGTTGATTTATTTAAAATCAGATTTGTTTTGAGGTAGACTAGATAAAAGCTAAATAATTAACCAATATATAAACTAACCATCAAAGAAACGTTCGTTATATTTTGAATGGTATTTTCCTTTTTAAATACACAAAACAGCGAAATTTCTAATCAATAATTAGTTTTTTTAATTTTATTTGGCCGGATTAACTATATATGTTAAATTATGAAATAAACTAGAGAAAGTGAGAGAATTAAGAAAACGAACCGCAAGAAAGAGATCATGGCTGAGTAAACCATAGGCCATCCAAAGAGAGCTAGCCAGAAATGAGAAGAATGACAAGTAAAACGGCATGTATTCCACACTTTTTGTCTCTATCACTTTTTTCTGTACACACATTCACATTTATTAGCCCGATCCATAATTGTATAGATAAGATCTCTACCTAATTGTTGCCATGATTGAAAAAAAAAATTGATAGACTTAGGTTCATATATCCTATCAGTTCGAGGCCAGAGCAGCTTTTCGTTACCATTATTCAAAATTGTAATCTTTAAGGCAACTAGTTCACCACCTCAAACTGTGAAATCCCATGCTTAAGGTCCTCATTTTCTCAAAATAATTTTGGTCTTTAAGTTTCAAATGTCCATTTGATATATTCACAAAATTATATTAAAAAATAAAAATCTCTTTCAAAAATTTGAGAATTCGAAACTTAATAATAATATGGTCCAAATCTTTTTTCAAAAAATTGTACACAGTTTACCACATCAGTTAAAAAAAAAAAAGGAGATTTGTCTTGTGACATTAACTTCAACGATGCACATATATATTCATATATACATAGCTTACCATAACGACGAGAGGAGAACCATACATGGAGACAGAAGCCACGAGGCCAACACTTCCAACAAATGACTTCCGGTGGCGGTGGTCGTCAAACACCACGGCTGAGATTGCCGTCGTTAACCCAAACACAACGATCACCGGAACAAATACAACACCTACCTTAATCTATATTCAAATGTTTATATATGAATATATATCACTAAATTTATCTTACTAAATTAAAAAAAAAAAAAATATATATATATATATATATTGTACAATTCTATGATGAACTACGAACCTTTTCTTTGGGCGATGCGTAGCAGAAATATATGAAAATGAAGATTGATTCGAGAAGGATGCCGACTCCATTTATGGTAACGAGAGGAAAATTCTCCCAAAGATGACTCACAATTGGTAAACCGTACCAAGTGTAAACCAAACAATTGAAGAGTGTCATAACGTAAGGAAAACATGAGAATTCTTCTGTGCTTTTCTTCTTAAACACCCTTGAAAATGTTAATCTACATACCAATTAAGGGAAAAAGTTATATTTTACTTTCTTGGTTAATTCAAATTAATTTGGTTTTTTTTTTACGCACATTGGAGCTGTATAGAGTAACAAGGAAGCTCCGTTTCCTGTGGGGAGTCCATAAATAAGTTTAGAAACAAGAAGAAGTACTTGTAAATATTATGTTACAATCAAAAAAAAGTTTCTGATAGTGTTAGACAGAAAATTAAGTTAAAAAAATTATAGAAATCCAAAACAGAGGAAGAAAATATAATATTACACATACATAAAATAATAAAGAAAAGATACCCAAAATTCCGACGGATAATCGAAGTTTATCATCACCCATTTTGATTGGCCGGCAGAACGAAGATTAGGGAATAGTTAGGAAGTAGAAGAGTTACGCCTATAATGTGTGTGTATATATAATAACATGTCTTTGGTGTTCATTTTAAAATAATATTCACAAGTTTGGGACATTCTAAATTTGATCACAAGTTTGGGACATTTGATAATTTAAATTTTTTTATTCCAAAGGTTATATTGGTGTGATTTTTTAGTTTTTAAGAAATTTTTACGCCATAAGGACATTGGATTAAGTTTGGATTAGAAAATTCTTTTGAAAACTCAAACAAAATAAATTTTACGAGAATTTTAGAATAACACAAAGTCGTCATACCCGGATGCAGCTTCATGAACGAAAAAGCAAAACTAGAAAGATGGTGGATTACATATCGAAGCGATCAGAATTTTGTAATATTTTACGTCTTAAGTTTTCTATATTAAATATCAAACGTTTAGTGAGTCATTATATTATTTAAAAGACACTTTAGACGTGTGTGGAGATTAAATAGTTTGTTTTTACTTCATATATACAATGTGTACCACACACATATTATACAAGACATTTTTACGCATAACTTTGGATGATATATCACACAAATTATGTGCTTCAACAAACTATAAGCAACCATTCCATCACAATTTACAAACGCATATGCAAAGTATTTCTTATAAAAGAAAATTTTATTGGACATAATCTATATATTCGTTATAAGGTTTATCTAGGATGTATTTAACAGATTGTGAAGGTTCACGAGGTACATGAACGTCTAGAAGAGACGATTCTGATGGTTAAAATGGGCGACACAAACTTTGGTTATTTTGTTTGTTTCACACTAAATTCTGAAATCTCAAATAAAGCAGGTGATTTTGTTTAAGTTCTTTTTTTTTTTTTTCCACAACCCAACTATTACATCACATTTGACCCGTTAAAGGACTGATCCGAAAACCGTCTTCAACTGGCTTGGTATGAATGATTTTGGAGAAAATACATCATCTTGCTCGAGCTCCTTTTGCAAGACTATCCGCTCGGACATTTAAACTTCTTGGGATATGGGAGAGAGTGAAATCCAAAAAGCTTTTCCGGAGAATGCGGAAAGCTTCCAACTCCGATAAGAATGATGGCCAATCCGATGGAGATTCAGACATGCTTACCAGATCCGAGCAATCAGTTTGAAAGTGTACAGATAAAATATGTCTATCTTATTTCACGCAAGACATAGCCCATAAAAGGCTCTCCAATTCAGCATGAAGGGCCGATAGGCTTCTACGACAGCCCTGAAGGCCAAAAGTCTCGCCACCCCTCTCCTCTTTCAGACTCCACCCGAACCCACTAACCAGGCCGTTGTCTATCCAGGATGCATCAACCTGACAAATCGGAAACCTCTTGGCATCGGGTAGAGGACTGAGGAGCAAAGGAGTGAGCGAAGCTTCGTCTGATCCGTCCTCTTCTTCTTCCGGTTGGTTTGCAATCTTCCAACTTTCTGCTTCAACCTTGGCGTGGATCAAAGTATCTACCGGGGAAATTTCTTTCCCGTTGAAGATCTTGTCATTCATCGCTTTCCAAATATACCACAAGATCCAAGGATAAATATCCTTTTGAGGATCTGTCATGCCTAACTCTTTTGTTTTCCAAAAGAGAAAGCTCATATTTTGATAAATAGAGATACTCGGGAAGAGACCTGGAAGGGACGGAAAGTCTGATAACGCCCAGACTTGTAAGGCCGGGGGACATAAAAACAAAAGATGGTTAATAGACTCTTCAGGATTCCTACAACGGGGACAACTCTTATCCGTTCCCATATGCCTGTAGGTTAGGTTTTGGCAAGTAGCAATACATCCTGATAAAGCTTGCCACATAAAATGCTTTATTTTTCCAGGCGTCCGTACTTTCCAAACATAGCTTTGAAGGGCTGTGATACTCGGTTCTCTCACGACATCCAAATTTTGTTCAAGTTTTGTTCTCCTAATCATGTCATATCCGGATTTAACCGTGTATATTCCTGATTTAGTATGGTTCCACGCAAATCCATCAAGGGTACGGATCCTACTAGGTCTCAACCCAAGGATAAGAGAGACATCCTCAGGTTGGAAAAATTCTCTTAGAAGAGGCTCATCCCATTGCTTCGTATCTTGTCGGATAAAGGAGTAAACTAACACTCCTGGGTCCTGAAGTCCGATCTGGGGGGTTGCTCTTGGTGGACGGGCCCTGGCGTCAGGGATCCAAGGCTCACTCCACGCCCTTGTATTTAGTCCTGACCCTATCGTCTTCCTTAGTCTCCTTTTGAGATACGGTTTTGCTGCCAACATACTCCTCCATCCATAGGATGGTGAGTAGACATTTCGATCCTCTAACGGGTCCGATTGACGATAATATCTTCCTCTTAGCACCCGAGCCAGAAGAGATGAAGGGTACTGAATGAGCCTCCATAGTTGCTTTGCTAGCAAGGCTAGATTAAAATCATTTAGATCTCTAAATCCAAAGCCTCCCATGTCCTGTGGAATACAAATCTTGTCCCAGGCAATCCAGTGGATCCCACTACTAGTTTGTTTTGAACTCCACCAAAAATTGGCAATGGCGCTCCGAAGTTTGTCTGTAACCCCTTTAGGAAGAAGAAAACAGGACATGACGTAAGTGGGGACGGCTTGAGCTACTGATTTAATTTGAATCTCTTTTCCACCCTTGGAAAGAAGTCTTGCAGACCAATTATTAACACGATTACTTAGGCGTTCATGAACAAAAGAAAAGACCTTCTTCTTTGATCCACAGATTTGCTCAGGTAGGCCCAGGTACATGCCGAAACCGCCTTCTGTAGAAATACCTATGGTATTTTTAACACTTCGTTTGAGATTCGGGTCCACTCTATCTCCAAACATGATGGATGATTTTCTCAGATTCAATTGTTGTCCCGACGCCATTCCATAAGTGTTTATGATTCGAAGAATCTCTGCTCCTTGTTCGATATCCGCTTTACAGAAAAGCAGGCTATCATCCGCAAAGAGGAGGTGGGAAACTGGGGGACTTGCTTGAGCTATTTTCAGCCCAGAAATATTTTGTTTAAGTGCTTATAGAAAGTATAATAGAAAATGAGAAAATAGATATAGATAAAACGGAACCTCGGTTACTAGAAACTTTCTGTGACAGAGCGAATTAACTAGCTAGTGTCCTTTATCAGGGATATTAACATATTGGTGTTAATCTTCTAAAATTTTTGTATCTAAGTTGATATTTCAAATAATAAATTTGGGTTTTTAGCCAAATTTTTGTTTGAATTCCAAGATCGACAATGGTCTTAGTTGTTCATTTTGCTTGATAGTTGGATAAACATTACCTATTGAATGGAAATTTCAATTCCTGATTACCAAAAAAAAAAAAAAAACATTTCAGTTCTTGTATCCTTAATCACATAAACTCTTCTATAATTTAGCAGAAAATTATGATTTGGTGTTATTCAATCTTTAGCTTTAGATAATACTAATTGTTTTAATATATTAAACTTAATCTAAAAAAATATTTAGTGACTTTATGTGTATTTAGGGGCCGGATTTTTTGTCTACCGAATAAAAAAAATTCAGCTGGAAATTATTTTTAACCAGACGCTTTATATAACAGATTTTAAACTAAAACCCGCCGAGCATGTATTTTCTAATGTGAATTATGTAGTAGCAACAATTTTGAGTTTCTAAAAAGGTAGCAAACTAATTATAATGAAGTGTTATATTTCAATATCGTTAGGTGAATTTAAAAATAATGTAATAATATAAAAAATATTTATGTACATGCGTAACTTTTTTAATAACTTAATGCATATTTGAAGTTAAAAAAAAATTAATGCATCTTTATTCTATCAAGATATATACATTTTTATCACCAATAATGAATGCATGCTTGTAACAACAACAACAACAAAAAAACAATAATGCATGCATTAAGCCTATCGAATATTTAATTTAAAGGACCAAATAAAGACAAGAGAGATAACGTTTTCGTAAGCAGGTGTGGCTGTGTTGTTTGATTTGTTGGAATCGTAGTGGAAATGGCACCAGAGACTTCCACTCTTCCTTCGTGTCCATATTTGCTTATTATATTTTGTTTCTCCACAAAAAAAAACACAACTTTTTGTAATTATTTAGATTATACGTTAATGTAAAATATCACGAGGCACTATCTACGTATACTTTAATTTATAAAAAGCAAAATGAGAAAAGAGACCAAAATGTTTTAGTGTAGGAATGGACTTACGGATAATCCAACCAAACATCTGGACATCTGGTCCTAGTAGCAGTGGACTGGATTGTTTAATATATATCATTCGATCAGCTGAAATGGACCACTCACGAATTTGACCTGTAGTGGATGTCTAGGTTTTTTTTACTTATTTTTCTTTGTGTGGAGATACCTAAGTTGTGGCTGCAAGGCTAAACAATTTTGTTGTTAGAAGATTTTAATTTCATTAAATTAAAAAAAAAAAAACACACAAGGCTAGAAACTATATATGATTCTTAGATCATACGTACAGTTGGTTATAAAGCATATGAAAGTTAAGAAAATCATAAACATCGTATTTAAAGTCATAAGTTTAGAGATAAAAGTTTGATGGGAGAAGCTACTCACTTTTGATTTAAAACCAGAAGCGATAGAGAAATCATGGGAAAGTAGATTAATGGGTAGCTCCAACCCTCACGTACTCTTTTTTTCACCATGGCCATGGGTTCCATGACTTCCTCCATGAGGTGAAAAGAAGCTTGAACCTTGAGAATGTTTTATCTATTGGATTGTCTTTCAAATTCCTATGAATCGAAACATTCATTTCATCTTTTCTCATGTTGGGAATCGTCGTTTGAGCCGTCGTTTGAGTAAACATCTTCCTCTAAAGAATCTAGAGAAGCAAAGGGTTTGTCTCTACTCCTAGTCGCTATGATATTCTTTACCCAATGCTCTACTACTTTAAAAATGTAGAACCAGTAGCAGTATGGGTTAAAACTTGAATGAGTTAAGTTGTCAAGGTTGAGAGGCATCCTTTGGGATAGATGTAGAGATTGAGGTTTCTTTTAGTAATTGTGATATCAAAATCCACAACATGTGTGAAAGTCAGATGCCTAAGTAGCTGGGATTTCAAGGGTGTCAACAACAATTATAGAAGCATAAGCCAAGGTAGACACCTCTTATATAATTGATTGAATGGACGATGTATCAGCAAAAAAAAAAAAAAAAAGTAGAGGATGGACTATGGAGTAGTGTTTGCGACTTTGCGTCAATGTTAGGATTGAAAATGAAAGGAGTTAAGATGGGATTTGTATATTACCTTGGCTACGTGCTTTGCTTTTTGTAATTATTTTTTTTTTAAATTTATAACCATATTTTATATGAATATATTATGTTTCATGACGAAGTTTGGTCAAAGAATGCCATGGTCAAAGGTTAACGAATAAAGTAGTTGAGGTCTAATTTTAGAAAGTCAGATGTTTGCCTAAAACGTAAATTCAATAATAAATTAGGACACAGTAATGTTACAATCAGACAGTCATTTCATTACTTAAGGAAGTTTCGAAAATTTGGTATATGCACTGCAGATTACTACAAAAAAAATTTCCATTTTGGCGATTTATGGCACATATAGAATATCGGTAATCAAATTAATTCAAGTAGATCTGGAGTACTATAATATAGTCCAGAGAAATACATTTATTAAATCTTGGATAATTGCTGAAATCATTCACAGGCATCATTCAATTATTTAGGGTGATATAAAAAAATTTGGTTAGCTATATAATTAAGGAATAAAGAGCTCACAAATTGTGGGATGTTGGGATTCGTAGTCAGCATTAATACGTTGATGGTTTGAAGGTTCCCAGATTGTGCACGAGTATGTACAGCACCATGCATCTTACAGTAATATATTGGAGGGTTTTGTGTGCTGTTTGTTTTATAATGTGTTCATTAAAAATAAAAATAAAAACAAAAAAAAATAGATCATGTTGATAATACCATGACATAACGATTACATACATATTAGAAATATGCATTGGTATATTTTAATTACTTTTTTTTATAATCTCGAAATTCGTGTTCGATGCCCATACATTTCCGTGGTTACAAACAATGTTGTTGATAAAACCATGGCATAACGTAAACTTATTTTCATATTTTTAATTTATTAAGATGTTTTTCGTTAATTTTCATGGAGCAATCCATATATTTGGTTAGATATCTAAACTTAAACAAGAATACAGACATATGATATCCGATTAACTCTGAAATAGATATGGATTAGAAATATGTAAACTAAACATGTCACATATACCACAATTTGCGTTGTCTTTAAGTCATTCAACTGGAGTCGCTTCTTTAGGCTCATAACTGAGATAACTTTATGAGTTTGACCCATTTAATGGATGAGTGTAAAAAAGATCTACTTACTCATATGTTGTTAAATGATTCTACAGTATCTACTCATTCTTTATATAGCATTTCCGACCGTAAACATCCACATTCATTGGACCACCCTAACTCTTGTCAATGTATTGTTAACCAATCAAAGATCTATTCAACAAACAAGAATTATTTAATTCGAGCTTTGACTCTATGTGGTTTTAATTGATATTTTAAATAACAGATTTTTTAAATTACTACTATATAATATATACAAATATATATAGGGACTCGTACACTTGTATGTGGACTCTTACGATTCATATTACGGATAAAAAATGCATATTTCGGACTAAAGAATGTTAGTTGAAGTGACTTACCATCGGCTGCAACCATGTTTCAATTCGTTTCAGTATCACATTTGTTCTCTTATAATTTTCTTAGCTACCCCGATATATATCCGGAACCAGCCGTTGATAATACCATATTTAAGACGTCCGAAAATGAAGTTGAACTAATTATTTTAATTTGAATACTCCAAAGTATCCCTAGAACACCTCCCAATATAACAAAAGGTATTCAGTATTCACATCTTTATCAATGTGTATCTATATATAATTCTTGACATTAGCCATGCGAATTAATCTGCTAATTTCTTTGTTTTTATCCAAACTAAAAAAGACTACGGGTTTTAATAATAGTACTTTATAGAAATAAATAAATAACAAACTATCTAGATTTCGAATTCCACCTGTACAGTTTCCAAATTTGGAAGATGTCTTGATAAAACTAATCACAGAGGATGCTCATGAATGCTAGTATGATGACAATCGTGTTCTTGCCAAATTTATTGAAAAACGTACTTATATGTGATGTCTCACACTCGAATTTATTACGTTTTAAAGGTCCGGTTCAAATTTATGATAGAATTTAAACATTTTGAATAAATATAAAAATACAAGGGATATTTGTTTTTTTGTTTGTTTTAGAACATTCAAGGGACTCCCTTTTAGTTATATCATGATATGAATGAGATCAATTTTCTCCAGAATCACTTTAAATCGCTTGTATAAGGAGCTGCCATGCTGCGTCATATATATGTAATGTCTTAGTCATGGTAGATTCTAAAACTAAAACATACGTCAAAAGTAGAAACAAAAAACTGGGTTATTATTCGGAGAATTTGAATTGTAATATGAAAATAATTGTGTTATTACCATTTTCTGACCAAAGTGAACCTGAATCATCAGATGACAAAAAAAAAAAATAATCAGGTTCAGTTTGGATTCGTCTTTGAGTACCTTTGGTAAAAAAATATAATCATTCAGTTTAAAATAAAATCAATAATGCTTTCGATTTAAAATTATCTAATTCGGCTTAGTTTGGTTTATTCAGTTTATTTTGGACTTATGCCCAATCTTAGTAAAAATCAAGAAAACTAGTAATTTCTGACAACTGTTAGATAATAAATTAAAACTTCACAAACAAAAATTTGGAAAGAACAACAATAAAACCTATTACCAAACTGAACCAATTATCAAATATATAAAAAGAAAGAAGTTTCAGAAAATTTGAATAATAGTAACTTTTATATATATATATATATATATATGAATGATGGAAATAATAATACTGTAATTATTAGTATCTAACTGTCTATGAATGAGAACAAAGTTAGCCTTCAATTACTTACAAATCCCAATAAAAGACTTCTTCTCCATGTGTGATATGAGAGTGTCAACGACAAGTCTACATAGAGGCTAAGAGGTCAACAAGACCACACAACACTTCTTACTATTAGTTTGCAAAGGCTGTTCGTTGGACATTTCTCTCTATCTCTATCTCTCTCTCCTCCTCTCTTCTTCTTCTTCTTCTTCTTCTTTTTCTCCCTATAAAATCTCATCTCTCACATTTTTCTTTTCTTGCATTCTCCAAACGAAACCTCAAGCTTCATTTTACTTCCCTTTATCATTACTTTCCATTACTCCAATATTAATGAATAACACCGACCGTCGTCGCCGTCGTAAGCAACAAAAAGCTACTCTCCATGATTCGGAAGGTCCCTCTCTAATCCCTATTTTCTTCTTTTCCACATCGAATTTTACTTGGTTGCGTAAATTTTCATGGGTAGAATTACGAAATAAGATGCTTTTGCACATCTTGAAAGCATTTTCTTGGCTTCCACTTCAAATTTAGTTTTATCTAGGATCCGATTTTCTATGCCTGAATTCGAGACGATTTGACTTAGTGATTTATTTAAGATAACGATTCATATGTTCACTTTTAAATTGGTTGAACGCCTCGTGCTAGGTAACTGAAAGAACGTTCCAAGATTAGTTTATACTTTTAACAAAAAAAATCATTCCAGTTTTTGTCAATTTAATAATTGTTTTTTTTGCAACTAATTTTCAAATTAGCTAGATTTAATATTTGTTCCGAGTTTAATTGGTTGAATATAACCATTGCAGAAGTGAGCAGTATAGAATGGGAGTTTATCAATATGACTGAACAAGAAGAAGATCTCATCTTTCGAATGTATAGACTTGTCGGTGATAGGTAACAATGTCTTCTTGTTTTCTATTATCTCAGCCCAAAGAAAGATAATTTTATATTTAATGTTTTATACATTGGTAGGTAAATAATTTAATATGCTCGCTTGTACATTGCCAACTTAACATACGTTAATTTAGGTATGTACTTACGTTTGTACAGTGTACCATGTTGTAGAGGAAGCACATGGCGTCCACTAATTTTCTTAAAAAACATTGAATTAAAGCTATCACGTTCATTACATTATATACCTACACGTATAATACACATATACACATCTATGTCCACAAAAGTACTATGAAATGCTTGCCTGGCTCTAAAGTGGAATAAGATTTGACAAAGTAAATTTAGATGATAACAAAATAAATAAATAAAAGTGTAAATTGTGAGTTTTATTTTTATTTAGGTGGGATTTAATAGCAGGAAGAGTGCCAGGAAGACAACCAGAGGAGATAGAGAGATATTGGATAATGAGAAACAGTGATGGCTTTGCTGAGAAACGACGCCAACTTCATCACTCCTCTTCTTCTCACAATAATACGAAACCTCATCGTCCACGCTTTTCTACTTATCCTTCTTAGTTTTAGTTTCATTTTATTTTTATTCTGTTTTTATGCCGACCAACCGAAAAAAAAAAATAAACAAGAAAAACAGTGGTGTATAGTACTAGTAGTCCTTTTCTTTTGTTTTTTGATAAAAAAGGTAGTATCTTATTAGTTTGAAGAAATTATATCATCCATGTCTTCTTTTTGTGGTAATTTTCATTTTTATAATATTAGGTTTCATTTTTATTATATAGCTTGAAGAAAGAAACATAGTGTTAAGGAGGAGCATTTTCCGACTATAACATTTTAAATTTTAGTGTAACTGCTTAAAGATTTCTAATAACCATGTTAATGTATTATATTATGTCCTATTATTTAATTTTTTGCCCGGATAAAAGCAAATTCTAGATCCTCCACTATATATATATATATATATATATATATATATAACGTTATACACACTCTACCAATCAGTATATGCTTTTCATCCATGGTTACAAAATCGAACCCATAGCTACCAAAGGTCCAAAACTAATTGAGGTGTTTCAAAAAATATCATAAGCTCAATTTTTATTTTTATATTTATTTCCGCCAACTTAGAAGTTTATTCAAGAGATTAACCCAATTTAAATATGAGCTGATAAAGAAGAATAATAATTATGGGCCTAAACGCTTAGCCCATGTCATTGTCAAGGTTTCACAGCCTATTTGTAAGTTTTTTTTTCTCAAAAAAATATCATAAGCTCAATTTTTTTTATTTCACAGCCTATTTGTAAGTTAAACAAGCTTTTTTCAGTGTGTTGAGTGAAATGTGGACCGATTCTTTTGTTCTGATGGTGGTGATTAGGTTGAAGCCTTCTAAGAGGTGATTTCAGCTTCCAGATTAAACATCACAATGATGAATGATATATCAGGTGAACCATCAGAACAAAGTTTTGGTTACGTGTTTAAGACATCGGTTGGCATCTCGAACATATAACCAAGTTTATATGCGTGTTGGTTACTTAGTCTGCTGTAATTTTCATCATCTTTTTTGCTTTGAGCTTCTTTGAGATTTTAAGAGATCAGCTTGAAGATACGAAAACAAGTCATCATGAATTGTTGGTAGATTTTTGGCCGATATCAATCTTATGCCTTCTTCTTCATTTTTTTTAGTTTCATCATGATCTGTTTCATAAGATCAACTTGTTTGTAACGTTTGATCGATCGTTAAAGCAATTGACGTAGCGTTAGATTTTATGGTTCTGTTTTGTAGGTTGATGTTTCCTCTTCTTTTCTAACGATACATTTTCTTCATTTATTTATATCAAATTGGATACAAGAGCTTTTTTTTTTTTTGTAAAAATTGGATACAAGAGTTGCAACTCTAACATAATAATAACTTCAATGATGATGAAGAAATGCATTAACACTCTGTTTAAAACGATGAAAGCATTGCTCGCTGATAGGTTTAAAATTTGTTTTTTTTTTAATAATCAAGCCCAATATAATGATACTATAATATTTTGAATGTAAATATGAGTTTTTTTAGTTTAAAATTCTAATTTCCATTTTTGAAAGAAAATAAAATTTCACATAACTAGTTTAATAATATATAGGGAAAAAACTTTTGAAAATTTTGAATGAATGAGATAATGAGTTTTTGAATTTCAAAACCCCCAAAAATATCTCCATTAATTGTTGAACTTCTGCTGAATTCTTATCCTCTTTATAATATTTTGGAATTTAGGGAGAAAATTTAAAAAATAAAAAATGTTTTAGTGTTTTTACAAAATATACCATTAGAATTTTATATTAAATAATCATTAGTAGTAGTTATTAAAATGTTTAATCAGGATAGACATAACAAAAGATACTCTTGATCTTCAAATCCAAATTTTTTTTATTAGACTAAATATAATCTAGTGTCGATTAGACCAAATCTAATCAAATTTAAAATTCACATATAAGTTCTTGCACGTGTACATTTTCAAAATTTAACTCCGAGACAAGATACATACTATTATGAAAGAAGTTATAAATTTTAATTCAATGAACATTTTTACATCCTTATAAAATCAACTCTATATATATTTCGCTCATTAAAATCCACTCTTTTCGATTTGTAGAACATCTGCTGCGGCATGTATAATTTTTCTTTCTATCTACAGAAGATATTATCCCTCCAAAAATTAAGATGCAAGTTCAATATTATTATTCATGAGAAACTCATACACTGTTGTTCATTCATATTCAAATACAGCTACAATGCTTTATGTAATACAAGAATAACGTTACGTGTAGAAGTACTCTGACTCTAACTCTAAAATTAAAAAAAAAAAAAAAAAACATGTGACGAAGCTGTTATATATTAAGCTGGCAACTTTTAAAAACTCATTTAGACCTATATTAGTCATAATAATATTAATTAATATCCTTTAAAAATCTTAAATAACAATATTATTGAAAATAGCTCCACTTTTTATAGGAAAGTTTGAAGATAATCAAAAGGATAATAAGGAGAGAAAGTGAGTACGTACTGGTCTCTCGTTAGGGTTTATACGAAGATGTATTCAACCTTCTTTTATTAGCAGAATGTTTGCTGAATTTGCTGAGCCAATTCTTCTGCACTTAGTTGGCACTCAATTCCAATCTATCAAAAGAAAAATAGAAAGAGAGATATAGATAATTGTCTATCAATATTTAAAAGACACTTATATATATATATATATATATATTATATCTACAACCATTGTATCAATTCTTTATTGGATTCCTCTTAATTATATCAGTTCTGATTTTTCTTCATATGCTCTGTTTTGTTCAAGTTTTTTTCCTTATTGTACATAATTCTTTTTGCCGAGAAATAAATTTAGTCTTCCAAAAACAAAATCTTTATTGGCAAATATGCATATACCGGATATAGGAACTAGCTTGACCAATAAGCACAACCAGTAAACTACAGCAGCTTGACTTATTTGAATAAATGTGAAATATATAAAATAGAAATTTAAGATTTAGGATTTTCTTCAATGTTCACATAATAGAATAACGAATTAATTTGTAGATAACATATGGGAGGAACACGTGCTATTCACACCTTGGTTTATAATAAAAAAGTCAAATGCATGTGTTAAGAGATTTTAGTAAAAATAGTATAAAACAAAGAACAGTTTAGTTTTGTATGCTTGTGAGGCTGAGCAATCTGACAGACCCTATGTTTGTGTGCATTTATGTATATATACAATGTTGATAAGAAGTATGTATCTTAACAATGAATTTCTTAGATTTCTATATACTGTGAACCAATTTATGTGAGTGTGAATATTACTTATTACAGAACCCTACCATTTTCTCCCCACCATATAACTATGTAAGAAAAATAAATGTATGAATCACACAAATTTTTTTTTTTTTTTTTGAATAACATAAGCCACTGAAAATTAATTAGGATGATTATTCGTACGTACCTTGATGGTGAAAGAATTAAGCATGGTTTCGTCGACGGTGTTAATATTAACCTGAAGAATTTCGAGAGCCAAATCCTCAAGAGCAGCGATTATCTTCATAACTTGTCCCGGTATCTTATGCGATATCGTTTTGAGCAGCACATTAGCTCCTGAGAACTTCACTTCTACGTCAGCCAAAGCCGATTTTGAGTTAGCAACGAGCTCATTTATCACACTACTCTCATGGTTACTACTAACTGAAGGAGAGGAAGAAGATGAAGCTGGAGAATATGGAGGCGGGTCCCCTAAGCTGCTGCAACCGGCCAATGAGCTGTAAGAACGAAGTGGAGGCTGTGGGATGAGTGGTAGTTGAGGCGGATGGGCCCTGTATGGGCTTGTGGGCTGAGGGGTTCGAGGGCTGATGGGAGGGAGAAGGAGGTGATGGTGGATCTGGTGGTTGTTGATGCGCGGGCTAAGAGGCAGTTTTCGCGGGCTTAGGATAGGCGGTGAAGGACGAGGGCTCGGGACTAGTCTCGGGCTCAGGACTTCCGCGTATGTCTTACGTTGTTTCTTGGCTTCTAAGGATTGTAGAACTTGTTGTAGCTCGCTTATGTACTCCACAACTCCTCCTATGATCGATGCTTGGTCCCCCTTTTAAAATTATCAAAGAAAAAGACAATATAAGCCAATATGGACATTCTATCTATCACATTGTGACATGAAAGGAAGAAAAGAAAAAGAGATAATTAGTGGGACCAAACGTCAATATAATTGTCATTATTCTTAAAAAGAACATAGATATGATGCTTTTGTTGTAATTGATATTTTCTAAGAAAAGATAAAATATAGTTAGGTATACCAAAAAGATCAATTGAACAAATGTTTTATAGTATTAATTAGTCAGGCGTTACTACAACTCAAAATACCAAGTACTGACTAAGAAATATATGGATGTATCAAGTTTACCCGTTTGACATAGAAACAAGGCATAAGCGAACGTAAAACGGTTAAGTGCTCATTCATTTGCTTTCTCCTGTTACGTTCCACGGTTACATGAGACATCTTTTGCTGCCCATCTTGCTTATTCTCTTCCTCTCCTTCTCCTTCTCCTTCACCTTCTCCGTCTTCTTCGTCTTCGTCTTCTTCTTTCTCCGTTTCTAGCCTTTGCCTCTTCCTCTTAGGAGATGAGGTATCATAGTTTTGATCCTTTACTAACTCCTTGGAACTAGTGGTTCCATCTTTGGGAGTAGATGCAGCCGCGGGAGATATCTCTCCGGCGCCTTCAAGACTCTCTAAGATGGCAAATAGGTCATCTCCGGCTAGTGAAGTGTCGACAAGTTCACACTCTTCAAGAAAATCGGGTATTATCTCCTGCATCGTGAATAGAAATCTCTCTCTCTCTCTCTTCCTCGTTCGTTTTGTCTTATGGTTAAACTTTTTAAAAAGAAAAGAGGCAAAAAGCAAATTAAAAGAAAGATTTAGAGAAAGAAAGAGACGCAGAGAGACATATCAAGTTGAGAGAGAGAGATGAGAGTGGATGCCAAAAGGAGTAAATATGAGGGACTCGCATTCATCGAGGACTAAACTATCGCTATCAAATTTCAATATTTATTATAATATTTTGATAGGGTTATTTATTATGCGGTTTGTGCCGTTGGATGAAATTTGGGGAGAATCTAGGTTTTTTGGTGTCTCATTTATGTTTTAGATATAAATATACATAAATATATAGGGTACGTTTTATTGTATA